ACATATGTTGTGTTTTTCAGAGAAGAAGGAAACAACAGAAGATAGATTATCTGATAAAAAACAGAGAGTTTTTCGTAAACATCCTCTTACAGTTGCCATGGAGATATTATGTAAAGGTATAATAACTTCTGTTTGAAAAATTTAAAAAGAATTCATGTACAGTATAGTATATACTAATTGTACATTAAATGCAACTAAACTTCTGCTTCTTCTAACATTGAATTTGTAACATGATAATGGCCATTCACAAGTTTGGTATATTTAAGTTAGTATGTTTATATATTATTATTATTATCATTTACAGAAGGAAGTGAATTATTACTGACTTTCTCCTACAATTTACAACTACACATAACAGCACTTTTTATTATTATTATTACAGAAGGAAGTAAATTATTACTGACTTTCTCCTACCTTTTACAACTAGAGATTATAACAGTTCATGTGAAAGTATTACCTAGTCTAGAAAGTGTACACAGCTCTATTTCTGGATCGTAAGTAATATTTACTTGTTTTATGTGTTTATACCACAAAGTTAGGTTATCAGGTTGAAAAAATTCTTTAAAATCTCTAGATTATTTTCAGCTTAAAGGAAATTTTTGACTCGTGTAAAAAAAAAGGAAATTTGTTATTTGTAATTTCCACCTTCTTGACCTTTGTTATCAATGACTCTTGTGTAATTTTTGTTATTTTGACTCTGTCATATACACAAGTTTAATATAATATATTTGAATTGTAGAGATTTGTTATCACCAGATTCTATATTGAATGAGATCTATACTGGTGATCATGGTAACAATACGCCGAATCCTGCCAATCAATATGAATTACGTAGAATGGGGTAAGATTTAATTCATTTCAAATGCAGAGCCTGATGTTACATTCCCAAAGCCATCCTTGATCTGAAGAAATTGTTACCAGTTACTAAAACATTCCACCATTCAAATGTTTGGTCAAATACTTTGTTGCAAAATTTTGTTTTCCACATGATAGGACTCTTGAGATATTGAGAGGTATTGTGAGACTAATGAGTAAAATTCTAGATCAAACTCTTTGAGCTTGTAAAGATTTTTAATTCATTTAAATGGAAAAATGTACAATGCGACAAAAAATTTACATTCATGTAATGGTTTTAAAATTTTGCAATTTGTTTATTATTTGTTTGCAGATTACATGATTTTAGTGAGTATGTAAACCAAGTAGGCAGACCATATCAATGGACACAATGGTTAGGTGGTTTACAGTTTCTAGGAGATGGTAATCCAGTCACTGTTAAAAGTACTGTCAGCTCTGGCTACATGCAACAAACTGTCAAACAACTACGAAAGAGACTCAAGGCACGACTGGCGTTACTTCATCAAATGGCTTCACTCGGTAAGTAACGATGATATTTCTTTATATATAGAACTATTGGCATCATTTCATGTTAACCTCATTTATTTTGCAACTTGTAGTACTTGACATATGGATTGCCATTTGGATAGAATTAATCTCAGAAATGGGATTTTTTTTAGCTATGCCAATCAGTAATAGTGTTCACAGCTCACAATCAAAATTTAAGCCTTCAAACCAACCCCCCAAATGGCTCATCTGTTTCTTTAAATTTAGTAGATTCAGGAGCTTAAGCCTATAATACACAGATATTTAAAGACCAAGGTGAGATCAGGACATATTGAACCTAAGTCAATCATGTCTGGCTTGCCAAATAATGCAACAGAATTTCTAATAGAAATTTTTTTTCTGTTACAGAGAGAAATACTATACCAGTTAGTAGTAATCTGATTGATATGTTCCCAGCTAAAATATCCAGTCGCTTAATATCATGGAAACGGTCAACATATGAAGATTTCTGTAGTCTGGATTATACCAGGAATATAATTGAAGGAAGTTTAGTATCAGAAACTGATATCTATTTTGTTGCTACTATGGAAAGAGGGTCTGGTAAGTTGATCAGCTACATTGATACGTCTAGTTTGTAAACATATTTCAGCTGTTTATCTTAAAATTGATTTGTCAGTCAAGTTAACAAGTCATGAGGGTGATTATCTATTTTTCAGTTAAGTTGACAAAGTTTTTCAGCTTCTTATCTTAATTTTTTTAAGCCAACTTGACAGGTTGTAGCAGATGATTATTTTTTTATTTAACAGCTAAGTTAATAAGTTAAGTTGTAGCAGCTGCACAATTTATTTTTCAAGATTTGTTTAAAATTATGTTAATAGGTTGTTGTAGCAGCTGATTATCTTAACTTTGTCAGTCTCATTAGCAGCTGAATATTTCCTTATTTACAGTCAAGTTAACAAGTCATGTTGTTTCTGAGTATCTTGTTACATGTCAGCATATGGTTTACTGTTTTTTCAGCCAAGTTAAGAAATGAGGTTGTTGTAGCAGCTGATTATCTCGTTTTTTTATCAGCCAGGTTAACAAGTCAGGTTGTTGTAGCAGCTGATTATCTTTTTTTTTTCAGCCAAGTTAACAAGTCAGGTTGTTGTAGAAGCTGATTATCTTGTTTTTTTTTTCAGCCAAGTTAATAAGTCAGGTTGTTGTAGCAGCTGATTATCCTACAGTACCACCAATGTTTGTTGTTAGTATTTCATGGCAAACAGACAGAAATGCTACCACTGATGTCCACATACAGGTAACTTTATGATTAAATATTTATTTTATATAACATGTATTTCAAATTTGATACAAGTAAAATCTTAAATCTATTAGTTCCCAAGCTAAGTGATAAAAGAAGCACAGTCAGTATTGATCAGTATGAGTCTTAACTTTTGTCAACTGTCCAGTAAACCTAAACTGCAGTTTGGCCTTTTTTTATTGTCCCTTTAAAACTACATCTCTCACTGGAGAACAGGTGGAAAAATCTTTATAATTTAACAAGTGCTTGAAGTGAACATAGACCTCCAGATAAGTCTCAATATCATCCATCTCATCCAAAAATAAGTTATAATTTATTTTTTATTTTTTTCGCTGTTAAGGAATTGGAAGAAGAAGTAAATGTTCATTATACAGAATTAATTAAAGATAAAAGTAAAGATAATTTATTATCCAATCAATTACAAAGATTATTGATGTGTTTTGATATCTATCTTGAAACTGAAACTCAAGATTTATCAGCTCCTATTGAAATACCTAAAGAGAAAGTGTTCACCAGATTAGCCAGGTACGTAGCCTATGTAGTGTAGTAAAAAAATTTCTTAAAACACTAACACAATCCACCTTATTTTAGATAGTTGAAGTAGCAGATTTCTTATGTTCAAAGAAAAACTTAAGAAATCTCAAACTTTTCCCCTAATAACTTGGTTGTAACTCTCCCTTCAGATTATAATGGCTGTGCAGTGATACTAAAGTCCTGAGATGTTTACTGAATAAGTAGCAATGCATGATTCCGCTGGAACAGCTTAAGCTCCTCCTACAAACAACCACACAAAATGACCCCACGCCAATCTTTCAGGATATCTTTGGTCTGCATTGCAAGTACCCCATGCACACATCAAAACCATTTTGTCAAATATATACTCACAAGTCATTAAATAATTTTGTTTATAACATACTCTTAGCCTGAGAGTCTTAGGTGTTTGTGGGTAAAGATGGTGGCTGATTTCAAGATGATTGGTCAATATTCAGAAGTCAATCATTCTCCTGGATCTGAGAATTGCTGCTTTGGTGAATTTAAACAGCAGAACATGAATAAATGTATCTTTCTTTTGGAAATGGCGTTGATGTGATTCATGTGTTTTATTTTTCAGGGGACCAAATAGGAAGAAACCATACAAATATATTCCAGATTTAGGTATCTTTACTCATCGATAAAATCCTCATTCTTTCCATTAGTAGTTTATATTGCTTGAAATAAAATTTTCTAATAAAATTTAGAATTGAAAAATGTAATGTTTTGTATTTTGAAGACCATGGGACAAATACATTGAAACCTTCAATATTGTGATTTGGTTTTTAAACCCGTTTTTATACAAACATCATCTCAATCAAATCCAATCAAATATCTATACTTTATGGAGACCAGGATGTTGATGAATTTTGATTTAAGTCGATGGAAATAACTCAAAAACAGTTCAAGACAAAATCTTAGGGACGTATGCAGTTGAACTTTGGCTAAAGTCAAACTTTGGCTAAAGTCGAACTTTACAAAGTTAGGATTAAGGCTTTCATTTTCTACATTTGATAGTCAAATTTAAGCACGACTTTCGTAAAAATCGACCAGTGCATACCTAAAGTTCGACTTTAGTCAAAGTTTAGGTAAAGTACGAGCACTGCATATGGTCGGAAGTCTTACTACAGTGATGACAATTCACGTTTTAATGGGAACTCATAAAAACAAAACAACATTGCAGATAAAAATAGATCTTTATATAATATTAAATAAAATACCAGTACCAAAAATCTCAAGATGTGCTCAGGTCCACAAGTAATTCAAAGAATATCAATGAATCTGAGGAAGTTAAACAAATAAACACTGTGTAATAAACATTATCTTAGGTAAAGTTAAAAAAAAAAAACATTGTCATATAACCATAACCATAGTTATAAACATGAATTTAGATCAAGTGATAAAACCATAGTTATAAACATGAATTTAGATCAAGTGATAAAACTATAGTTATAAACATAAATTTAGATCAAGTGATAAAACCATAGTTATAAACATGAATTTAGATCAAGTGATAAAACTATAGTTATAAACATAAATTTAGATCAAGTGATAAAACCATAGTTATAAACATGAATTTAGATCAAGTGATAAAACCATAGTGATAAACATAAATTTAGATCAAGTGATAAAACCATAGTTATAAACATGAATTTAGATCAAGTGATAAAACCATAGTGATAAACATAAATTTAGATCAAGTGATAAAGCCATAGTTATAAACATGAATTTAGATCAAGTGATAAAACTATAGTTATAAACATAAATTTAGATCAAGTGATAAAACCATAGTTATAAACATGAATTTAGATCAAGTGATAAAACCATAGTTATAAACATAAATTTAGATCAAGTGATAAAGCCATAGTTATAAACATGAATTTAGATCAAGTGATAAAACCATAGTTATAAACATGAATTTAGATCAAGTGATAAAACCATAGTTATAAACATGAATTTAGATCAAGTGATAAAACCATAGTTATAAACATGAATTTAGATCAAGTGATAAAACCATAGTTATAAACATGAATTTAGATAAAGTGATAAGTAATAAACATGATCTTAGATCAAGTGATAAACAATATGTAAAAAACATTGGCTTAGGTTAAGTCAAAAAAAAAACATTGTAAATGAACTCACATCAAGTGATAAAACCACAGATTAACCAAAATTATATATAAACATTAACTTAGATCAAGTGATAAACACTATGTATTAACCATAAACTTATGTAAAGTGATAAAACCACAGATATAAACATAACTTAGATCTAGTGATAAAATCAAAGTTATAAACATGAACTTATATTAAGTGACAGAATTATGTAATAAACATTAACTTAGATCAAATGATAAAACTATGTTTCATAACATGAACTTAGATCAAGTGATAAAAACTCTGTAATAATAGTTAACATGGATCAAGTGTAAAATGATGTAACAAACATTTCACTTAAATCAAGTGATAAAAATATGATAAACAACAGGTATCCTGAAACTAAAATCATGCAGGCTAAATATATCATAGGCATAATTCATAGAGGTATGATGTTGTTAATGCTTAAGGTATTTTAAGGTCATGGGCCTAAGACTTTCCATATTGAACAATTAGGCAAGTGTATTGAACCTGCTGTCAAAATGAAAAAGACTTTAGTGGCTTAATAATGAATTTTCAAATAATCTTTAAGATATATATAAGTCTAAAGTCAAAACAGTTCATCAAATTATCATCAAATTCAAACATGAACAAGGTCTCATTGACATACACACAACAGCAAAACTCTTTCATCAGATTTCTACAAATTCAAACTTGACCAAGATCTCATCGATATATACAAGCATACCAAGTCCCATCAAGATCAAATCTGTAGTCTGTATCAAACTTACAAGTGTTTGATGTGTTTTTACTAAGTCAAGGGCAAGACTCTGAAACCTTTCATCTGATTATAACCAATTTCCAACTTGACTGAGATCTGATCAATATATACATGCATATCAAGTTTCATCAAGATTGGATAAAAACTGTAGTCAAAGGCAATAACACTGAAATCATACATCCAATTATTACCAATTTCGAACTTGACCGCAATCTCATCAATATATACATGTATACTAAGTTTCATCAAGATCAGATAAAAACTGTAGTTATTATCATGCCTACAAGTCAAATTTAACAATTCTTAGTTAGTCAAGGGCAATAACTCTAAAACGGTTTATATGTTTAATATCAATTTGTAAGTTGACCGAGATCTGATCAAGATACATGCATACCAAGGTTCATCAAGATTGGAATACAAGTACAGCCTATAACATGCCTACAAACCAAATTAAATACGTTTTTACTAAGTCAAGGACAACAGCTCTGTAACCGTTCATCAGCTAAACTACATCTGATTATTACCATATATTCGAACTTGACTGAGATCTCATCAATATATATACATACTAAGTTTCATCAAGATCAGATAAAAACTGTAGCCTCTATCGTGCATAGAAAAAATATGGACTGACAGACAGGGGTGACGGCAATATACGTCCACATTTCCATGTGGGCATATAAAAATGTAGCCAGACAGACAGGGGCGACAGCAATATACGTCTACATTTCTATGTGGGCGTATAATAAGGCACAAAAATATCAAAGAAGAAATAAGACAACAATGCAATTGCAATCACAATGACGTTGAAGCAAGCAAAATTTTTTGTGCCCAGCTATGTCCGATTTACAACAGAAAACTTTGTTTCTGGGTAGAATAGATAGTGATAGAAACTAGCAATTCTTATATTATGTTCATTACTCACTGAAACTACCTCAAACTAAAGTGAAATGTTTCAGTTTATTTTTAAATATCGAACCTAGATGCTTAAAAAAATTTTGCTTCACCCTACTGGCCTGGTGTACAATAAAAAAAATAAATATGAACACAAACAAATCTTAACAAAACAGGGGGAAAAATCTTAAAAAATAGGAAAAAAACTCATGAATCAGAATAAAAAAACCTCATTCATCTGACTATATTTTAACTCTTTTGTACATATGCAGGGTTTGCATTGATATTCTTATTTAAAATATAATGCATACTATTCTAAAAAAATGCATTAATTATATTCCACTTTGCCATTATCATTAACCTTTTATTGAAGCAAATATAAAAACACATGATAAAAACACAAGGCTTAAAACAAGCACATATTAACATCTCAGCACAAGTAATTATCATGTGTTCAATTCAAATAACATTTCAGCACATTAAGTAATTATAATGTGTTCCATTCAAATGAATACTTTTTATTCATTTCTTGTTATACAACAAATATTACTTGTGTCAAAATGTTATGTGTTCAGTTTTTTAAGAAGTAAGTAACTCCCTAGCAATGTATCATGTGTTTTGTTATAATATGTGCTTCTTAAAAGTCATTAAATCTCATTTAAATACAAAAGTAAAATTTCACCGGTATCATATACATGTAATATCAATAATAGGAACTAGTGCTGGCACGATATATATCGGTGAATTGATGTATCGCGATAAGACATGCCACGATACGGGTGTCGTATCGCAACGTCATGAATAGATACTTGGCAATAGCTATTATGGAAGTTGCTAGTATACGTTATATCAATTTTTTCACTGAAATTGTTAGAAACTATTTATAAGACAATAACCACTTCTATCAACTATATCACCAAATATCACAGTTATAAAGTTATAAATTAATACATATAGAAACCTTGAAAATAAAACTTTAATTTCCCCATATCACGATGATGTGTATTGTATACCTACTAATTCTAATCAGTTTTATCATCTGATTCTAAACCATTTTCCTTTAATATATCATTTAATACCACAATATTTGACCTTAATAGTTTGATGTAGACTTCCATTTCATCATATACCTTTAAAAAAAGCATATCATTGTAAGTATCATCCAAAGTGGCTGTGCCAGCCTCACAAGACTAGGGGTACAAATAGGTGATAAAAAGACACAATCTTGGTCCAGGACTGCTGATTTATCTGTATTTGCCAGTCATGTCATGTCTGATTGGAGCTTCAAAATGACTAACTACCGTTTCAATCTTTGGGACATCTCTGCAAATTTGTATATATTTTCAGAATTTTTTATGCATTCTTGATGGAAATTTGTATACGATTTGTTAGAAAGTCTGGTTGGGAATTTCCGAAATCAACAGACCTGCTTGGTCCCAAATATGCAGTTTAATTGATAAAGGGAAAAACGTCAGAGATATGTTGCAACACAACCAAACTTTGGATTTCAATCGTGAAAAGTAATATGGATATCTGAAAATATTAAGAAGACTATGTCCTCTATATCAATACTTACTAAATCGTTGTCAACAGATTTATCTTCCTTTAACTTGATGAGAAACTGAGATTTATATGGTGATAATTTTGACAGAACCTATATCATGATATCATGAAAATATTACTTTAAATAATATAACTATATAGTTATTTCACATCACTTAAATCATGGAAACATTACTTTATAAAGTTATTTAACATAAATTAGATCATTACTTTATATAGTTATTTAACATAACTTAGATCATGAAAACATTACTTTATATAGTTATTTGACATAACTTAGATCATTAAAACATAACTTTATATAATTATTTAACATAACTTAGATCATGAAAACATTACTTTATATATTTATTTAACATAGCTTAGATCATGAAAACATTACTTTATATATTTATTTGACACCAGTTAGATCATGAAAACATTACTTTATATAGTAATTTAACATAGCTTAGATCATGAAAACATTACTTTATATAGTTATTTAACATAGCTTAGATCATGAAAACATTACTTTATATAGTTGTTTAACATAGCTTAGATCATGAAAACATTACTTTATATATTTATTTGACACCAGTTAGATCATGAAAACATTACTTTATATAGTTATTTAAGTCCTACTTACAGAAAATACTTGCTGGACTATAAACCCATGATAAGGTTTTAAGACTTGTGTATATGCTGCTTTTAGACATGGTTCTAAATATGTGCTTTCTTCTTTGTCTGACATCAGAATCTCAAAAAGAGTACAAAAATAATCTATACCTCTGAAAAAAGCAGGAAATAGTGTTTTGGGCTATACTTTTCTGTTCCTACTAGGGCAAAGTGAAGTCAGACAAAGTAGGAATTATCAAAGGATCTTTAATCAGCACAACCTGTTGCACATGGGGAATCTTTTCCTTGCTAACCACAAAGGAATCTGAAGATATAATTGTGACCTATACCAAGGCAGCTAACTTACTGTACACCCTTTCGACACTTGAGCGTAGATGAAATAAATTGACATATATATATATACAAAAGATTTGAAGCATACGTTATGTTAAGGTTATGTAGCTCGCTGTGTGTACTCTCTACAGAACGATTTGAAATTACCCCCTTTCAACTTATAACTTTACTACAAAAGTTAAAATTAAATAATAAAGAGAACAAAAATGTACCTTTTTAACCAAAGAACTCCTGACTGGGCCTGAGTACTGTCTTTTTTGGTTGCTTCATCTTTTAACATAGCATTTAAACTAACATACAACTCTGGATTCATTGACTGTTTTTGTTCTAATTTCTAAAATTATCATATTCAAAATAATAAAGTTTTGTGTTATACAGCCACTTCAGTTAGGGTCTAACGACATCTACGTTCTTGAACCTTAATTTGAGAGCTGTCGTTAAGACTCAAACTTAAGTTGCTACATTAAAAAATAAAAGCTGATAAAAAAAAAACCAGAGCGAAAGTCTGGTCTAATTTTAATTAGACTGAATGATGCCCCCTTCTTCTGAAAATACAGAAGCTATAAGTACTCTTGATACACATACAAATGCTAGAAAATTGTTTTTGAATTCCTTTCAGTAAGTATTACAAGGCTTGTCCTTGTCCCTTGTCAACTCTATTCTGGATTTCACAGTTATGCCAAGTAACATTTAAATTTTGTTCAGCACTGTTTCAATTATATTGCTTCAAATACTAAAAAAACCAAGGACAATAACTCATAACCACAATGAATAAAACTTTTCTACCTTGATATTGCCATGTACATCATTTTTCACTATTATATATCCACTGCCAAGTCTATCTATAATGAAAATTGTTCAGTTTGTAAATATTAACCCTTTGAACACTGTGGCTGATCATGAGCTAACACCTACAAGATTGCACAGATGTATCAAGTGATGTCATATAACATTCGATTGTACTTACAAATTATATATAGTAAATAAATTTACATAATTAAATCACGATTCCATTTATACGGTATCACACAATTTGATTTGATAATAGTTTATATCTTTGTAAACAGAATGTAATTGTAAGCTCCACAGCTTTCACAATCCTTTAATTCATTATGTTAAGAAAAGGGTCTACACGATACACTTGATTGGTTGAAAAAAATGTCATTAAAATGGGACTAAGAATAAAAATTTGTTAGATTACAATGGATAAGAAAAATATCAGAAAACCAAAAAAAAAAAAGAAACGAAATTGTAATTTAATTAGAATGCAGTCAAATCCGGTATTTTGGCAAACTAGTGACACCAACTAAAGTGTTTCCAATCCTAATGGAGTTCAATTTAAAAAAATTCCATGAAACAGAAACATTTATCATGGATACCACCTTTAATGTCAAAATACTCACCAAATAAAGGCAAGATTTGATTTGCTGCTTTTAAAAATGGTGCTGTTGGAATAAGCTTGTCATAAGATATTTCTGGAAACAAACATCCATCTCTAGAGAAAAAAGTCTTGCCGCTCATTCCTTCTGCAGACATTAGGGTTCCTGCAGATGGCGTTTTTTTTTTCTATCTTTCTTTCTTTCTTACTTCCAACAATAACTTCATCAAGATCCACTAAGGATATGCACCTTAAGTGCTTAAGTTTGGAAGTCACCATAGATAGAAGTCCATCAGGGCCTGTGTATAATATAAGTATAAAATATTCATATGAAATATTAGTCTGACAAATCTGGCCCTAACCATCCCTCTGACCTGATACAGATAAATGTTGACAGATTTTGAGAATTTTCAGCATGATAAAAAAAAAATGGGAAAAGTTCACCCCTCAACTGTATTGGAACTGAAAAATATCTAGGAATGTCTTGATGAACTCATTAATGGTTCAGCTCATATTACCAACATTTGGATTTTGTCATAGTGCCGCTTTCTTAAGCACACATGTGCAGAAAAGTAGGACATAAATTTCTATTCATTTCATCTCATTTTGTCATTGTGAAAAGAAAACTAGTAATCTAGTAATGGATTGAAGAAACTCCATTAAAAAGTAACATCGCAAATGTGCAGATATTCCGCCTGTATATATCTCATTCAAGGAACAGTTATGGGAAGATTTGTGGGGCTAATGACATATATATCATAATTGAATTCTAATTCATGAATAAAAATATTCGTAGCCATAGAACCATAAAATTAATCATTTACATTCAAATTTAAATTCTTATTATTTAATAACAATTTTATTATGCAAATTTATCATTGATAGTAATTAAGTACCGTAAGCTGTTCATTACAAACTGTAACATTGATAATTGAATTTCAACCCATTGCAAGCTGTAACATTGATTATTGAATTTCAACTTGTTGCAAGCTTAATATCAAGATTAAGCTTTTATCAATAATTACTTTGAATTTGAGTTTTATGAATTTTCCAGATTTTACAGGGATTCTGGTGACACCAGTCACCAGGTAAGCTAACTGTTGAATATATACTCATATTGACCATTTCGAGAACTCAAATTTTATGTTCATTCTAAGATGAAGTATTACTCTAATTAATCAAGTTCATCGTTTGATGTATTCAAGAAAAACTGGAAAACCGAACTGTTCAAAAAAGCTTTTTAAATTCAACATTTTGTAATGTTACATTACAATGTAAGGCTTATTGTGTACTTTAACTAACTAGATTTCTACCATAATATGTTTGTCATCATTATGTTAAATGCTCGATGCACTTGAAACTGTTATAATATAGACTCACAGTTATGTCGTTTGTGTTGCGGTAAGTATTAATAAATATAAATATACATCAGTAAAAAATGGTAAATTCTCGTGAACAAGAAGTTTTGTGCATTGAGCCGTTTAGGACGATCATGCATCCATTTAGACGTCACCAGTCAAATCGTCACCAGCTGCACCTACTTTCAATTTCTGTTTTATGTGATATTTATAATCTCTATGATAACTATTTGCCCCCCCCCCCCCTCTCCCTTAGTCATTTCTTAAATTTCGAACAACACTGCAACAAATCTTTGTAGCAAAGGAATAACTTTTTATGTCTGGCCACTTTTGAGTGTTTTTTTTTTAGTAGCAATTTGGTTTGGGACCATATTGACAACTTCCGGTGCGCAGGCGTATGACATTTCTCGAATTTGTTGACATTCGTAACATAAAACTTAAACTTAAGAATTTAGGCCCAGGAATTAATCAAAAGGTTTGTTATTTTCCTTTTTGCTTTGAGTAAATCTTCTCTCTATCCTGATTTGCCCATTTCTATCATACGCGATCAAGATCATAAATTTATATTAAGATATGCTTAAGATTCCAAAGTGTGAAAAACAAACATGACCGGTCTTGCTTCACTCCAAAAATTCAAATTTATTTCTTCATCAATGCTAGTCTGAAATAAAAGAAGACTCTTGCTACCTGTGATAAATCACGAATTGTTGTAGATTCCTCTCTAACAGTAACAGTAAAAACATGATCCAAGTTTCACTCAAATCTTACGTAAAAAATCATTATATTTATGGTGATATATGTCGTTCAAATCTTACATATAATTTCTTCAAAAGAAGGACACTTTTTTTTGTTACTCAGCCAGGACATTAAGCTTATTGCCATTAATTTCCCCATTGCTTTAATGCTGTATTGTGAATTATTTTCACTAATTTCTTAGTTAGAATTTCATCTTTCGTAAAAGACATATCTGGATGAACTTCGATCCTAATAATATTCCTATTTCTGTTGTAGCCAAGTCAAGATATGGCGCTACCATCAATGCCATGTTATTGGACAACAAGGAAGAATATTTATGAGAAAGCCATATTAAAACGACGAAATCATGAAGAAGATTTCCGTCAGAAGTGGCATAATACTGCTGATTACTTCAGTAAAAATAATGTGAAGGCTGCTAAACAAGAAACATGGACATCTGATAAAGTATTTCAAGACAGGTTGTTCAACTTTTACATACTTTCAGCTGCCTGTATTGCTTTTCAAAATGAAGAGTTTCATTCAGTTTGTGCATCATCTTTATTATCAGGATGAGCAGTAGCAAAATTTAAATTGTTTTTCCCTGTAAAAAGTGGTTGCTTCTTTTGTTCTTTTTTTCTCTTAAAGAATTGATAATCCAGGAAAGATCTCTGATGCCATGGGGTTTGACCAAGGATTATCTTGTAGAAAGTATCTTTTGTGAACCAAGGGTTGTTATCCTCGTAAAATATAATTTTTTCTTTCCTTCTTTCTATTCCTGAAGCCAGAAAATATTCTTTTCTGAATAAACCAGAATGTTGTTTAGATATTTTTATTGAATTTAATTTGATAGCATGGATGCATATAAATCTAATGTGGAAAAAGACAGCAAAGCTTTAAATCTACGTAGAAGAAGAGTTTTATTAGCTGATTTGCTAGATAAAGAAACCAAAGCATATCAGGTAACAGATTTGTGGTTGAATGTGTTCAAGGCATTGAATATTGATTCTACTAAGTGATATGGATATAGTTCAATTTAGCCCTATTGGCTGTAAAAACAAATGTGTAAACAATTATCATAAGTTTCTTGTCAAAGTTGCAAAGTTCAAAATCTTTTGTCTGTTCCAAACAGAATTTACTTATGATTAATAGAACTGATATTAAACCCAATAACATACTTGGTCATCCCAATAACATACTTGGTCATGTTGGGTTTACAAAAAAAAACCAAAAACAACCTAAGCTGACCATTTTTCCTGCAAGATTTGTGAAAAACCTTTTTATTATGAAATTGATTGTAATTGCAAGTAGATTTGAATTGTACAGATTAATCTAAAAGGATATTCTTTTCCAAAAAAATTTGAAAAAATAACCAATGATTTCAGGCTGAATTAAGAGGGTTATCTATAGACAATTATGGTAGAATGGAAGACATGAAGGACAGGGTTGAAGGATTAAAAAGTGCAAGAGAAGAAAAACGCAAACAGGTTTGTTAACTGTGCTTTGACACTTCCAACCTGTCAATCAAAATGGGGCAAAGTGAATTCAACCAATCAATTGGTCGTCTGTACAATATGTCATCATGCATTTGGCTAGTCCCGCCCACATCAACATATAAGGGAAGCGAATTTCAGCAATCACATTTCTGAATAAATTGGCAGTTTTGCTTGATCAAGAATAACAAGAGATAAAGCATTGCGAATATTTGGCTCACTATTAAGTGATTTAATAATGCGGTCTACCCATTTAACAGCATTGTGACAATGGAGGCTTGTCTCTTTCTTCAAGCAATAACTATTCCTAAAAGCTTTTAGTTAAGAAAGATTTGCTGAAATTACACTTTTATGAAATTTTATGTAAGAGTGGTTGTAATAGAAACATAAAATTGATACTACAAAAGCACTGGATGAGGTGAAAATTCAGCAACATCTAATTTTTATGAATAATTGAAAATAAAGTCATAATGATTATACTATTGTAGATAGCTGAAGAAAAATTATATGAACATTGGAAACAAAATAATCCAGATTTAAGAAAAGTGGAATCTGAACTACAACAAGAAGATGTTATCAATAAATGGTCAGATCAGATAGTTGAACAAGAGGAGGTAACGATTTAATTTTTCTTTTCTTACCTAGTTACTTCAAATCAGTGATGCAGGTCAGTACTTCCCATCAGTGATGCAGGTCAGTACCCCCTGTCAGTGATGCAAGTCACAGGGAAAAGTGCCTTACCACTGGGATTGGGCAATAAACGAGGCTCCACTGTACTTACGTTTTTAACACAATATCTAAACTGAGCTACAACCTACACCCAATTGGAATATGTTGCTTTTCTCCTTTATAATTGTGAAAATCCTTGTTTTTCAGAAATTATTATCAGCACGACTAGAGGAAAAGGAATTTGAAAGACTACAAGAAGAAAAAAGACAAGCAGCTTTAGAAGAAGAGAGAAAAAAAGAAATGAAAAGACTACAAGATCAGAAGAAATTAAAACAAGTTTTAGAGGATCAAATGAAAGAGCTAAGACAGAGAGAATCTGAGGTTAGTTAAAGGGATTATACCAGTTACAAAGTTCAATTTTTAATTCTCTATCAGGTTTAAAGGAGATCTTTAAAATTATTTTTTTTGGATAGGAACTGAACTTAAAGAATTGTTTTTTTTTTTTAGATAATGGCAAAATATTTTTTAGGTAAGAAAAGAAAGTTGAAGAAAAAGAGAATACAATGTTGCTGTCCTAGCTAATTTCCTCCATTGCACACTCTGACTATATTGCATTGCCTGTCTTCATTTTCCCAAGATGGCTGTAAAATTTAAGGTAAACTCTGTTTCATTCCATTTGTTTCAGAGTGAAAGAATTAAAAATGAACAAGAAAGTTTAGAATTAGAACAGTGGAATTTAGAAAAGCTGGAAGAAAGTAGAAGATTGAAGGAAGAACAGAGGAAAAAACAAGATTTTGGGTAAGGTTGTGCCTCACACACTCAAGTTGTAAATGAAACTGTATCTGTGATTCCAGACTAAAGAAAATTGCTTTTGTAACAAGTACAGTTCTCTAGCCCTTCAAGCATCCATATTGGGTTTTTTATAGCAGAGTGAACCACTATTTTGAAGCAAGCATTCCATATATACCCTTGAATAGTATTTGAGTAGTTATTTATAACTGTTTTTTCATTCAAAAAGTATGTCAGTAAGCACCAAACTAATTTCATTTACCATGTGTTTTTAATGGGCGCAACCATAATCAACAATTGTTTGGACTATTTTGTGATGACATATGGTGATTTTTGATTTAGAGATATTTAAAATGATGCTATCTATTTCAGTCGAATATTATTACGTCAACATAAAACTCAGTTAATGAGAAAATCTAAACTCATACAGGAAGAACTAGTAAGTACAGTGTAGTTTTCTCATTTTGTATGTGCCCATATCTGGATAGATTCCAGAGCGATCACATTCGCTTGTAAATGCAATAAAATTTACAGCTTTAACCAATTTTGATGTATACACAAACGTAAAAATGAAGATGAAAGTCGAATTTCTGAATATTCAATTGTAGTATGAAAGCTGTGGACAACCATTTGCTTTTATGAGATGTTTGAATTATTTTTATAGGAAGAAGACAGAAAATTATTACAAGATTTGATAGAACAAGAGAAAGAAGAACATTTAGTTCAGACATCAAGACAAGAGAAAGCACGAGCAGATGCACAATGGATGAAACAAGTCATTGATGATCAGATTCGAGTTGAGAAAACAAGAGAGGCAGAATTAGACATGTTATATCAGTATGTTGAACTTGTTTGCCTGTTTCTTTTGGTTTATTTCTATCTCTTTTTAGAAAACAAAAGTTACATCACGTATGTTAGACTTATACATGGTAACTTTTTATTAAATAAATAATTTAATTGGTTGAGCATGTGAAGATACCATCAATATAAATGTCTTCAGATTAAAGTAAGAGTGAAGTTACACAGAGAAAAAGTACGAAACAAAATATATTTATATAGAGTGGTTTGATATTTCCAGGGATGAAGCTGCTCGTGTATGGCAGAAACGCGAAGCAGAGTGGGAAAGAGAAAAACAAGCTAGAGAAAGATTGATGGGAGAAGTCTTGGCTGTTAGACAAGATCAGATCATAGATAAGTTAGAAGAGTTACGCTACCAACAAGAGGAATCTATAAAACAACGTGAAGAATTAGTTCGTGAGATAGAATTAGCTAATCAACTATCACATCGTGAAGAAGAGTCTGCGACTGCTGCTAGGAAAGCTTTTAAACTTGACCTTCAAGAACAGGTAAACATAGATCTGTATTGTTCAAGTGCTTTAATCATCTAAATATTTGTTTTACCAGCTGAAAGACTTAACTTTTAGTTGTCATTATCAGAATCTCAGGTCCACTTCTGCAATTCAATTAAAGGGCACTATGGCAATCTATATGCTGATATTCCCATGGGTATCTGAATAATGAAAACTACAACAATCTTGTCTTCGATTTTAATTGCTGGAGAACTGCACATAGAATTTTCATTTGATTTTTCTGTTTTGATAAAAACTCTAAAATGTTCTTATTTCGAAACTGTAAAAATGCATTAAAATTTTATTGCTTTAATTTGTGTTTAATTATTTAGGCCACAGCTAGAAGAGAACGTGATGTGTCAGCACGTAAATTATTAGAGGAAGAATTAAGGAGAGAAAAAGAAGAAGAAATGAAATATGATGAATTATTACAACAGGAAACCCAGAGAATGAGATTAGCAGGTCACACAGATAGGGTCAGTATTTCATTTTATAAAAGGCACATATTAAAAAAAATTAGTTGTCACAACTTTTGCTTGACTGGCTCCTACAATAGAAACATACAATGACAGTTTAGACTGTAGGGAAACAGGTCATCCGATTGTAATTCTGAGAAGTGATACAGACAGCTGAAAATGTGCTCTTTGGTTTGGTGTGCAGCAAATATTCAGACAATTAAATACTTTCACCACAACGAAATACCTTATAAAAGTATTTTAGGTGAATTGAAGTTCTGCAATACAAATATTTTCAACCAATTTTTGGAACTTCTATCCAGCAGCAGTTTTAAGTCCTTTCTGTTTAGAGATAGACTGCGTAACTGAAATTATACAAGTCTACCTTGTTATGTGTTTGTTACTGCTTAAACTATCTGAAACAAAGGTTGCTTAATATCCATTACCTTTGACATAGTAGAATGTTTGTTTTATTTGTTTCTATTTTTTATATTTCAGCCACATGGCAGAAAACAAGCCTGGATGTAGTCAGATTTGACACAAACAACCAGACGCATCTTATCACAATTGTAAATAGCCGAATCATGTATATACAGATTTTATTTATTATTATTATTTTTTTGTAATTGTGCCTTCACAAGTGACAAGGACAGTAACATTAATGTAATAATACATTAGAGAAATAGGACATATGTGTCATGATATTTACGATTTTGTTATGATATGCTATACAGTTTAAATTTTGTCATGTATAGATTTTGACGAAATAGATTACAAATTATAAATTTTGTAATGACAGTTCATTAGGGAATAGATTAGGTCATGAATTTCATAATTTATATATTTTGTCATGATAAGTAACAATTATCACCAAGCATACATTTTGTGATGACAGATCAATAGGTATATATTTGATGGTCATGATCGGTCATGAATTTCATAATTTATATAATTTGTCATGATAGGTCACAATTATCACTAAGCATGAAATATGTCATGACATATCATTAGGTATATATTTGATGGTCATGATAGGTCATGAATTTCATAATTTATATTATAATTTGTCATGATAGGTCACAATTATCACTAAGCATGAATTTTGTAATGACAGATCATTAAGTGTAGATTTGGTCATGAATTTCAAAATTTAGATAATTTGTCATGACAAGTAACAATTATCACTAAGCATAGATTTTCTCATGACAGATCATTATGTATATATTTGGTCATGAATTTCATAATTTATATAATTTGTCATGATAGGTCACAATCAAGATTAATTTGAATTTCAAGGATTTTTTAAAAACAGGGTCTTGTTTTTACAGTTATTTATTATTTTAAGGTAGATTGGTCAGAAGCAATGATAATTAACTTTCATTTGAGAAGATTCTTCAAGACTGAGAACCAAGTTGTCAACTGCTATGTCATTATGTGAAACCCTATGTCAGTGTACATAGTAATTTTTCAATTAATGATCTCATTGTAATGTAAGCCATTTTAATCTAGAGAGTTTGAATTTTATGTACTATGAAATCTCATTTTTGTGGCATCATGTTCGTGGAATTTCTAGATAGGCCAACCCATGAAATTTAGTCCTTACAAAATATTATGATTTCATATTTTATTTGCATTTAGATTTAGTAGTGTCAGAATTATTTTTCATGGTGTTTAAAGGAAAGTGATAGAACTATATTTTATATTATGTGAATTTAATACATTCTGTCCAGAACAAATGAAAATCAACTAACTTTTCCTTACGTAAAAAATGGAGCATAGATTTTGTTTTGAAATAACGAAATTCAGTTACCTTTGTTTTCTATTCCAGTCATGAATAAGTTTTATTTATTTTTTCATTCTGATTTAATATTTCTATATCTCTGTACAATTGATGTATTGAGCACTATTTTAACACTGAAAATATTTTGTGATGTAGAAAAAAGAAATAAAATGAATAGACTAAATTACACATTTTCTCTTTCTTTCTTTTCTTTTTTTTTACTTCTTTATCTGTGGTGTTGATATTTTAGGTTAAAAGATGTCTTTACAAAAACTTTTTAAATTATTTTTCTCCAAATTAGCAAATAAGATAGTTAGTTGTGGTCTGATTCCTAGTAGTTAGTTGTGGTCTGATTCCTAGGCCGGAAGTAACAATTATCATGTGACATCTGTCATAAAAACGAAAGTAAAAAAAATGTTAAGATGAATCTACGACAAAATTTAGTTATATTTTGTTGTTTCTGTGCTGTCATTGCTCTTCCATTAGAATTTGGAGACAGAGGCGGATGTACTGGGCCGCCTGTCATACCTGATAGACCGTTTGTTGTCATTTGGAATAAACCGTCTAATAGATGTGTTCACAATTTGTCGGAGTATGCTATTCTTGACAATTCTGGTGGACAATTTGTTGGAGATGTCATTTCTTTATTTTATAAAACTGGTGACTTTCCTTCCATTTCAAAAGGTCATATAAATAATGGAGGAATCCCTCAGGTAAGCCATCAATTATTGTCTGAGAAAAGTAAAAGTTTTTTTTTTTCATTTTTCCCATTTTTTTATGAGAATAGAAAAAGGAGCCTCAAAGTCAAAAGAGTACTGTCATTCTTAGAATTTCTTTGTGTTGATACAAATATAAGCATGAGCACACATTCTGTCTTCAAAATATTCAACAAAATTTTAGACTTTTGGGTTGAAATTTCTAGGAGCGGAATGTGTTTCTTTTCAATGTAAACTTACAAAAGATTGTTTTTTTTATCAATGCAAAGACATTCTAAAACTATAGTACTTTTACTCTTTTGAGTCTGAAATTCCAATTCACTTAAATATAATAAAAAATCAAAAAACTTTTTGATTTGCTCAGACAAGTCATTTAGTTTTCCTTATATTATGCACTAATATTGAACCATTTGCATTTCCACCACTTCTTTACCATAAAGCATCTTAAAAAAATTGTTTCCTTGCTATAAGTTAATGGCAAGGAAGGGGTCAACTTATTTTTACACTTTTTATATGTAGTCTGTTTTTTTCCTGCACAATTGAACATTAATATTTTCACATTTTCAGTTGGGTAACCTAAGTTTACATTTGTCAAAATTATACAAAGATATTGTTGAAGCAATACCAGATAAAGATTTCCAAGGTGTAGCAGTGTTTGATTTTGAAGCCTGGAGACCATTATTTGGTGATAATTATGATTCCTTAAGAATATACCAGGAATTATCAATAGAACTGGTTAAAAAACAGCACCCAGATTGGACCAATACAACACAAATCAAACTAGAGGCTATAAAACAGTTTGATGACAGTGCAAGGTAGAGATATTTTAAAGGGATACATTTGATTGTTCTACTAGAAATTGATAAATACAGGCCTTGCAATGTGCAATGAAGGGAAGACAATGGTGCAAGCCTATTCTTTTCGTATTTTCTATCTCAAAAGTATTTTTTATGGGCACATACTCTTTTGTTACTCTGGTAATAACATGTAGTTCCATATACCTGCTATCACTCTTATTGAGTTTTTCAACCAAGTCATGTTCAGAGAGTCTATGTATTATATAACTGTATTTTTTGTTGTAGAAATTTTTGGTATTCATCTTTAAAGATGGCTAGAACATTAAGACCAGGAGGATATTGGGGATACTATGGTTTTCCTCGAGCAAGAAAGCAAGGCAATGATCAGTGAGTACCACTATTTTGTTTATTGCTCTGGACCCATTGATCATGTTTGAGAGTAAAATATGTAATTTACCAGCTGATAACAAAGCTCAATTTCAGCTGTCCATTTACACACATTCTTGCTTATGAAATGTAACAAAAGTATAAGAAAGCTCTTGTTAAATCATTACAGTCAAAGTTCAAATAAATCAAATGAGAATTTTCTTACAAATTGAAAAGATAACTCTCGACTATCTCTATAACCATTAGGAACTAACTTCATTAGCAAAATCCGTCTCAAAGTTTACCACTGGAATATGTTGAATTTTTGGTATCAAAATTTGACTTGATTACCCCAAACTGAAATTTGGTGTGATACTTTGCAATTTGTTTATCATATTTTTCAATCTAAATTGAACTCTTTCAAAAAAATGTTCAGATTAGGATGGTTGTGGCAGGAGAGTACAGGACTATATCCTAGAATATACAGTTCAATATCAACTCCACCCGATGCTAGAAGAACAACTATAACAAGTATTGTTAATGAAACTGTACGTGTTAAAGCTAAATACTCCCCACCAAACACTCCAATTCTTCCTTACACACTTGTTCAAAATGGTGGAACTTATCTTTTTAATGAGGTTAGTGTAACTGTAATGTCTTCTTACTTGTTTTAAAAGATAATTCCTAGCTGAAAGTTTAATAATTTCCCAGACCTATTATTTTAAACCAAAGTGTTAAAATATCAGTATTTTGAAGCTGAAATTCCATTTGGACGTAAACAAGGATGAGATGATCTCAAGTTAAGACAGCCAAAATGAGATGTATGTCACACCACAACTATTTTTTTTCAGGCAGATTTAGACCTAGCTATCAAGTTACCAGGAGACGTAGGGTCATCAGGGGTTGTAATTTGGGGAAGCAGCCGTGATTTCCATACTCCAGGAGAGTGTGCAATATTACAAGCATACGTCAACAATGTATTAGGACCATATGTTTTGAAGCTCACCAAATTTTACACTGACTGCAGCAGAAGTCTATGTAATAGTCATGGCAGATGTGTACTGAAACAGCAAGAACTCAAATATCAAGAAAACTTATTAAGATATGGAAGAAGGTCATGTTTAAGATCTCATGAAGAAATTCAGACGTTAAGAACAGATTTGAAATCAAATTCAAGCAGCAATGGTCTCAGCATAGATAACTATGTTTGTAATTGCTATGCTGGTTGGAAAGGCAGTTCGTGTAACATCAAAACATTTTAATTCCACTTCATCTTCCTAATCAGCTTATACTTTAACACAATACCAATGCCCTGTAACACTTTTCAATAAGAAATCCTGCATCAGGTTTCATCTAATCGAATTTAACCAATGACATGTAATAATACTGGTATGACATTCCTACTTCTGTCAAATTAGTTTGTATTTTATTGAACACAAACCAAGATGTTAGATGTTCGTGTTAGAAGTGTTATTGGATGTAATTATATTTTTAACACTTCTGAAGCAGTTAATGATAACTGACACATTATATTTAGTTATCATGTAATGACACTAAATTGCCCTGTTTCCTTCAATAATCACAGATGTAGAGACATACAATAACAAAATATTTTCTCTGATGAAATAATGCTCAAAACATCAATTGTACAGCGATAGAGAAATGAAGAGACCTATCTAGATATTTCATTTATTGTTTTTATGTGTCATTCTAGATCTAGAAAGATCCCATTTAAAATGAAGATAATGTTAGTATTTAGTCTCAGGACAAGTATGTGTTCAATAAATACAGCATTTGATAGTCTCTAAATACAGTAGTGGATTGGTAGCTCAGAATGACCATGTTAAGAAAAACAAAATTTATTTCTAGAATAGTACAGTAATATTACAATAACCATACTGGTTCATACAATAATATCAACATATTTTACATTAGAATCAACAAATTTTACATAAAAATAAATTTCTTTACTGGCTTAATACACTCATACTGAAAGTCAATATTTCAATATAACTCAAAGCTGAAACTCCTAGAGATATTGTTTTTTATTTCCAGATAATCCTATTTTTTAACTTTTTATGTGTTGTTATTAAATTTTTATTTTTTGTATTAATATTTTGAAATAAATTTATTTTGTATAATTGAATTTGATGTTACATAGTGACCAGCTTGAAGCCATTTCTCTTTGAGCTTGTCATGATCTGCAGTCACAGGACCCAGGTGTAATACAAATGGCACAAATAGAAGTTTTCATGAAAATATTGAACTTCCTAATCATTAGCAGGATGTTTGAATTTTTAACATCAACTTTTAGCAGGAACATCTGAGTGAACTAGCAAAGAGAATTTTTTGTCATAAAAGAGCACTAAAAGCCATTATCTGCACTTGATAATAGCAATTATCATACAGTTTAGTTACTTTATAAATGCAATTACCCTTTTAAGGACAAAATCATTATCCTCATTTGATAAAGGCAATTATCATTACTCTATATCTAATTCATTCTTCTATAAAAGAAATTATCACTACCTAAAACAGCAATTATCTTAAGTATGCAGTAACTTGGCAAGAAATACTATCAAAATTATTAAGAAATACTGCCAAATTGTAAAGTCAAAGTTTGGTAAGTTGAAGGCATATTTGTTGAGCACTGGATCACTTTGAAATATCAACTAATTCGAAAATATGGATCTAATTAAAATAACATACATACTATGATAAATTCCAACTCGAAGCAATTCCATGTTCCATAAATATGCCTTAAAATTTAAGTCACAAGGTTTTAGCACTAATCATTTCATTATTGCTTTCATCTTTATATATATACATGCCATGCAAATCCAACCACTTCTGAAGGAAATGCTCCAGTCAAAAGTTGTCCAAAAAAAGCAGTGGTTAGGACCAAAAAAAAATAAGTGAACAGTCCCCAAAAGCCATATGAACGTAATATATATATACAAGAAAGTTTGCATTGTAAGATTTTTAGCTGCTAGTTGTAATGATAGCACAACAGAAGATTATCACGTAATATTTGCTATAACTGTCACTGGCAGCAAGAAAACTCCTCATATGCAAACCTAACCATAGCTTTCTAAAAATGATCCAGAAATATACAAAAATAAATCTTTATTAGATGACTACAATTTATATATGTTTTAAATTTTGGTCGATTTTTCCAGCTAGATTGATAGATTTCAATGACTTATGAATGACAGGTTAATAATACAATTTCTGATAATGAATGAATGATGTGATCATGGATGAACGAAGATGATAATGAAGGATAAAAATGATAATGATGATAATGAAACATAACTTATAAGAAATAATCAGGTTGAGGCTTCTTTGAAGGTATTCCTCTTGCTTCCTACAAAGTAAAAAACATAAATATTATTACATGAATTCATCATCCAGAAGCTTGCTTCCATTACAAAATGTTGGACAGTGACAAGCCTGAAAATATCAAATTCTGGATAAACTAAAGCAATGTTATTCGTTTTAAAAAATTTAATATCACTGTAACTGTGATCTAATGGTTATGGATTTGACTCCTTTGAATTCAGAAAAACCCAGAACAAATAAATCTATTTCGTCAACATCCTTAAAAGAGTGACAGATCAAGAAAGATCAAAAAGTCTTTTTTTGTTTGTCCAGACTGTATATACATGGACATTTAAGTTTGGTTTAAACTCTTAATTATATGCAATAAGAACATAATGATATGATTAAGAATACATGATAATTCATTAGAATAATAAAATAGTTTGCTTAATTTGACACTAAAAATAAGGAAACCCATCATTAATATTTTTGACTTAGTTCAATGCTCATCTGGGAACAAAATGGAACATATACTAGAAAAAAATTTTGTGATTTACTAGTCACCAAGTCATCAACACTAGAACCAAAATTAGCAGTTTTAATTGGTTGGCCTATAAACAAACCTCAAAATTTTCTGCTGTACAGGGTTCAAATTAAGTGGTATCACATTGCAGTTTGCGAGTCAAGATGGCACCTTCTGCTATGAATGTTTTCAAATAGTTACCTGAGGAGCTGCCTCAAATATAGTAAAATCTCTTTGTAAATGTTCATCTAATTCTAATATTGCTGCCACATTACCACATCTAAAATATACAATATCAGTCATATTAAATCTTACTAGACAAAAACCAAAAAATTCAGTTTTTAGAAAAATTCATAATTCTCCATGTTTTATCTATATAGCAACTAACGAGAGGATTCAAAAAATCCCTCCACCCTATTATATGACTTCTATATTTGCTTTGATTTTCCATTACTAAAGTACCACAAATCTTGTTGAAATGTTGAATCCATTTTAAAACTAACCATGAAAGTATCAAATGAATTCAATATAATAGGGCAAAGTCAAATTCAAAATGTTCAAAATGCCTATAAAATTAAAAAAATGTCCTTTATGCAATATAATTGAGGCAAATTGAGACTTGAGGATAACATCACAAACATAAGACAATGTTATGGAATAAGCAAACTTCTTTAATAAAATATCAAACACATTTCATATGATGATGACACATGTAAATTGTGTTGAAACGTTGAATGTTTAATATCATTAAAGAGGTCTGCTTATTCCATAGAATTGGACTTGTATCCCCTTTAAGTTTAAAGTAAAAGAATTTTGATGCCATGGCAAGTGTTTTTGAGACTTTGTGAACTTACCTATAACAATAATTGGGTGCTGACCACACTGTTAATACTGTATCATTAAAATGCCATTTGAACCCTTCCATAACTAACTGATGAGCACGACAAATTAAATCTATATCATTAGAGGCGTTAAATTGTGAAACTACATCACTACCAAATAAATAACCAGCTCCTCTAGGACTAACACCCCATCCTTGCATATCTATAAATACAAAAACCAAATAATCACTACTGCATTTTCTCATAAAACTTATTTTAATACAAAAATCAATATAACAATATTGTCAAAAAAAAGGTAAAATTATACTGAACTGTATCTACACAGGTTTTGGCCATACAATGCCAATAGAGGTTAAAAAAAAATGGAATCAAATTTCCTAATTTTGGAATCAAAACACATGAACAAAGTTCCAGAATAATACACCTACCTTCAGGATCTGACCAGAGTAAATCACACATTGGACCATCATGAGGTACTTCTTGTTTCCTATCTATAGCCCGTATTTGATCTAGAGTCTGAATTGATGGGGATAATCCTCCGTGAACACAAAATATCTGAAAAAGTTGATGATTCATTTAAATTACACAAAACGCTTCCAAAATAGAAGTTCTTGTCTTCTGTACAGATGTGTATCAGTGACACTCATAGATTCTATTTCAAATATGATATTTCTTTTCAACATTCATGAATTCTTTAATTCCAGAGAATTTGAACAGATGGCAAGGCAATGAAGGCATATAATGCCCTCTAAACCCAGTGACATCATAATCTGGTCTAATTTTTCAACATTCAGTCCAAAACTTTGAAGAAAACAAAATTGATGGTAGGAATTAAGGATGGGAAGAAATTTGATCTACCTTGCCATCAATGATAGCTGAAAGACTTAAATAATCAAAGATCTCTGTACAATATCTCCACACTGTTATAGAACCATATTTCCGTAAACATTCATCATAAAAACCATAAACTTGTGTAATCTGTCGACTTTCATGATTTCCTCGAATCAATGTAATTCTATCTGGATATCTGACCTAAAAACAATATAAATGACTTATTGTATACTTTTCATGTGCTTCTGTATACTGACAGGAAAGAATGAAAAATGTATGTTTCCAACTCATCTGCAAATGATTTTGCTAATAAAGACACACAGTGTACAGAGTGCAATGGGAAATTTTGACAGCAGCATAAGTCGCTTATTTATGTCTTGTTCTGTGCTATGAAATTTAAACAAGTGGTTGCCAAGCAAGATATGCCCACTTTCCTGATACATTTTCAGTATATCAAGGGCAGTCACCTATCTGTGTCAAATCATACCATAAATTTAATTTGTGCAAGATAGTGTTGATTTAAACAAGGACACATTATTTAATAAAATTCTGACATAAACTGTCACCTCTATCATCAACAAATTTTGATGAGTTTTTACTAAGTCAAAGGTAATAACTCAACTTCCGCTGATCGAAAAATTGTCAAATTCAATTTTGAATAAGATCTCATCATTATAAATGACCATACCAAATTTCATTTAAATCGGATGAAAACTGTACTGTACTATCTATTTTGTTTGCAAACAAATTTTGATGCGTTTTTCATAAATCAAGAGCAATAACTCAAAAATGTTCATCGAAAGATTGTCAAATTTGATATTGGAAAAAAGAGTGAAATTGTTCTAATATTCAATATCTTTGATACAATAATTTTTTCAGATTTTTGAGATTCAGTTTCAAATTAAGAATTTGCACAATCTATAAAAAAATAAGTTACCTTTAAAGCTAATAATAAAAGAAATGTTTCCACACTGTAAAAACCTCGATCAACAAAATCACCCATAAATAAATAATTAGTGTCTGGTACATCACCACCAACTTTAAATAATTCTTTTAAATCATAAAACTGCCCATGTATATCTCCACAAACCTAAAAAAAAATATTGATATTTTTAAGTTACCCAAATATTTGGACAATTATATCTTTTAAAGATGGGTTTCCTTATTTTTTTAGTGTCAAATTAAGCAAACTATTTGATTAATTGGTGTTTCTTATGAATTATCATGTATTGTTAATCATATCATTATGAATTAACTATTAACATGTGAGACAAACTGGTATTTTTTCCAAGTCATTAGAACACCTCTACTTTCTATTCATATAAGTATTAACATTTTCATTCTTATGAATGGGAACCTATATTTAAGCATTTCAGGATGAGACACAACAGACATTTTCTAGTCCTTATTGGGCTATAATGACAATATATGCAATTTCCAATTCAAATTCATGTCTATTAAAAACATTTGAACTCAAGGAGTCCACTACTATAGAACTTGATATACTCTTGATTTTGCCATATTTTGGTTGGCCAAAGGCTCAGATGTGAGGTACAGGGGTACATTTTATGATTTTCAGAAGCTTTGGAAATCGTTTCCTATATTAGAAAACTTTTCAACCCTTAAAACAAATTTTTAGTGGTTTCATTCTAAAATAAAAACACAAGGAATTCCTTAAAAGAGAGGTCTTGAATCCCTTGCTAGCAAGATGCATACTTCACTGTAAGAAAAGTATATTGAACAAGATGTCAACTTACAGTGACTGGTGAATCAACTCTTTGCACATTACTTTCTTCTACTAATATTTCCCTAGCTTTAGCACATAATGCTTTGACTTCATTTTCTTTTATAACTTCACATCTTCTCAAACTTTCTATTTGTCTACAAAATAATATAATTCAAGTCTTCAGAAATACTAGAAATGTACAAAAATTGCATAATTCCTTCAAAATTATCTCAAACTAGGAATTTCTTTTTCTATGTCTTTTCTATGGCAGTGTTGCGAGAAAAGACAATTCGTCTTTAAACTTTCAAACACAGATAATTCTGGACACACAAGAATTTAAAGGCTCAAATTTTAAAGGTGAGCTGTGAACACAATTGGCTTTACTAAAAAATTCAGTTTCTGAGACTAAGGTACAATTGTTAAAAAATGATGGCTCACCTGTCCCTTTAAAACATTTTAAACAGACAACTTACAGCAGTAAGAAAAATAATTAAAAAATAAAGTAAGAATGAGATTTCTTGTCAATTAAATAAATAAAGAAAAACTGATAGTAGGACCTACCTGTCTAAGTCACTAATTTCTCCCATACTGCTACTACTACTACCACTAATGGTATCCTGAAAAAAATAATTAGATAAGGTTGGATGTTTTTCAAATACTGGTACTGAACCTTTCAAACTGGAGAAAATTAGTCAAAATGTACTGATGTTTAATTTCATTTTACTTATTTGGACCAAGATGGATAAGCTTAAAAAATAAAAAAAAAATTCAGAAAATAAAGAGGTAAGCATTTTCAAGACTTTGAATGCTTATAAAGCTTTTCATTGAAGGGAATGTTGTCTTTAATGTTTTTGTAAGAGAGATCAAAATGTAGATTGTTCAGCATGATTTGTTTCACTGCAGCCAACAGGTTTTAATTCCTGTTGCTTTTTAAGAAATTCAGTAAGAAAATGGGATTAATGTCACAGTTTAGATTCATCAAATCTTATCTTAGGTACTGCCTCAAACATTAAGAAATCTGCTAGTTACCATCATTTTATGTTTAAAGTGTTGTTTGGTTTGCTGTTATTATAAGTAAGTCATAGTAAAGAGTTGTATTTATACTAGTAGGCCAATCCTGACTTAGTCATACTGTTTGTTATCAATGACTTCATTGACCTACTTACTTAAAATATCATATGAGAAATCAAAACAAGACATGATAACAGCATACACAATGTCAATAGTTTGTGTTATTATAACAATATAATTTATACTGTGCTGGTTATACTAGATAATCCATTTTGGTTTGTTACTGTTTTAACCAGATACCATTTTTATTATGTGACATCATTTCTTATACAAATATTCTTTGCCACAATCAAAATGAGGTCTAAAAATCATGCCACATTCAAATTCATAACATCAATCAGTGTAAACTTTAAACTAATTCTGGATAAAGCTAATCATGCCATGATACAGTATGTCACGTGATACAAGGGAACCACTAGGGAGGAACTTGTAAAGGGAAGAAACCACTACATGCCGCAATGAAAATGGGATACAAAAAATTAATTTATACTCAAAGTTTTAACTTTTAATAATTTATAACTTTGTTACTGTGATATTTGGTAATGTAGTTTACAGGAGTAGTTAAGGTCTACTGACCTGTCTTCACAAAATAGTTTCAGTGAAAAAAATTTTTGATTCCATTCACACGTCTCTCATTCCATAAAAACTGGAGGATTTTATACAAGTCAGCAAAAGGAATCAGAAATTCTTTCTCACTGACCTGACTGAAATTGTTGGAAACTATCTAAAAGCTTAATCTGTCTATTCATGCTCATGCCTCAGTCTCCCCCTCAGTCAATTCATAATAGACAGGTGATTACATAATATCACATAACACCATAAGCTTTAAACTTATATCTGGCTTATTAAACACAAATTCAAATAGATGGAATATGTAGTTAGACATGTCCTGAGGTCGCAAAAACGAAAACGATTACACAAAATCATAATATTCAAAGACGTCAAAGTGAATAAATTTATAAACGCATTTTGTTTCTTTTATTTTTAGTGTAGATCGATGCCTCTTCTCTCCAAATTACATGGCAGGACATTATGCTACAGGGTTCATTTCAACAATAATATTTATCTAAATTCTTAGACAACATACAAACATTGCACAATTGAGATAACTATAGAAAAAATTACCAAAGCTTAAAGATATAATCAAATTTCGGCGACAAGGTAAATTATTTTCTTGAAGTCGCCGAGTAATGGCCGCCTATTCCCAGTCACGTGATATAACTCGAGATTCGATAAGGAAAAACAACAGAAAAATAATTAGACCTATTTCCATGAACTAAAAGTTTTTTATTCATGTGAAATCAAAAACATGCACAAAAACAATAAAAATAAAAATAAATTGTAAAGTAAACCAAAAATATCTTGAAGCTGGAAAATTTTGACGATTCGATTTTCCAGACTCTTTTCTACAAATAATATAATATTGCGATCATCGATAGTGTCAAATCGACCGAACGTTTGTTGAAACAACCGTATTTGTGTGATTTAATATGTTATGTCTTAATGTTATTCCATGTTGTAGAGTAGAGTGTAAAAATGAAGAATACCATTTATGGAGGGGTTTCACCCAAAAGCGATATAAATAGTAAATAATAAATAAATAATTATTATTTGGTCAATTCTAGTGAAGACTAAGTTCAATAAATGCAAAAGCATGTCTTGGAGGTTAAACAAAGTGGATGAAATGTTGCATTCCGATTTAGAAATGATGGAGCTAATATTCAACTTTATGTTAAGATATTTTATGTTCTGAATAAAGAAAATGCTCATATCCAAGATATAACTTAAACGGCGTGTAATACAAGTATTTAAGCAGACAATAATAGCTTGAAGATCGACGTACTAGGCTAAATTTTGTGGCTTTTAAACAAAAAAGTTACACACTTATTAGGCAATTTCGATGACTATCCCTTTAATAGATTGGAATCCGGATTGTTTTCGTCCACAATATTACAGTAGTATTCTCATCACACAGATCGACGGCAACTGAAGCTTCAAGACAAAGAGAACGAGACACGTATGTATCTATGTACTTCTTGTATATTATATTATTTTTTTCAGTTCGGACAATGTGTATGATATAAGCTATTCTTTGTCTTTATATAGTCGATGTGTTCAAAAGTTTTTATTAATTTAGAAATGGGTTTATTGCGTTGCTATTTTTAGTGCACGCTAGATTTGGCCTATTTTATTTTAATACTGTAGATGTATTTTATCTACTATAATATAGTACACTATGTGTATGTACACCGTGAATGGTTTATATTAAGTGGGTTCTATCTTTTCTATAATACTTTACTGCTTCATATCTCCCAAATTTAGCAAAGGTATATCACATCTAATAAACATTTACAGCGTTGCTAACGAAATAAGCATACCTCATTCAATGTGGTCAGTGGGCTAGCGGTCACTTTATAAGGCCTTTTTATTATTTCAATGATAATTTGTTTCTTAAAGGGACAGATTCGCCATCATGAGGGGTTGATTTGAGTCTTGAATATTAAGATTATACTAGAAGCACTAGAAATGTACGAAAATCGCACAATTCCTTCAAAAGTATATCTTACTAGGAAAATCTTTCCCTATTTCTTTAAATGTCTTTTCTCTAGTGTCTCAAGAAAAGACGAGTTGTCATTTTAAATAATAGTAATTCTGGTCACACATGGATTTGAAGGCACAAATTTTAAGGCACACTATTAATGATTGGCTTAGCTAAAAAAAAATCCCGTTTCTGAGACCAGGGTAGGATTGCGGGATCTGTCCCTTTAAATTTACTTCAAGAGACTTTGCTGTTCAAAATACCATGAAGTACAAAATTGAGAGGCAAAGAAGAACTTCCCTGCAGCTTCTGTTTCAAAAATCTGCCCTAAATCAAAAACACTTTATATCCACAACTGAATAGAAATCATCATTTCGTGTTAGTGTAATTGTATTTTTTTTTTTTCAGTATAAAGTGTAAAATGATTTGGTGCGGCTACAAGGATGTTGTAAACCAACTGAATTTCGTGTGGACCACGTTAATCTTGGCGCTATCCGCACTTTTTATCGGCTACTTGCGATATTTTCATCTCCAATCATTGATAACATGTTGGACACCGGCCCATTTCGGTGACATTGAAAATGCCTATGTGCATCAAACATGTTGGGAAAGAGACACTGCTTACGCGCTACAACTGAATGAGCCACTTCCGGTTGATTTAGAAGATTATGGCAATTCTAGACCGGTTGTACATACCTGGATACCAATTCTTCTTATTTATTTGATTATTGGTTTCAAGATACCGGAAGCCATCAAAGTCCTGCTCGATCTTTGCACGGGATCTCAACCCAAGTCATTGGTTGCTTCAACAGATTCATGGGAAGGGAGATGTGCAAGTTTGGCTGAATGTGGTCGAGATATCGTACAAAGAAATGGAATAGTCAAGACCTTGTCGTTTTTCTTGGTGAAGATATTCATTCTCATCAACCTGGTAGCCCAGTTCAGTTTCATTCGAATCTTTTTTCGTGATCAAATGATGAGCAACAATGTCACTGTTAATGTTTTACCCAAATATCTTCTGTGTGATTTCAAAATTCGACAAATACAAAACGTAGGAGATTATGTGGTCCAGTGCGAGTTTCCAGTAAACACTTTGTACGAAGTCTTTTTCAGACTATTTGGTTATTGGGTTCTTGGTGTTGGATTGTTGGCCGGTGCTATATTCCTGTTCCAGATTGGTACATTAATGGTTCCATTGTTTGTTGCCATCAGATTCCGTGGAATTATTCCTGAAAAGGAGTTGAAATTGAGAGGTTTTTCTGTTGATGATGCGTTGTTATTTTTAGAAGAGGTAAAAGATGAATTTGGAGTCGCCATGGCCAGAAGCGTTGCTTCAAAGATGTGGCAAAATCCAAAGACGGTTCGTAATGGTGAACATCAGGATCCGATGAACGAATACAATTCTGGTGATGCAAGTGTTTACCCTTTGTTAGATAGACCTCCTGCAACTGACAAGCATACAGAAAACGCATAAATCGATCGAAAACAACACAATTGTAATGAAATTGGCTGGAGTACAAGGTGCTGTCAAGAGGTTTTCTAGAATTTTCATATGTATCATTCGACTAATATCTGACGATCTTTGCGACCTATAGTTTTGGCGGAATTGCATGACTCACGGCTGTCAGACTGAAGTTCGGTACTTGATGGTGAATTTTTGATACACATAAAGGTTTGAAAAAAAAAACTTATGAACTACATTTAATGTGCGAATAGATGAGGTGCGTTTTCCGCATACGTCAGGGGTTCATTTAAGAAACGACCCAGAAAACAATATTGACCTTATTGCAAATTGCGTAGTGTATTTAAAGGGACAGATGCGCCACGGAATTTTTTTAGCCAAGCCACAGCTCACTGCGAAATTAGAGCCTTCAAATCCATGTGTGTTAAGAATTATCCGCTTTTGAATGTTAAAATGACGACTCGTCAAGATAAGATATTCTGTGATATACAGAAAAGACATTTATATAAATAGTGAGTAAAATTCCCAGTTTGAAGTATTTTTCGTACATTTCGTACTTCTGAAGACTATTTTCATATATTCAAATCTAAAATCAAGCCCCCAAAATGTAACTGCCCCTTTAAAATCTCTGGCAAGCCAAGACACGACTTCAGCTTCTCAGGATTCTTATCTTTATGACTTATTTACCCTTACCATAACATGTTTTGTAACTTTCATATTATTATTGTGAACTAGTTGTAGTTTGTAAATAAAAGAGTATTAAAAAGTAAGTAAGTAAATATGACGTGGAAAAATAGATTTGATTTCAACTTCTGATTTTCCATCAGACATCTAACACCTCCTTTTTGTCGGGATTGGGTTTCCTCGAACGTAGCTAGAGTTCGGGCAGAGGGATTTAAATATCCGTAGAGGCAGAGTTCGGGATAGGTGTTTCGGACAACCTGCGATGTTGGACGATGAATCGACTGAACACGAAACATTACTAGGTTGTCCACGACAACGAAACTTGACTCCCGCCTGTTCGACACTGCCACATCATCAATTTTCAACGCCATGCATGCCATCGAATAAATATTTCAGAAACATCACATCGTTCTTCATCGCATCTCATCGCATTCCAAACAGGCTGTAGGAAGAGGTTGGGGGGTATTTAAATAAGTTTTAAGTGTAATCAAATTTAATCCGCATTAGTCAGATTACGGCAGATCTAGTCACGCATTGCTACAGACAGAAGTTTACTAATAGCTGATATGAACGATGTTCACATACTTTAAAGGGACAGATGCACCATACACTATTTCTATATATGTATTACATGGTTTAGAAGGGTCAAATTTCGACGGTATAAGCTGTGAACACTATTGCTGATTTTATCATGGAGCATGAACTTGACCGTCTGAAAGCTGGCTTCAGAATAACAGCCAAACGATGATTGAATATGAAGATGTCGTCTCCCATTTGGTTGGTTTGTAATGTTTTATTTTTGTGATATTATGTATTATGTAAATGTATATAAATACTGTATAATTTAATTATAAAGGTAGTGTTTTATAGTCAATAGCCCTATAGTTGGGTTGTTCCCGGGCTGTTTTCACTTTGCTGGCAGATTATACGGATTAATCAAGTGTAATTAATTAAGTTTTAGACAAGAAAGTTAGATCTCTGAAACGAAATTTCTATAGAATATCAACCATGTTATTTGTTACGACATAGCTGTTTCAGTACCAACGTCCAACCAGCAGAAGCGTATCTGTCTGATGGGGGAAGGGGAGCAAATTGAGAGGTCTTTGTGTGTTAAAGCGAGGACAAACTTAATTTTTATGCCATGTTAGTACCGATTTGTTCAAATCTAGTTCTTTAGTCAAATATTCACACATTCAATTCCGTGAATAACAAAAAAAAAAAAAAAAAACGCAATATAGGTTAAAATTTATATTTATTATACGAGACATGTAAAAGTGAAACAGAAACATTATATAATATGTATATCTTCACAATAATAAAATATTTTCACTGTTAAATTATTGCTAATATATCAATTGTAGAGTCACATAGAAATATTAAAACAGAATGAATGGAAAAATACAATAATAAAATATTTTCACAGTAAAAATAGTGCTCAATACATCAATTGTAGAGTCACATAGACATATTAAAACAGAAAGAATGAAAAATACAATAATAAAATATTTTTACTGTTAAAATAGTGCTCAATACATCAACTGTAGAGTCACATAGAAATATTAAAACAGAATGAATGAAAAATACAATAATAAAATATTTTTACTGTTAGAATAGTGCTCAATACATCAATTGTAGAGTCACATAGAAATATACAGAATGAATGAAAAATACAATAATAAAATATTTTCACAGTAAAAATAGTGCTCAATACATCAATTGTAGAGTCACATAGACATATTAAAACAGAGTGAATGAAAAATACAATAATAAAATATTTTTACTGTTAGAATAGTGCTCAATACATCAATTGTAGAGTCACATAGAAATATTAAAACAGAATGAATGAAAAATACAATAATAAAATATTTTTACTGTTAGAATAGTGCTCAATACATCAATTGTAGAGTCACATAGAAATATTAAAACAGAATGAATGAAAAATACAATAATAAAATATTTTTACTGTTAGAATAGTGCTCAATACATCAATTGTAGAGTCACATAGAAATATACAGAATGAATGAAAAATACAATAATAAAATATTTTCACAGTAAAAATAGTGCTCAATACATCAATTGTAGAGTCACATAGACATATTAAAACAGAATGAATGAAAAATACAATAATAAAATATTTTTACTGTTAGAATAGTGCTCAATACATCAATTGTAGAGTCACATAGAAATATTAAAACAGAATGAATGAAAAATACAATAATAAAATATTTTTACTGTTAGAATAGTGCTCAATACATCTATTGTAGAGTCACATAGAAATATTAAAACAGAATGAATGAAAAATAAAATAATAAAATATTTTCACAGTAAAAATAGTGCTCAATACATCTATTGTAGAGTCACATAGAAATATTAAAACAGAATGAATGAAAAATACAATAATAAAATATTTTTACTGTTAGAATAGTGCTCAATACATCTATTGTAGAGTCACATAGAAATATTAAAACAGAATGAATGAAAAATACAATAATAAAATATTTTTACTGTTAAAATAGTGCTCAATACATCTATTGTAGAGTCACATAGAAATATTAAAACAGAATGAATGAAAATACAATAATAAAATATTTTCAGTGTTAAAATAGTGCTCAATACATCAATTGTAGAGTCACATAGAAATATTAAAACAGAATGAATGGAAAAATACAATAATAAAATATTTTTACTGTTAGAATAGTGCTCAATACATCAATTGTAGAGTCACATAGAAATATTAAAACAGAATGAATGAAAAATACAATAATAAAATATTTTTACTGTTAGAATAGTGCTCAATACATCAATTGTAGAGTCACATAGAAATATTAAAACAGAATGAATGAAAAATACAATAATAAAATATTTTTACTGTTAGAATAGTGCTCAATACATCTATTGTAGAGTCACATAGAAATATTAAAACAGAATGAATGAAAAATACAATAATAAAATATTTTCACAGTAAAAATAGTGCTCAATACATCTATTGTAGAGTCACATAGAAATATTAAAACAGAATGAATGAAAAATACAATAATAAAATATTTTTACTGTTAAAATAGTGCTCAATACATCTATTGTAGAGTCACATAGAAATATTAAAACAGAATGAATGAAAAATACAATAATAAAATATTTTCAGTGTTAAAATAGTGCTCAATACATCAATTGTAGAGCGATATCTTAACACAAGTTCAGATAATGCAAAAAGTCAACACATGCCAAGCGATCTTTCAAGAGTATGCTAGTCATTTTAATTTTCTCCTCCTTTTAAACATAAAGCAAAAGTGTCATACCATTATAACTAATATCCCTATTCCCCTCTCTTATGATACAAAGGAATACGCTCACTTAATAGAATATGGACATAGAAATTCAATATTTTTGTTATCTTAAGATTATCACTTCCAGGTTGTTATTAATACCTTAATATATTAATGTTCATAGCGGTGACCAGTCTGAAATACCTTGTAGAGGAACCTGGCGTTGGAATCTGAAAAGATGTCTGGGTAGCTGAAATTGAACTCTCTCAACTCGGTGAGATAATATTTAGATATCTATTTATACTGTGCATAAAGCAAATTAAACAATTTCTGTCTTCTCCTGATTAGTATTGTCTAACAATGGAGATATACTGGAGTCTGCAGCACCACTCTCTGTAGTGGTCATTGGTATTTCCTGGAAACCATCACCACTAACTAATATAGGTTGCTCTGATCCTTGCATAGGCTGTTCTTTTACCGACTTAAAAGAATCCCACATCTTTGAAGCAACGCTTCTGGCCATGGATACTCCAAATTCATCTTTTACCTCTTCTAAAAATAACAACGCATCATCAATAGAAAAACCTCTCAATTTCAATTCCTTTTCAGGAATAATTCCACGAAATCTGATGCCAACAATCGGAGGAATCATTAAGGTACCAATCTGGAACAAGATGATGGCAGCGGTGAATAAACCGATTCCAAGAATCCAGAAACTGTAAATCCTGAAAAACTCTCGATAAAGATGGTTTACAGGCATTTGGCATTGAACAGTAAAACTTTGAATACGTGATTGTTGCCTTATCTGAAAATCACAAAAGATAATTTTTGGGAACATCACGTGTTGAACCTCGACGGTAACATCATCATCTTCAAAGATACTTACAGAGTCTCTGAAATAGGACCGAACGAAAATAAACTGAATCAGAAGATTGGCAAGTATCAATATCTTCACCAAGAAAAACGACAAGGTCTTGACTATTCCATTTATTTGTACGATATCTCGACCACATTCAGCCAAACTTGCACATCTCCCTTCCCATGAATCTGTAGTAGCAACCAATGATTTGGGTTTCGATCCTGTACAAAGATCGAGCAGGACTTTGATGACTTCTGGTATCTTGAAACCGATAATTAAAAGGACTGCGATGACAGGAATAAAGGAATGGTAGGTTGTAATCTGATGCTGTTTCCCACCATGAGGTACGGAAGGTTCATAAGGTAAATAAGAAGTGTTTTGGTTCCAACATGCCTGTAATGCGTACATTGAATGACTGTTCATGAATTGTGCAGGCGTCCAACAGCTGATCAATGAGGGTAGGAATAAAATCCGCAATGTACCAACCAAGAAGGCAAACACTAGCAATATCAAGGAGCTCCATAGGAAACTCAATCTTTCAGCAACATCAAAAGACGAATAAAAAGCCATCCTGGACCTGAAAAATAATGAATTCGAATATTTAACGCATAGAGGCTTCATAAAATTAGGTATTGAGTCTAAATCCTGTTAAAAATATAATATGTTTTTTTCGTAAATTTTAATATTCTGAAGTAAATATTGCCTTTTCAAGTAATTCCGCCATTACAAAAAGGTGGGAGGGGGTAATTTGAGTCTTGAATATATGAAGTATTAGAAATGTACGAAAATCGCATAATATTTTCACTTGGATTTGAAGGCTCGAATTTCGACTGTTATTTGTGAACACTATAACTGATTCCCGTTTCGGTAACTAAAGTATGAATGGTGAAAAAAAAGTGGCGCGTCTGTCCCTATAATGTATTCAATCATAAGCCTGTAAATAAGTGCATACGATCAAATGCATGTTTTGTCGAATTTTCTACGTTTTACGTTTATAGGTCATGACAGGAGCGTATCTTGAAAATGCCTTAAGGGGTGGGGGTTTGAGATAGCCTGTGATGAATTTTGAGTATTTGGATGGCTTAAAATCACTTCAAAATGAGATGACCCTCCCTTAATACGACACCGATGAGAAAATAAGATCATATCAAATTTGTTTAAATTACAGGTCAAAAAGTTGGTTTCATTGTTTCTGCGGGCTACTCAACTCGACATCCATGAGCTGGAGAATTACTGCTTCAAATCAAACCAGTATAATTTTGCAAATATGCCAACCAATCAAAAACACTCTTAATGTTCAATCTTATATTTTCCAAAAACATCATGACGTATTCGATAAATCTTGTATTGAAATACAGCATCTAAATTGATTGAAAAAATGTATGACCTAGAATATGTGTTGCATAACAATATTGTCCAATCATGGTTGTACCACCCACAGAAAAACAAGAGAAACATCAAGACCTGCATTTTGATCGGATTGGATTACATTATAGAACAATTCGTCACTCGCATCTTTGACCTTTCAGGGAAAAATGGGGCCCTGGAGATTTCATTTTGATTAATGTAACCTTATAGTGACTTTACCACATTATTATCAGACTTACTTGGAATGCTTGCCAGTTGTTTGACATTTAAACTCATATTTATCAGAAATGTTAGATTTAATAAGTTTATACCCAAATAATTATCAAATGACTCATTTTACTTTAGTCTGATGTATTTATTATTGATGTTATTAATCTGGTGCGTGTCGACTCAAATATTATCATAGCCTTACATAGCCATACATAGCCAGCTTTTCGGACTATCGCCTCTTTCCATCTGATCGATTTGAAGAATTATGGGGTGTAAAATTGCGGTAAAGCTATATTTGTACGAAAGCACAGGCAGGGGATTATTCTTTTTGTGAAAACATCCCAATGATCAGTAGGTAATGCAATGCAATGTGCTATGTCTAAAAACTATAGTCGAAATCCTTTTGTTTTTAGGTGAAGAACAATTTACAGCAGTCTCTGTCTGGCTAGGCTTAATCCTAAAACTTCTTATTTCGTCACATTCGAACGACTTGATGAATTTTCCTATTCAGTCTCCAGAGACTGGTATAAATACAGTTTAAAAGTTTACAGAACCCGTATCTATACGCTTCATTAAATGATCAGTATTCACATAAGAGAACTCAAAACTTATGTGCATGTGCTTTCGTAACTGTCATAAGTACAAAGTTATATAACGTTTACGCCCTAACCTCACATGGAAATGTTCAAATGCAAGGAATTGAAATAATAAAATTTGAATAAAAGCCTACCCCTGAGAATTCTGTCCTTTCAGTCTGTAACAGGCTATGTGTAATCATGAGGTCTGAGGTTAGAATAGAACTAAATGTTAAAATAATTATTAACAATCAAATTTATAGACCAATTACAGGCCTTATACATTATACTTCTTATACAGAAAACTTTTAATTCTGTGTGTAACTTTCTGAGAAGTCCGAATTCTTAAATTGAAATAATTTCCTATAGTTCCTTATTCTCAAAATAAAAACATTTTCAAACAATTCCTAAAAATCAAAATAAAAGCATTTTCTTAAAAAAAAGAAATGATTTTGTTCCGTAATCTCTAAATGAAATACTTTTCTGAAAATTCCTTATTCTCAAAATAAATTTTGGAAAGACGAATTCTCAAAATGAAATTATTTCTTAAAATTCTTAATGCTCACGAAATATTTTCTGAAAATTCCTTATTCTCTAAATGAAATGATTTTCTGAAAATTCCTTATTCTCGAAGACGGATTATTCTGAAAATGAAATTATTTCTTAAAATACCTAAAGATCACGAAATATTTTCTGAAAATTCCTTATTCTCAAAGACGAATTCTCAAAATGAAACATGTAACTGTCGATAGAGATCAATATCAGGTAACATTTCAAAATTGAAATCCTTTTGATTAAGTTAGTTGGCTAGCGTGCAATAACGATATAATCCTAGTAATAATTGTACTGGGTGACTTTTTCTGCAATGTTGTGGCTATTAAAGTCTTATCAGTTCGTAAAACAAATATTTACACGATCCTTCAATCATTATCTATGACTGCGCAGCAACAATTAATCAGAGGAAGGGACCAGGATAATCATGACTATCTTGAGAGATGGCCGAATTGACGTAAACGGTCGAAATGACTCATTAAAATACATTTGAAAAGATCAGTTATACTGGAAAAGCGGGACTACTTAATTCATCTATTGAGATTCTTCCGAAAAATTAACCCGGTTGTAAACAACATTGCGAAATCGGCTTGCGAAAGCCTTACAACATTTTATTTCTCAAAATTTTGCAGGATGGGTAACATACACACAGTTGGACCTAACAAGGCACTCGTAATTTCTGGTAATTATTCCTTTGTTTCTTCTATCGATGTCTGTTTTATGCAAATCATCCAAATTCTGTGCACTTTTACTAGTTTTAGCTTGGCTTGGATCAAATGTCATGATAAATAAAGGACATTCCTTGCATAGTTATCTATTTTCTGAATAACTCTGGCTGTAAGCTGTCACAAATAAAGTTTATTGAATCAATGTTGTACTGCTAAGCAAGCTAGCCTGTGATTCCTCAATTACTTGTTCTGTTCAACCATTGCTGGTGTGATAGTGACCTAGATAGTAAGCTACTGTATTATTAGTAATAGTATAAGTAATTAGGCTATTACTGTGGTAGTAGTAGAACTAAAAGTAAAAAGAGAGCTGGGGTGTAGCTTTACAATGTGATGTTTATCCTAGATCTTAAAGTTATTGCTTAGAGAAACCAAGAAGGCTTAATAACATGCCTGAATGACCTTTAGCCTCATATCCTTACAGTATCTGGGCATTTGACCATGTCCTTATTGAGGGTCAATTAGACTAGATTGTACTGTACAGTCATTAATTAGCCATCATAGAAATGTTGGTGATTATTAAATATTGTGAAAATGATAAAGAAAAATATGACTGACACACTAATTTTTTTTTGGATTTTAACTGAAGAACTAAAAATGCCAAATGTAGCTGGATAATTTAAATGCTTTCTGTAAGCTTAATTGGTGTTTGATATCTTTTTAGGTGGTTGTTGTGGAGGACAAGGTAGAAAATATATTATAGGAGGATGGGGTTGGGCATGGTGGTTAGTTACAGACACACAGTCGTAAGTATACAGACAATAAACAAAGTAGAGTTTCAGCATCAGGGACGAGAGGTTCAAAGAATTCATGTAGAAAGAGAAGATGTGTTATTGTGTTACTAGTGCCCCCCTTGCACAATATCAAGAGGTATGGACATATGAAATTTGACACTAGAGCTTACACCATGTTGCAAAGATATTTAATATAAAACTGTTTTTTTGTAGCATTTCATTAGAAGTAATGACCTTGAACCCAGTGTCAGAACACGTAGAAACATCAGAGGGTGTACCAGTTACAGTGACAGGGGTCTGTCAAGTTAAAATCATGAGAGAACCTGATATACTCAAAACTGCTTGTGAACAGTTTCTGGGTAAAAGTCCACATCACATTGAAGCTGTCATATTACAGACATTAGAAGGTCATCTTCGAGCTATTTTAGGTAAGCATCTTATTTGATTGTATGCAGACTGGTTTAGTTTAGCAAAGGTATTTGTGCCCATCTGCGTCCTATTCAAAACATACAAACAGAAATGGACAGAATAAGTCCTCATGATTAAGTTGAAATTTCTATTTATTTCACCCAACAATGAACTGTTGTTCAATGTTTTTGTTTCAAATTGGAGCCAAGTGTCCAAAATTGTCTGTGATGGACTATATTTTGATAGCTTTGTGAACCTTATAATCTCCCTTGAATGGAATTGTTGTAATTTTTATGAATAGCAGTATAATACATGTAATGGCTCATCAGTTTGTCTCCACTGGCCCAATCTGGTGCACAAAAGTAGGATATTAAACTCTATTTCATTTTAAATTGAGTAATCAGTAATATGCCTGTAAGAATATTGGTGATGTTTCTAAATGCCATGCAGAGCCTATTATTAAGCTTTATCAATTACTTAAAGGAATTAAAAGAGGTTTTCTAAATTTTGTGTCTGTATCAGGGTCACTGACAGAATCAGTCAGCACCATTTCAATTTTCAATCACAAGTTCCTGCAATTCTACTAAAACTAAATGTTTGATGACGTCACTAATTGCTAAGGCCATATGTGATAAACCATACTTGGCAATTAGGGATGTCATCTAACACTTAGTTTTAGTAAAATTGCAGGAACCACAGACTGGAAAGGTGCAAATTGGTGATATCAGTGTCCCTGATACACATACAAAATTCAGAAAACCTCTTTACAATTAAATTGAAAACTTGCTTCTAGAACAAAGAACTTTCTCAGGAGATGGGCCTTTTTATAGCACAAAAATGTGCATGTAAAAAATGCCAACTTTTTTCTTCAGGTACATTAAGTGTAGAAGCTATTTATCAAGATCGAGATCAATTTGCCCAGTTAGTCAGAGAAGTAGCTTCTCCTGATGTTGGTAAAATGGGTATAGAAATTCTCAGTTTCACTATTAAAGATATCTTTGATGATGTAGAATATTTGTCATCATTGGGTCGAGCACAGACAGCTAATGTGAAACGTGATGCTGATATTGGTGTAGCTGAAGCCAACAGAGATGCTGGAATCAGGGTAAGTAACTCTTACAAGCAACTACAGGTTTCAGATTCTATTGAGGTATATAAATAGCCTTACCATTAATTTAAAGGGGGTTGGACACTTGTTTGCTTACATGATAGCCCAAGATATACTTTCAGATAGTAAACCCGGCTTCTCCCTGTCAATGATACAGGTCAGAGATGCTGACATTGAAAAAGTGTCTAGCTTCTTTAATTATAAACCAAAGCCATGAGATGTACAGGCTGTGTGAAGTTGAAGATCCCTCATCAAATGGAAATTGAGAAAGAACAGGCTAATGAAGAAGGCTAGGCATAATACCTCCTTGCACAGAGCTTTACTCGTCACTCATTATCATTTGCCTAATCAATTGCAGAAAAGACAGACACGAAACACTATTAGAATAGATTTCATTTGATTCAAACATTCTTGATGTGAAATTTTCAAGGGAGTCTTTGCCCTTTCTATCAATATAGCATTAAGATATTTCATTGTATCACATTCCATTAAGCACAGCATACTATAAAGATACATTATTCAGTGAAACATAGTGAAAAAAGAAAAACAATACAAATGTTTATATACTATAAAGATTTTTCAATGTCATGAACTTATAATTGACATAGATCAGTATAAAACATGAACAAGTAGTTTTGAAGCGGTATTTCAAAGAAACGCAGTTAATTGCTTATGTACATTAGTAAAACAAATTTCATATATGTTGAAAGACATGATATTATGGTAGATTGCCATGTGTTTTGCAATATATAACCAGTATTGTGCAATAGAGTTAACAGATTTCCACATTTCATATTATATCAGTTAATTTATTGAGTCAATGAATTGAAGCTTGTGTATAACATATTTTTATAAAAAGGGTGTTTACAAACAATTTAAGACTTAAAGAGGTTTTCTAATCTTTTATCTGTATTGGACACCAATTAGCACCATTCCAATTTTCAGTAAAGTATCTGTGGTACCTGCAATTCCACAAAGGCTAAGCACTATCACAAAGGACCTTATATCATGTATCCTTTTTTTCCCCCATTGTTATTGCCCTTTAAGACATAATGCAGTAAGCTTATAGAGAATTGTACACAAGACAGTAAGCTTATAGAGAATTGTACACATAATACAGTGTAAGCTTATAGAGAATTGTACACATAATACAGTAAGCTTATAGAGAATTGCACACATAATACAGTAAACTTATAGAGAATTGTACATATAATACAGTAAGCTTATAGAGAATTTCACACATAATACAGTAAGCTTATAAAGAAATTTACATATAATACAGTAAGCTTATAGAGAACTGTACACATAATACAGTAAGCTTAAAGAGAATTGTACACATAATACAGTAAGCTTTTAGAGAACTGTACACATAAAACAGTAAGCTTAAAGAGAATTGCACACATAATACAGTAAGCTTATAGAGAATTGTATACATAATAATTGTACACATAATACAGTTAGCTTATTGTACACATAATACAGTAAGCTTATAGAGAATTGCACACATAATACAGTAAGCTTATAGAGAATTGCAAACTTAACACAGTAAGCTTATAAAGAAATTTACATAATAATACTGTAAGCTATAGACAACTGTACACATAATACAGTGTAAGCTTATAGAGAATTGTACACATAATACAGTGTAAGCTTATAGAAAATTGTATACATAATACAGTAAGCTTATAGAGAATTGTACACATAATACAGTAAGCTTATAGAGAATTGTATACATAATACAGTAAGCTTATAGAGAATTGCAAACATAATACAGTAAGCTTATAGAGAATTGTACACATAATACAGTGTAAGCTTATAGAGAATTGTACACATAATACAGTGTAAGCTTATAGAAAATTGTATACATAATACAGTAAGCTTATAGAGAATTGTACACATAATACAGTAAGCTTATAGAGAATTGTATACATAATACAGTAAGCTTATAGAGAATTGCACACATAATACAGTAAGCTTATAGAGAATTGTACACATAATACAGTGTAAGCTTATAGAGAATTGTACACATAATACAGTAAGCTTATAGAGAATTGTACACATAATACAGTGTAAGCTTATAGAGAATTTTACACAATAATTACATCACATTATATAACTTTAACCTATATATATATATATATGATATATTATGTATGATATATTATAATCAATCTTGCCTTTAGTTATTTTGTAATAATCAGGTTATTTATCATACACATTGTAATAGTATATTAACCTTGCCCTTAGGTATGACAAACAAAGCACCAGAACTTGTTTGTTAAAGGGTTATAGTCATCTAAAATTGTATTTACCTGTTTTAGTTTTAACCAGCCATACATCTTTTTGGAAGGGGAAGGTAACTTGACTTCAGATGCACACAATGTGTAGCCCTCTGATAAGCACAGTCAAGAGTCAAATGAAGCACATGTCAGCCCCCTTCCTAGGGCTGGGCGATATAACGGTATAGCGATAAATACTGGTATTGCAATTTATATTGTTAATAATATCGCCTGATTAAAAAATACCGAATATGGTCAAATTTTTGTCCAGATAAGATCATCTACACAAGTTTAACAAGTAACTTAATGTTTGAAACAGATATTTTTTTTATAATGTTAAAGACTGAGGTGTTACAGATATTCATTGTTTTATGTTACATTTATAATTTCTAGATCATCATTTTGTTTCAAAGACCAATAAAAATCTACTTACAAAATATTGTGATATATTAATGTTAAATATCGTGATATTATAACCTGAATTAATATTTCCCTTACCCTTTCCCCGGTTTTCATGATCTTCCTCAAGCCCTTAAAAATTTTTATCTCTATCCTTAGGTAAAGCAAATATTTATATTATTGATAATTTGTGTCAATTTTGGTTACTTATGAATATTTGACATTGCAGGAAGCTGAATGTGAGAAGAGTCGATTGGATACTAAATATGAAGCTGATACAAGAGTTGCTGATGCTGCTAGAGCTTTCCAGATGCAGAAAGCCTCTTTTGATACAGAAGTTAACACAAAGGTACATGAAAACACATTATTTTACAGACATAAAGATCTGTTTGCCACAGCAGTACTAAAAGAACAAGTATCCTTACTATAAATCTCTTTAAATTACAATGGAGAACAATGATAAATGATAAAAAAACGATTTTAAACTGATTTTAAATTTAGTTTTGCTATCCAATCAGATTACTCTCTGATAGATAAGACATCTGCATTTGACTTTTCCCAAAATTTGTTCTTGAATATCAATCTCACTGTACCAATGTACTATTTATTTCTAGAAAGCTGAAGCTGAATTGGCCTATGAGCTTCAAGCAGCTAAGGAAAGGCAAAGAATTCGAGCTGAGGAAATAGAAATTGAAGTCGTGGAAAGAAGAAAACAAATTGATGTTGAAGAAAAGGAAATTTTAAGAAAAGAAAAAGAGCTGATTGCTATAGTTAAAAGACCTGCCGAAGCACAAGCTTATAAAATGGGAATGATCGCTGAAGGTCAAAGGTAATTTAAGCCAAAAAAAAAAGGAAAAATTATTTTATGTCAAAAGTGAATTGTGTAATTGTAATGTAATTGATTACACTTTAAAGCAATTAATCCCAAGCCTGTGCTGTAATTAATTTCATGATACAACAATAGCTTAGGGAATTATGTAAATGTAATATTATGCAATTTGTGATATATGTCATGTGTTGGAATCTTCCTCAAAGTAAGGAAAATTCTGATGCCACGACCAGTGCTTCAGAGAGTCAACTAAGTGTTGGCTTCACGATTTATGATTTAGTAGAATTGCAAGAACCACAGACATCTGATTGAAACTTGAAATGGTTCAAATTGGTCTTATCAGTGTTCCGAAAACACATACAAAATTTAGAAAACCTCTTTACAATCTCTTCTGTCTGCTTTATAATCCAAAATGGATTAAAGTGACTGTCTGAAGGTATATTTTAATTGTATTTAAAAGTCAGAAAAAAAGCTAATGTTGAAAAAATCAGACTTTTTTTTAAACCAACTACCAATTCTTAAAACACGAATTAGTTTCTCATTTCACACATTCATAGAAAAAGCTTAATTTATCTTCAAAATTATTAACAAAAAAAGTATATTGTTGAATAGTAGAAGAAAGAGTTAAGTCAAAATTCTTGTTTTTATAAAGGCGGCACACAATCCCATTTAAGGTGCACTCACATCATTGTGATTACCAGCCGGGTATGGTTGTGAATAATGAAAGTGACCATGAGATCCGAACACAACTCACAACTCAGTAGAATGAGAGTTGTGCTGGACTCTTATAACTGCTGTTATTTTTCACAACAATATTCAACTGGAGATCGCTATGGTGTGAGGGCCACAAAATTATGATTCAAGTACTAATGAATTGAATTTTCTGTACAGAACGCAGGTTATTGAATCAGCTCGAGCTGAAGCTGAAAAAACAAGATTGATTGGTGCAGCTGAAGCTGCTGCTATTGAAGCTGTTGGTAAAGCTGAAGCTGAGAGAATGAGATTGAAAGCAGCTGCTTACAAACAATATGGCGAAGCTGCTATGTTACAACAAGTCTTAGAAACCTTACCCAAGGTAAAGCTTTAGTTATTATATATGAAATCAGTATATGATATTGAATGCTTGTTCAGGTAGAGCTGTGTTAGATCTTGAAAAGAATTTATACAATGTTCAGGGTCTATGTTGTTTTATTTTAATCACTCTAAGTGTTCAAAGGGTAAGCAAAATTGAAATGCAGCTATAAATCTGCCAGCATTCTTGGCAAAAAAGTTGGACCGTATTCTTATCATGAGGTTAGAGCTCTGGTTCTTTTTTGACGTTATTTGCTTATTTTCGTCAAAGTCAGTTTGTGACAGTGCATGACCTCCAAAAGTAATTTTACTTCAGTTTTGAGAATGTTCAAGCTGATGACTTGAAATTTTAATAAAAGATAGCTTTGGATTATCCACCACTAAAATAGTCAAGTTTTTGTGAAATTGGCGTTTTAAAGACCATTAAAAATTTTTGTCTTTTCCCTACCAGGTGGCAGCTGAAGTAGCTGCACCATTAGCTAAGACAAATGAGATAGTATTAGTAGGTGATGATAGAACTACATCAGAAGTTAATAAACTAGTTAGTCAACTACCACCAGCAGTACAAGCTTTAACTGGTGTCGATTTATCTAAGGTATGTAATTAGCATCTTAAAGGGGGGTTGTCAAAAAAGAAATTTTCTAGCTTTTTATGATGTGTATCTGGGCCATTATGGCTGTTAATTGCCATTTCATTCTAATTCTGTATCAGATGTCTGAAGATCCTTAAAATATAATAATGCTAAAACTTATATAAAGTTTAAAACAATTCTTATGGATAACAATTACTAACTTTATTTGACCGACATTTCTTAATCCTTTGTTTTTTAAGTTGTTTTTTCTTTACCTATATACTTGTTAAAGATGGATTACCTTATTTTCATTTATGAAATTAAGAATGCTAATACTTATATGAATAGAAAGTAGGGGTGTTCTAATGACTTGGAAAAATACAAGTTTGTCTCACATAATTAATTCATAAGAAGAGAATTACCAGTAGAATTCGAATGAGTGACCGATCAAGAAAAAGGCAAAAAGTCTTTCTTTTTTTATCCAGACTGTACATTCATTGACATTTATGATTGGTTAAAACTTTTAATTATATGCAATAAGAACATAATGATATAATTAATAATACATGATAATTCATAAGAAATAACAATTAATCAAATAGTTTGCTTAATTTGACACTAAATATAAGGAATTGCTTGATAAAGACCGGAGAACGCTGGTTTAAACATCGCTAAAATAAAGTTAGTAATTGTAACCCATAAGACTTGTTTCATTATTTCCAACACCTTTACTAAATGCTATTAAAAGATTCTATATAAAGTTACATTGTAAAAGCTGCTAATGAAGCTGTTTTTGATTAAATGACTAAAACAGTAATCTATGTTGTATATTAATAAGCTTATTTTTCCCTTTGATCTTTCTTCAAAAATTTCTATCATTAGCTACATAATGTAACATGTCCTAATAGCCAACTAAGAAGCTTAATTTCATTGATTTTTGTTTTTTTAGGTTTTGACCAAAATTCCCGGAGCTCAATAAAGAAAACCATTAAGATCTAACGTGTTCATGATATTATAGTAGTATTTTAAACAACATTGCATGATTGTTTTTATCAATATTTGTTCTTCATTCATCATTTTAGTCATTTTTTTAAACTATTTTAGTTATGAATAGAATTGAGGTTTTGCTCTTTGGAAAGAAACCAATTCAGATTTTCACTTGTACAGATATTGTTGTACAAGTATATTTGTCTTAGTAGTATTTTTATATTGCTCAAAAGCACATAAAATTTTGATAATTTTCATGAAAATTTGAAATCAATTTGATGAGTAATTTTGAAAATTTGAAATCAAGATTGATAACTTTCATGAAAATTTGAAATCAAGATTGATAACTTTCATGAAAATTTGAAATCAAGATTGATAACTTTCATGAAAATTTGAAATCAAATTGATGACTTTCATGAAAATCAATTTTTCCTTTAATCCTATGAATTAGCTTTAAACTGGTAATTGTTAGGAAGACATTCCTGAAAGTAATCTAATTTTCTGTTTGACCAATCATACGGCTGGAACAGACCACATATTTTCACAGAAGGTTGCTTTTTTCAAGAATACAAGAATTTCATATTTAGGAAACAATATTTGCATGCGTTACTCAATGATGGAACAAATTGACATCCACCACATCAATGGTTTGTACTAACATTAGCTGGCATTGAAATCCAATATTTGACATCATTGACATCTCGCTCCTCACTTGAAATATCAAATATGCTGTAAATATATGCTTGTAATTTAAGATGTCAAATGTCAAGAATTTCAATGAGCAAAGAAAGGATAAGAAAACAGAATTGATTATGTTTTGAAATAATTAAACCTGAAATATTTTCCATTGTTTTATAATGTAGCATGCATTAATGTCATTAACCATATAGTGCAGTTTTATTGATTTGTATTCTTTAAGAGATAATATTATTAATGTACCTTGAACTTGTATTTCCATATGTCACATAACACTCCCATTAAACTTGATAAACCCAATATCAGGTTTATTATGTAGTATTCGATACCTTTAGGACATTGGAAGTTTTCTTAATTCCCATTTTCCATGAGGTAACGAATACATTATTACTATGTTATTTTTTACTTAGAAGTATATGCATTGTATACATATATGTTTTACCAGCTGATTGAGCTGAGGATGAAAAAAAAGGCAAAAAAATAAACTTTTGCATACAGACCATATTGGTCAGGAGTTTTGATTGACTTTTTTTTTACCAGTCAGACATTTTCATCGATGAAAAGGTTATTGTCTTGCCACACCTTGGTTCGTGGCTTTGTATCCCATTTGTACAATGTCATCAAAGTTTGGATTTCGACTGACATTGAATGACACCTGATGTACAAACCTTACTATGTGATTTCTGGATGCATAAACAGACATGTCTGGCAAATAGAGTCTTATCGACAGCCCTGATCAGTATGTTTTTATTGAATTTTAGGTAAACTTTTTTACCAGCTATCAACACAAGTACTTATACTTGATCTCTTAAGCCTGTATCTGATTGAAACACTGTATTATTTCTATATCATATACATGTATATCTGTAAATGTTTACCATACCTCTTCAAGGTCAGTACAATGTTAATGACCAGATTAACCTGGCCATGTTTGTCAGAAGTCACTAATAAGATGAGACTAGATTAACAATGGAACTCTTCAATACTGAAGGAAGGAATGCCATCAAAGTATTGTTATAGCAGAGTTCATAAGAGGGATAACTGGCAAAATCTCTGAGCAACTTTCAACAAATTCTGTCAACTAGTTTCATCCTGGAGAATCAAATCAATCACTACATTTAGTACCCCCTTAAATCAGAAATTTATATGGTAGACCCAAACTGGTTAAAAAAATAGACTTTGAAAAACACCTTGTACTTTTTATTAGTTTTAATTCCATCTGATCAAAATTAGACCAAACATTTGTTCTGTTTTTCTGTTATGATCTAACAACAGCCCTCTAAAATATTCTTTAAATTAACCTTTTGACCAAACCTAATGACACCACTTCACAATTGTTAAGAGGTTTTCTAACTTTTTAATGTGTATTGTGGACACTTATAGCATCAATTTGCATCTCTGTGGTTCCTGCAATTCCATTAAAACTTTATGTTTGAAGACATCAGTAATTGCGAAAGCATATTTCACTGTGAAACACTTATATTGCAGGAACCACAGACGTATGATTGAAAATAGGAATATTGCAAATTGATGCTATCAGTGTCCCCGATACACATAGATATTTTAGAAAACCTATTGGACTTCTGTAGCCAGAAGTATCATATAGTGAGATTATAACAGAAATTGTCTCATTTTGGCTTCAAGTTAAAATTTCTCAGTAGTTTTAACAGTATTTGACACATTGGCAATTGGCATTATTCCAATTTTCATTCAGATGTCTGTGGTTCCTGCAATTCCACATAAACTAAACTGATGAGGTCACTAATTGAGAAAAGCATAAACAATTAGAAAAGCTATTTATAATCCTTTTAATGAGGATGGTCTTAGTTTTAATAACTAATGCATTTTACTCATATGTTATCATATAATAACCCCTTGTATTCTTGTTGTATATTTATATCATGTCAAATCAGTATTGTAACTTATTATTTGTCAAATCTTTTTGAGAAAAAAAATTGTTTAATTCAATAAAACTGGTTTGTATCTTGAAAGGAACACACTCTGCAATCATTTGAACCCAATTATTTTTTTTTTTTAATGTGACCATAATAATTGTAAAACAATTTATGACCCAAAATTGTTATCTTTAAATATTTGGTAATGCTTAGCTGCAATAATTTACATTTAGTTCTTTGCTATTAAAGTTTTAATAAGAATTCTTTCTTTTATATTTAAAATTATTTAATTTCCAATGATTGTAGATATTGAAATGACAAGTGCCACCGTCTGACCACAATTGTCTAGTGGACACGACGGAGGCCACAGTTTTTGTTCAATTTGGTATGTTTGAATTTGGCCACGTTTCGACAAATATTGACAGAGTTACACCCCTTTACAAATACAAACACATAGCTGGTGAACACGATAGAGTTCAGAATTTTATAAAATTTAGTGTGTAAGCTAATATCTACAAGATTTTGGGTACGTTTCGACAAATCGTATCTGAGTTACATAAACATTTTTTAAAAAAAAACGCTGGTTCATGACAAACTCACACAAAAGCTGGAAATCCGTTTTATGTTTTATAGTAATCGACATAATTAAAATCTACATTTACGTCCATTCTGTTATTGGAGAATATAATATTGGTGTAATAAGATGAATTTTAGAATTCAATCGGTCCACCTTGAAACTTCCGCTAACGAAATGTGACATTATCACAGTTTTAGAGGAGTTTTTATAAAACGTTTGGTCACTATGAAGGGGTCGAACGGGGGACTACAGATTCCCATAATCATAAAATAGCATTGCAAGCTTTTATTGTGTCAGAATCATAATCTTACTAATGGCTTTAAATTATGGACTTGACACACATTTATTACCAAAGTGGTTTCAGCTTCACAGAAACTACAAAGAACCGCCGAATGTATTGAGATCTACCAACAACAAAAAAACAGTCTAAATGCGGTATTTATTTCATTAAGAAACGAAACTTTCTTAATCTGTGACTGTTTAAAAATCATTCCGTGGAAACATTCACTTGAGGATGGAGAATGTTAATAATACCACCGCAATCAGGCTGCTGGACTTGGTGGCGCTGTTGACTCGACGGTCATTATTCTTAATATCGTACCATTCTACAAGAAACAGCAACGAATTGTTACCACGTTGGTGCTGATTGTGATTCTTTACCTTATTTGTTATCTTCCGTCTGCGGTCGTTCTACTAAAGATGTTGGACGTCAAATTTATCCAGATTTATAAGAATGGCATCGTATTTATATACCGCAAATTGTGCGGCCAATCCAATAGTGATTATAAGATTGGAAGCTTGTAGTTTATTGGTGTAGTACAATCCCGGGAACTAAGGCACCCTTCACTTCGTCTCTGATAAAATTCAGAACACTCTGAACTTCAAAATAAATCCTCATGTACATATATAGACATACACACAACGTAGTAGGAGAAATAGGGAGTAATCTACTGACATCATTTCCAACCACGCATTTGATGGAGTGCGGGTTCAGCACGGTTAGTAATGTAGGCTATGCCTGAAAAGTGAAATAGACGCCATGCACCGCAGAGCTATTGAGCTTTTGGCGTGCAACGGTATGCTGGACTGTCATAAGTTGGAGGTCGTTGAGATCAGCGGTGAATTCAGACTAATTTAAACAGTGATTTTATGCTAACTATGTGCGGTGTGGTAGTTTCTACCGGGTTTGCATGTTGTCCACCAATCCGATGGGATATCCTATTCTACCGATATTTATACGCCAACATTTTAAACCGTCTGTCGGTTTGTTGGTCGGTCGGTCTAGAAGGCACAATTCTTGACGGATTTTGACGAAACTTGGCGTAATGTAATGTAATGTAATCACCCAAAATGAACCCTAACGAAAATAAGAAAATCGGAAAATATTATTGTCCATGTTCTTAAAAACGCGTTCAAGTTTTAGCCTGTAAACACTCTAAAAGGCCCAATTCTTGACAGATTGAAACTTGTAATATTATTCAGTATCGCCTCAAAAATGTATATGTCTGAAGGTTGAATATTAATTCATACAGTGAAGTAACCTAATTTCGTGGAAACCTATTATTCGTGGATTTCCGGAAAGGATTAATAATTTACATGAGCGACCTTGCGCGACCTCCGCATTAGTTTGTTTTAATAAACATGGTGTTTCTCTACAATATCGGCTAGTAGAATGAATTCAGTAGTTGCAAGCAAGGTAAAATGTATTAATGTATACTTTGGCAAATACAAAATGGCGGATTTCAGTTATTACCAAACGTCACCATTATTTATCGGCCGAATTTCCTTATAATCCCTAGCCGTGATCGGAATTCCAAGTGTCGTCTGCTAGAATGTAGTCCAACGAATGAAGTAACGTGATCAACTAGCGGATTCCGTGTCAGCAGAAAATTTCTATGGAACACAAAGTGGGCCATATTCTTATGTTGTTTCAGTGACTTTTAGCAATAAATCACGCTACGTATCTTATTTTGTCAGTCACTATTTTTTTTTTAAATCGTGGTTCTTTGAAGGAATTGTCACTAGTTATAATGAATTGATATTAAAGATAAATACTAAGAGAAGTTAATTATATCACCCGGTATCCATACATGTTTTTCTAGACTTATTTATAGATAAAACATTGTACACGAAAATAGGTGATGCATTCTGCCGCCGTTCCCGAGTTGGTTGCTCATGAAATATGGGTCAAAGTGAAGGATTCATTAAGAAAATCGAAATAAACCAATTTCTATTATTTTGTAGAATATCTGAGGAAACATCTAAGAAATTCGGTGTTGAATCCTTATATAAACGAAAATAGGTTACACCACTGTACTGGTAATTTCTACTGTAGGCTATCATTTAATCAAAGCTTCCAGTGGGCGTATATTACCTTGCCTGCCAAGCTATCTTTTTCGTAACATTTTTACGGGACCTACCTTTTTCAATTGTCTGTTTAATATTGTAAATTAATAAAATATCAATTATTGTTACTTGTCTTAATTACCCATGGTATAACGTATCTCATTACATAATATCATCATAGTTTGATTATTTGAACCCCCAGTTTCCAAAATAAATATCTAAAGAAACAGATTCGCTGATTTGGGTCTTGAATATCATGAAAGTACCTTAAATGTACGAAAATCGCATAACTTCAAAAATCACAAAAAACTAGGAATTTAACTTTTTATTTCTGTAAATATATTTTTTTTAGTCTATTTAGGCCTATAACAGAGTATCAAAAAAGAATGAGTCGTCATAATAACTATTCAATTCTTTTGAAAGCTCAAATTTCGACGGTGAGCTATGATTAGCTGGTTAGATTAAAAATTCCAATTCCTGAAACTATGGTATGATAACAAACTTGTCCCTTAAAACTGACTTGAAACGAACGAGTTGGTGTACCGCAGGGTTCTGTGCTTGTTCTACTATTATTTCTAATCTACGTGAATGCAACTGTATTCGACATGCAATACAATAGATGTAGATCTGCAACAGGAACTGGTGGTTCTTGGTAATTATGATTAATTGGCTTTGAATAAATACGGCGTTTGATCCATAAAGTTATTTTCTTCAAAACACAAATTATATCACAAACAGTAAAAACTAAATAGGCAGAGGCCTATGCATCGAAGTAAATATCAAATAACAAAAGCAAACTGATGAGAAGCGATAATGAAAAATATATTATGACAAAACATGTAAATGTAAACAAAGTGAAATGTATTTGATTAAAGGGAGACAACCTTTGAACAATTAGCTGATTCCAATTTCTGAGACTATGGTATGATTGGTCAAACAAATAACTTGACTTGAAACGCCCGAGTTGGTGTTCTGCTATCCTTGTTCTACTATCATTTCTAATCTACGTAAACGCCATTACATACAAAATGCAGGGAGCCTGTCTGAACAATCAAAGTCGCGTAACCAAAAAATATGATAAAACAATGGCTACCATTGTTGTTCTCCATATAGTCAGAATTCCAACTTGCAAAAAATTAATTAAAAAATAGGAGAAATAACTTCGTAAAAAATATTGAGAAACCTCTTAGGATCTTCTTAAACTTAAAATTAATCTTTGTTTATCAGTGGATTTACCTGGTGTCATAATTATACAAAAGAATCCCTCTTTAATTCAATAAATTCATTAAACTTAGTAATTTTGATACACGCTTAAAATCTCATATAGGCCAAGCGTCTTATTTTATAGAGATTCTATTTTTTAGTCATGGCACCTGGAATGGTAATTCCAAGTGATGAATATAATTTATAGGCCTACACTAATTGATGACCAAGTTTGAGACTTTATATTTTGTGGCTATTCTTAGAGGTAGTATGCCTTTAATCTTTAATCTTTAGTATATTTTCATCAGTAGACATACCTGTTGTCTTGACTATACAAGAAAATATTCCAGAAGTAGCCTAATATTGAAACATGCTTTTTATACGCCCACATCTCTCTATGTGGTCGTAAATTGTTGGCACCCCTGTCCGTCCGTCCGTCCGTACATTTGCTTGTAAACGCTCTAAAAACTAGATTTTTTGATGGAATCAAATGAAATTCGGTATGTGTATACATATTCATAAAACGAAGATCAAGTTCGAATTTAAGCTATTTTCGACTGTTAGAAGCAGAGTTATTGCCCTTGCCCCTAAATCTTGAATATTTACCGCCCGCATGCCGTGGTGGGCGTATATAGCTGTGGTCCACTATCTTTATTATTTAAGTGCTCTTCAATGATTTCATAGATCATTGATAAGAACGGGAAAATTCTGTGAGAAAATTGATTTTATTTTAAACCCTAAGAGAAAATATTGTTTTGACACATTCGAAATTATTTCTTTTCTTCTCAAATACATTGCAAATTCTATTTGTTTTCTGCACGGTTCAGTATCATAATTAAAGATACCTTAACTTATTTGGTCTGAGGATTCCTAATTGGTTTTTATTACTTAAGTTGAACCCATGAGATTTTTCATGAAATGGATTGTAAAGAGCTTTTCTAAAAAATAATTATGTGTATCGGGGACACATCAATTTGCATCATTCCAATTTTCAATCAGACGTCTGTGGTTCCCGCAATTCCATTAAAACTGAGTGTTTGATGACGTCACTAATCGCAAAATATGCTATATCACTTTTAAGACCCTTCGCGATTAGTGATGTCAAGTATTGGTTGGATCACATATTCGCAATTAATGACGTTATCAAACAATTAATTTAATAGAATTGGAGGAACCACATACCGGACTGGGGATATTTTAGATGTCATGAATTACACCTTTGGAAAAAGTAACATTGCCAGTACATATTATTTCATAAATATTGCTTTCAGAACATACTGATTTTTTAATATGGTATTACATGTATGATGTAGGCCTACCGGTACTAATTGAATTAGAGGGCTGGGATCATGCTTGCTTTCTTGTTTTCAAACAACATTTCACCTCGTCATTATTTTTGATTCAAAAGAATGACAATGTTAGATTTTCTTTGGCCCTTAAATTTGAAATATCAGACATGCACTATTTCTAGAATTATTCCTAATTATTGGTTGTTAATTTTTTCTGCGTCATGTAGGCCTATGATCAATTTAATTAATTTACAAGGCTTAAAGCTTATTTGAAAAAAAAAAAGAAAAAAACAATCAATTTGGAGTTTCAAAATCATGAATTTACGCGCTTTGGAAAAATCTCCCGACTTTTCACCCAATCTCCAGATTTGATTTTTAAAGGCAAATCTCCAGGGTTTTTTTTCCTGATCTGTACACATGTATGCATACGTCTGACTGAAAATTGGAATGCAAATTGATGCTTTCAGTGTCTCCGATTCACAAAGAGATTTAGAAAAACTCTTCAAATCTCTTGAATCTAATTATTTTCTTTGCCATTATTTCTAAAATAACAACTTTCATGTTTGCCTTGATATATTATTTCAGTTTTGTCTAATTCATGTCTAATATTTTAATGAAAAAGTTTATGGGATATATAATGAGTTGGTGTAATCTCACAATTTGAAAAGAGATACATTGAACTGAAATCAAGCCCCATAAACAATATCACGACGACTATATTTCCTTTGAATTATTTCAAAGAAGTGAAATATGAATTCCTTTTATGTTTCCAAATATAAAACTTTGCTGTTGATGTCTGTGTTTTCTACTTCATTAAGTATAAGTTACATTATGACATAAATTGCATTTTTTACTTTGATGTTTTTAAGAAATAAATTGCAATTGTTTCTTCAAGACCCGTCGTCAACATGTAAACATCCGTCGCCCGTTGAGGCTACCGTACATTTCAAAAAATGTAAACAAAAATCATAGAAAACGAAATATATCGTCACACCTGATCGTGTCGCATCACGCTTCGGATACCTTGTCACATATTATTGCGCCGATACAATTATATTATTATATATTTAGGCCTCTATTCTATGAGCATTTCAGTTTGTTATTGAATTTTACTTGTTCATTAGATAGCTTCAAAATTATCATGTAGTTGTAATTATAAAAAAGATAAGATGATTGAAAAAAGATTGGGTCGAGTGTACTAAACTAAAACCATATAAACAGGAATAAATTTGTTGGGAGATGGTAGTTATTTTTATAGGAACTGTTATCAAAGGCCTCTTGTTTGCATTTCAAAATATTGAAACGATGTTTTATTTTATAATAAATGTTGGATTTAGTGAGATGATTAAAGAGGTTGTTTGTCCCACTAAAAAAAAACAGAAGCTGTGATGTCCGTTTGAGACTTGCTCGCTAGTCTGAAAGGGTTGATATTGAAGATGGGAGTAATCATATCCTTCAAATGGGATGAATGTTAACGCTATCCAAGATTGCATTATTTTGCAGAATGATAAAAAGATCATGCTAATGTCGTGGAAAATTCATTTCATATATTATGGCAATTCAATTACAGCGATTCATTATTCTTTTTCATTAGTCATTTAAGGCACACATCGAAAGGCACGTCAGTATAGGCACTTCAGTATAGGCACTTCAGTATCGGCCACCCATTTCATGTTTGGCGCTTCAGATTAAATATTTTGGCCTTATGCAGTGTGATGCCACTAACCATAAGTAATGACAGACGGCCAGGGCCTGCAACAAATGGATGTTTAAAATAGGGATTATCAAAGGGCGCGACAGACGTCGGATATATTCTTAGTGCCGATAAAATTTTTTAAAACATCAGTCGCCAGTCACTGGACGACCTTCAAGGACCCGTCTCTTATATCTCATCCGTCGTCTGTTGGAAATATTGCTGGTTGAGCACTGTCCGACAGTCTGTATAGCGAAAAATTTCATTTATGTTTTTCCATATATCATGACTTAAAGGTCCATCGTCTGTTGCTGAGAGCTTTGAATTTGATATCAGCAACAATCAAGGGATGAAACGGACGACGGATGAAATCTTTGCGACAATTGATGGGTCGTCCAAATATGACATACACAATAATAATCTCTTTATTTAAAGCAAATCTCACAATGAGACATAGAATAATTGATAAGGTGCTATCATAGTTATAACTTTAATTAAATTTAATCTGTTAATAATAAACTTTAAAATAATACAAATAAAAATAAATATACACTATTTCCAAATAATGAAGATGTTTGTACAATAATACTTATGAAATATTCAGATCATGGAGTTGTAAACCGTACTCAATCAAATGATATATCAGATAAAACAACATCACATCTAATATTAATTACAGATATACAAGTTTAACTGTAAGCTATTTTATATCTTAACTATAAAACTGATAAATTTGCAAAAGCTCTTTAGCTCTTTGGCATGACTTTTGGATAAAATTTACATTAAGAGTGGAAGGGTGTTCATAGTAATATGGTTTCAGATCCTTTTTATTCGCCCACATGGAAATTGCCGTCGCCTCTGTCTGTCTATCCGTCCTTCCGCATATTTTGTAGGCACAAAAGAGTTTTTATTCAATCTGCATGGATAAAACTTAGTATGCATGCAAATTCAAATTTGGTAACAATCAGAGGAACGGAGTTATTGTCCTTGACTTAATAAAACGTGTCAAATTTGGTTTGTAGATGCGATAAAGGCTAATAGTTATCATCCGATCTTGAGGATCCTCGATATGCTAGTATACATTCATCAGATCTGAGTCAAGTTAGAATTTGGTAACAATCGGATGAGCGGTTTTGCAGTTATTACCCTTGACTGGGTTTTATTTGATCATGATGAAACTTGGCATGTATACTATATTGATGGTATTTATTTGATAACAATCAGAAGAATGGTTTTGGAGTTATTGTTCTTGACTTTATAAATCGTAACAGGCTACAGTTTTTACCCAATATGGAGGGTTACTGACGACGGGTTACTGACGACGGATGAGTTCCCGGCGTCGGGCGACGACGATGTATGTTTGGAATAGGGATTATCGAGGAGCAACAGACGTGGGATAAAGTCGTAGTGATGTCGAAAAACATTTTTAAACATCATTAGCCAGTAACTGGATTTCGTCGTCTGTCGTCAAATGCTGGTTGAGCACTGCCCGACTGTTTGTCGCGAAAAATTTCATCCGTACTTTCTTATAGTATGACTTGTAGGAAATGGTCCAACTGTAGATGAGTAGGGGCTTGTGGACTGAAGTGGGTTTTGGGTCCCTCTCCCGACGGTTGACGGGTTGTGCATCTATGACATGCATCTACAGGAAATGAATGTTGTGAAATAAAAATCTAAAACTGAATCATTTATACTTTGTTCTCTATTTCACAAGTTTTGGCGACGGGTCAATTAATTGTACAAAAACCTCCACGGGCGACAAACATGATATTCCTCGACGGGTAACGGACATTATATTGATATTCCTCCACGGGCGACGGAGCAACAGGCCATGGAGCCATATTATGTACACAGCCAATGAAAAGAAAACTCAAATGCAAACAAATAAAATTGTAAATTGTTAAACTTTCCTAAACCTATTAAATAATCTAATCATGAAATAAATATCTAAATGAAAATCTAAAACTGAATCATTTATGCTTTGTTTCTATCTCACGAGTTTTGGAGACGGGTTAGTTATAAAATTGTACAGTAGCCTCGACGGGCGACAGACATTATAATGATATTCCTCGATGGTCGACGGGCCGTGGAGCCATACTATGTACGCAGCCAATGAAAAGAAAACGCAAATGCAAACAAATAAAATTGTAAATGGTTAAACTTTCCTAAACCTATTTAATATTCTAATCATGAAATAAATATCTAAATGAAAATCTAAAACTATGGACAAAGGATTTTGTTTAATTATCGAGTTCTGAGGTTCTGCAGCATTTAAAACATTCAACTTTGCACTGATCCCGCACTGATCGTAAACGCAATATAAACACTATTGGATTGGCCGCACAATTTGCGGTATATAAATACCATGCAACTATGAAAAAATAATCAGGATAAATTTGACGCCTAACATCCCAATCAAAAGACAGCATTTTAAACAGAGCGACCGCAGACGGAAGATAACAAATAAGATAAAGAATCACAATCAGCACCAACGTGGTAACAATTCGTTGCTGTTTCTTGTAGAATACAATGCGGGATTGATCAGGAGCTGTATTCATCACAGCGGCTATCTGACGTCCGTGTCTACGACAGTGAACGACGATGTACACGTAAGCGGACACTAAGATTACACTACAGACAACAATCGATAACAACATCAAAATGTAACAGTATCTACCCGACAATGTCAATATCACACAAGATGGATCATGTTCATATCCTGACCAAATCGAAGCTGTCATCAAGATGCACATAATGTATATCATGATAATGATGACTATCATTTTCTTGGTTGAGATCCATGCTGTATAGGAGTATGTTAATCTTATTATAAGAACTTGATCTAAGGCGTGAAGAACATTGACCATTCCCGTTATCAATGATAAGCAAATATAGCTGGAGGCTGTGATTAGGCATAAAACTTCGGTGTGCTGATAGTATGTCACTTTCGAAACGGCCGTCACAAGAATAACTACTCCATATAGAAAATCTGATAAACTGTGTCCAATAATACACGCCTTTATTCTGGAAGTTATTTCTTGGTTTCTGAAAATTAAAACCATGCCTATGATATTAAGAATAATGACCGTCGAGGCAAGAGTGCACCCAAGTCCCGTAGCCTGATTAACTGTGGCGGTATTATTTACACTCTCCATCCTGAAGTGAATGTTTCCACGGAATGATTTGTATTTTATATCAACAGCCACATATATAAGGAAAGTCTCATTTCTCAATAAAATAAAGACCGCCCATAGACTATTATTGTATAAGTCAATACATTATAGCCATTGCGAGATACTTCTCAACATGCAGGTCCATAGCCATTTGGGATATTTGGGAAGGGGTTGGGATGGGGGATCTGCATAATATGCAGTATATATAGTAGGTCTACCTGTGAAAATGAATAGTATTAAATACCCTGATATGTTACAGAGCCTTACCGGAACTTTCAATGTGGACATTTTGATTTAAAATGGTATAGTATCCTACCCGTATTTTCTAATATCATTTTATGAAATATTGTCCCGATTACCTTGAACACAGTGGCTGCGCCATAGGGGATGGTCTGACTTGATGGTGGACAACTATTGCCGAGGTTGAGATTCATAAAGCAGCAGTTGTGGGCACAATGCAGCTGGTTTGAGAATAATATTTACATCATTTTTAGAAATTAAGTTAGGCTATACAAATGGGTGTTAAACTCATCACCTAATAGTATCAGAGCATGACTATAGTATTGATCCCAAAATCAAGTTGGTCTTTTTCACCCAATAATGTGTATTTTAAGCCAATGAGACGATCTGATGCGATCTTATCACGACCAAGACTTATAGTAATGTTCTGTTCGACCAATCTGCGACATAGATTCGATCTTTCGGCGATCTATCCTAAGCAACCCGGGCTGATCTAACTACGTACGCTCAATACGATTTAAATGCGATAAATAAACGTTCAACCCTCGCTCTGTATGCCCAATTCTCGACAGATTCTCGGCTGAGATACGCGCAATTTTGTCACGGTCACCCGGATTTGCGTGTGACCCACTGCGACCGTATAGAAAGGCCCGGCGATCGGTGACCAACCAGTTTTTGACAACATGGACCCAATCACTCTTCATGATGTTATATTATTACAGCACCGTGCCCTGCAAATGCATCAAGCTTCTACTTCTTTCTGACGTTGCCAGACTCCTCCTGGTTGTCCTCCGGTATATCATTGGGGATAATATCTTGAGCATCAGCTTCGTTTAACTGTAGTTCATTGGCAATGTCAAATGATGTACAAGTCATTTAAACCTAATGCAACTCTCTCCAAATTTGATAATTGTACAAATAAATAAATAAATATTGACAAAATAGTGACAAATCCAACTTAGATTAAACTCTTACCCAGGATGTTCAACACCTGATGCACTTGGGTCTTTCGTTTGAAACACACTTCCATTGGCGTGATAATCAAGTTTTAAAGAAAAAAAGATAGGTCGTCATGGGAACATAATTATTCTACAGTCATGGTTTTTTTCTGACAAGAGACAAGTTTTATCACAAAAAAGAAGAGACGACAACGATATGGGATTGTAAAGAGGTTTTCTAAAATTGGAATGTTAAACACTTTTCTTAACTTCTTCCAACAAGGATGGTTGTTTTTTTTTAAGCTGAATTCATTCATTCATTCACCTAACACATCGGACAATTGAAAAGACTTTATAATTTTGGAAAACTTAAAAATAAGATATAACAATTCCACAAAACCACTGGTATGTATTGTAAATAAATGTTATATAGGAGAAATCCTGCTCCGTCATTCTGATACTTTTTTCGTAAATAATTGTTTATAAAATAAAAATTCATTTTCATCAGAATTTATTTCAATCATTCAACCAAACAAAATATAAAACTGAAACCATAAATATAACATATCACATGATTATCTTGACACTGACTAGAAACAACAAATATAATTTGACGAACATAGAAACAGGATCTCAGTTATACAATATAATTTAAAATCAGATAACAATTTCGTATCCTTTTTGTTCTCTGATATATAGTCTACAATGTAATCTAAATAGTTTTCTACCAAAGGCCCTCTTCCAATTATATTATTTTTAACCAATCAAATCGTGTCATGTTAAACCCGAATCTTGTGGGATTTCTACCAAAGGCCTGTAACAATTATGTTATTTTAACCAATCAAATCATGTCATGTTAAACCCGAATCTTGTGGGATAACGCAACCCAAAGAGTGTCACGTAAAAAAAAAAATTTCTTGATAAATCAAGGAATAGGGAACCTTTGGGACGGTCCGTTGGTAGAAAACTATTTAGATAGGATGTAACCTAAAATATCAGAAAACAAAAAAATTGTATCTAATTTAAATTCGATTGGTGGTTATAGTGTCTTCAATTTTTACTACTTATTTCACTTTACACATATAAGATAATTGAAATGAAATGGCATTTTGCGTCCTATTGGACTCATATACCAGGGGATCTATAGTGTGCACATGTCACACGTGGCCTTTGATTAATGTCCTACGTCAACATCCTCGACCTGGGTTGATAAATTACACGGTAGGTCAATACCTTGACCACGGGATTGAAAAATAGACCTTAAATTTAGTGAACAAGCCTTAGTTATAAGTTTCAAAATACTAGTTATTTAGTATTAGTAAATACAAAAAATTGCTATACAGATATTTACACACAATTGTAGTCAGATTGTTCATTCTAAAATGAGGTAAAGATAGTTGTAATAAAACTATAACCAAATATCAATAACGTATATTTGCGAGTATAATACGCATTTTTACCGCAAAGAAACATTACATGTAAAAAAAACTAGGGGATGTGCATTATAAGACAGTGACAAAAAGTTAATATCCTTTTACAGATACTGCCAATTATCATTAATGATCAGAGTAGACTTATTTTAAACTTTCTAATGATGAAAAATATAATTTGACAAGAAAAAAATGTCATACCTTTCATGTAACAATACTATTTTTGGAATATTTATTGCAAAGTGGCTCTTTTACATTTGAAGCCTAATCAAATCAGCGGCGGGTCCAGGTTTACGTCTCATGGGCGAAATATTTGAGGTTGCCCGAATTTCTAACCTAGTTATGAGATTTTTAACTCCCCTGCACCCCTACCCTGTATAACATGCCATGTTATATTCATCATAAATTGGAATTGGGAGATGTACCATAGGTTGGTAAGGGATGATGTTGAAATAAGTGACCATTCGAGACAGCCTCTCCTGAAAGACTTTGTTTCAATCCTTTGGATTCTGGACTTGGAGGTGCCGACTTTCTGGACTCTGGAGAGTTGTCACATTCAAGATGATTATTAGTATCTGGAGGTTCATGCAATTCAAGAGACTTATTGCAATCTGGAGACTGAGTATTTCTAAGAGACTTATCAAGAACTTTATCAGTACAACCCATGTCTAAGGTATTCAATTGTCTCTTAACTAGATTAGCATACATTCCACCTCTAGCTAACAGTTCCTCATGACGTCCCTCTTCTGCCACTTGTCCTTGGTTAATTACTATAATCCTATCAGCTGATTCCACAGTGCTGAGTCTATGAGCTATAATCAACACTGTACGACCTTTAACATTACTATAAATAGCTTGCTGTACCTGAAAAAATGGAGTTTTATGTTTCAATATTTCAACTCAAATGATATAATGAAGTGTGCTCATAGTGCAATGTGTGAAAAGTTTATCAGGAGGACTGCATTAGTCTATTTATCTCCATCTGTCCAGGATCTAAATATTATTCCACTTTTGCCACACAGGCTTTCTGTTTGTTGTCTCATCCGAATGTCAAGATGCTTCTTCCATGTCAACCTCTTCAACTTGCATCACTGACAGGGTAAACATGGAAGGTATTTTCTCAACCAATGTCACGATCAGATCCTAATCACTTGGGTTACTGAACAAGCTGCTAATGAATTAAAAAGCTGATCTCGCTAGACTCATTGTGCCAACAGTGATCTGACAAAATCATTACGCACAATATTCACTCAGTCAAATGTTCTGATACATATAAAACTGATCTAAGTAAACAAATGCCAAGAATTTTGAATCAACAAAATTGTGCCCTTATGCCTCTGAAGACAAATCCATGAAATTCGTGATCACAAAAATAACAGATTTCACAGTACTTACCACATGTTCTGATTCAGAATCAAGAGCACTTGTAGCTTCATCTAATATCAATACTACTGGATTACGTATTAAAGCTCTAGCAATTGCTATACGTTGTTTCTGTCCCCCTGAAATCTGAAGTCCCTTTTCTCCAGTCTCTGTCTCGTAAGACTTGGTCATCTTAGTAATAAAATCATGAGCATTGGCTAACTTGGCAGCATTCAGTATGTCAGCTTGTGAAAATTCCTCTTCTAAACCATAAGAAATATTCTCAGAAATTGTTCTAGCATATAAAACTGGTTCTTGTCCAACCATAGATATCTATAACAACATATATAAGTTATATTATACATATATATAGGATATCTAAATGCATTTAACTGTAATTTCCTGAAGAATATTATCACTGTTGAAATAGTCCTTAATACAGAGTGATATAGGAACATATTATTTCATGCTGTGTGATCTTCAGAAACCTTAATATATATATGTTCCACTCGAAAAATATATTTCATTCAAAAAAGTGTTTGACTGACTTAAATACTAGTAAAAATAATATCACTTCTTAGTAACTTGGTCAATATATTCATCATGGGAGCTGCAGTGACTAAGTGAGCTGAAGTTCCAGGGTTCAATCCCAGCATAGATGATACCTGATAATACGGATTTTCCAACCCGATTTCGCCCTGGAAAGAGCGTCTAGTTATTCGGACGGAACAAAAAAAGTGGGCCCCATGTGCTACAGGCTGTGCAAGTTAAAGATTTCCCTCATTGCACACTGCATAGTGTTGCCCACACGGTGCAGAAAAGTATGACATACAGATTCTGTTGTATAGTATTGACACCAGGTAAGAACACTAAGTAACAAACACTCATTTTGGCCAAGTTTAAACATTTCAATTTTTTAGTCAGCTTAGAAGGTAGTCTAGCTTTAAGTTAAGTAAGTTATTATGGAACATATCCAAGAACCTAAATTTCTTGAACATGACTATTTTCTGAACATACCTTTCTGTGTAGATAAGAATGACTATAATTCTGTATTTTAACACCATCTAATAATATTTGACCAGATTGGGTCTCGTAGAAATGTTGTAATAGATTGACTAGTGAAGACTTTCCACCACCACTAGGACCAACTAGTGCTACTATTTCACCGGGCTCTATACTGATATTTATATTCTACAATTAGAAAAATACATTACTAGATACTGTATAACTGTGAATATAGTATGGTTGTATAATACACACTCCTTCTTAGTATCAGAGGAATCTGGTAAGATCTTCGTCAAAAAGGTGCCATCTTTAGCAGCCCCGAAAGCAAGTTTTTGGGGCAAAAATCTCATAACTAGGTCAAAAAAACGGGCAATCTCATTTATTTGGTCCCCTTCTCGGATATAAACCCGGCACCACCACTGTGTCTGTTATCATGTGATCAAAATTTATTTTCAGGGCTCAAATGACCAGCAAGGTATGTGTTCGGTTACAAAAACCTTAAAATTAAGCGGCTGAATTTATGTTGGCAGTAAATAAACAAAATGGCTACTGCATCATTAGAACTCATTAACTCAGTTCAGATTTTTGTCAAGGCAATTTGGTGCTGTGAGTTCAAATTCTCCTCAAAGTACAAAAAATTCTGATGCCAGGGCTAGTGCTTCTGAGAGTTTGTCTGCTGATGGATTTCCCCCCAAATAAGTTGAAGTTTCCTCTGATGAGCTCATCTTTCCAAAGCTATTGATTTACCTTCAAAACTGTAGTATCTAGTCTAGTTGGGTAGGAAAAGTTAACATTTTGAAACTCAATTCTGCCATGTAACCTGTCTGGTTCGTATCCCTTATAATTATTAAAGATGACAGGTTTACGATCAATATACTCAAATACTTTATGTGAAGCTCCTAATGACTGCATCAATCCTGTATATACATCACCTATAGCCTATAACAATTCATCATAGATTGAATTAAAAAATAGTCACCACCATTGATAATGGTGACCATGTTATTTGAAAACAAATGTTGATGGACTCTGTCGAATTCAGGCACTGTCATGGACAACAATTGTAAAATGAAATGGCATGGTAGGTGCGATGCAATGGTAGGTTTCTGTTGTAAGAAAGCAGTTTGTATCACTTGCATCTGAGTGTGCAAGCAAATTTTCTGATAACCTATGATTAAAGGGGAGATGTTCATCATCCGAGCAATCACAACTTTAAGGGCATATAGCATCATTTTCTGGAGTTGATCTGGGCCCTGAATATGTAATTAATCCTCCGATGCAAGTGAATTTTCAGATATTCAGACATTCACCATCCATGGATCATCTTCCTTAGTCCCAGAAACAGGAATTGTAAAACCAAGCTTATCAGTTAGAGTGTTCACAGGGCAAATTTAACATTTTCTGGAGTTGATCTGGGCCCTGAACATGTAATTAGTCCAAGTGAATTTTCAGATATTCAGAGATTCACCATCCATAGTCCCAGAAACAGGAATTGTAAAGCCACGCTTATGAGCAAATTTAACATTTTCTGGAGTTGATCTGGGCTCTGAATACATTGTAAATAGTCTTCAGAAGTGCTAATAGAATTGTATGAAAATTGTTTAATATTGAAAGACTATTGATTCAAGACTAAAATCAATCCCCGAAAATAACAATTGTTGACCTTTAATACTTACATCCAGGCATTCTCCTAGCTGTATTTGGTATAATATAAATGATACTAAATTACCAGCTGTCAACTGGTCAGTTATAACTAAATGTCCACCATAATAAAATGTTGCTATTGTCAATATCAATTCAAAAACCTGGCAAAAACCAAAAATATAGATAATAAATTCTTTAATGTGAATTTGCAATTGAAACAAAACTGCTCACTCAATATTTTTATTTTGATCATGGTGTTTATTGAATATATTTTGAAAACTGAAGGAGCTATACATTTCAATAGGTGATGATCACTTTTAGGGATTTAAGGGGGCACTCGTAATGGTTGGGAGGCTAAGAAGGCGTTGAATACATATAACACAGTATTGAAAGTAGAGTAAATTTGCAACATGCATCTTTGCTAATATATTGGTCAAATATGCTACTATAAATACTTATTAATGGAGTAATGTTCAATCATTTTAACAATGGATATTGAATTAAATGAATTAGTAATTAATCATTTATTATTTATAATTAGTCATGCCATGTCATCATTAATTTAAATGATTAAATAATAATCAAATAATCAGTGAATGAATTCAGTAAGTGGTTTAGAGAGGATAATCAACTATAGTCTAGCCAGTTTGTGACCTGATTTTGATGTTGTATTGTAGTTTAACGGGGCGTTGGTTTATTAAAGTTTTTATCTGAAGATTACATAATATATGGTGATTTGATGGAAATATTTTCAAATATGCTAAGATATCAGTTTATAGAGGATGCAATTTAAAGGGCTCACTTCATAAACAAAGTTTTTCATTGGCTAGTCATGATAATAAATATACCAAAGAAATATCATTAAAGGGACAGGTACAGCAAATACTACAAACTAGGAATTTTACTCACTATTTCTATATGTGTCTTTTCTATATATCACAGAGTATCTAAAAATGACGAGTCGTCATTTCAACATTCAAACACAGATAATTCTGGACACACATGGATTTGAAGGCTCAAATTTGTACGATGAGTTGGCTAAAAAAATTCCCATTTCTGAGACTAAGGTATGATTGGTCAAAAAAGGGCGCACCTGTCCGTTTAAAGAAATCTTAAAGAGTTTTCTAATTCTTCTATGTGTATCAGGGTCCATGATAGCACCATTTGGCACCATTCAACTTTCAATTAGACGTCTGTGGTTTCTGCAATTCAACTAAAACTAAGTATTTGAATTCGTCAAGAATCGTAAATCGCTTTATTTGATAAAACATAGTAAAACACTTATTTTTAGTCGAATTGCAGAAACTACAGATGTCTGATTGAAAATTGGAATTCAGACAAAAATTGGAATTCAAACAAAAATTGGAATTCAGACAAAAATTGGTGGATGACATACCTCATTGGAGATCACATAACCTCCATATATCAATGCTAGTTTAACACCTAATCTATAGGTAATAGTTAATGCCTTGTAATATCGTGATTTTTCTCCACCTTCATTAGCAAAACTACGAACTGTTCTCATTGTAGATAAGGCTTCTTCTGCTATAACGTTAGCTTTAGCCAAACTATCTTGTACTTTTTCTGACAATGTCTGCAATAAAATTTAAATGGTAGAGGTCAATACAGCATAGATAAGTATTTTTCCAAAATAATTTGTGGTAGAGGAGACTGAAATCATCTGCTTGAAGCATCTTTTAAGTACCATAGTGGAACCAAGTTCCAGTGTTTTTCCATTCACTGACCAAAATTATAACCTTTAATAGAAAAGCAAGGATCATAGCTAAACTTATTCATGCTAATTACCATAAATATATGATACCATAATAATTGGCAGGCCAGTGAATATTACTGTACTTTTATAATAAGTACCATTATCTTAGATATTATGACACCAATAGGTTTGCATGAAATGTTGATGAACTTCATAATTAAAAAAAACATGAAATATTACTGAACTAACTTCATAATAAGTACCATAATCTTTAAATAATATGATATTGGTACACATGAAATATTACTGAACTTACTTCATAATAAGTACCATAATATTTAGATAATATGATATTGGTAACCATGAAATATTACTGAACTTACTTCATAACAAGTACCATAATATTTAGATACTATGATTATAATTGGTAAACAGGAAATATTAATAAACTTATTTCATAATAAGTACCATAATATTTAGATACTATGATTATAATTGGTAAACAGGAAATATTAATAAACTTACTTCATAATAAGTACCAAAATATTTAGATACTATGATTATAATTGGTGAACAGGAAATATTAATAAACTTACTTCATAATAAGTACCATAATATTTAGATACTATGATTATAATTGGTAAACAGGAAATATTATTAAACTTACTTCATAATAAGTACCAAAATATTTAGATACTATGATTATAATTGGTAAACAGGAAATATTAATAAACTTACTTCATAATAAGTACCATAATATTTAGATACTATGATTATAATTGGTAAACAGGAAATATTACTGAACTTACTTCATAATAAGTACCATAATATTTAGATACTATGATTATAATTGGTAAACAGGAAATATTATTAAACTTACTTCATAATAAGTACCAAAATATTTAGATACTCTGATTATAATTGGTAAACAGGAAATATTAATAAACTTACTTCATAATAAGTACCATAATATTTGGATACTATAATTATAATTGGTAAACAGGAAATATTAATAAACTTACTTCATAATAAGTACCATAATATTTAGATACTATCATTATAATTGGTAAATATGAAATATTAATAAACTTACTCCATAATAAGTACCATAATATTTAGATACTATGATTATAATTGGTAAACATGAAATATTAATAAACTTACTTCATAATAAGTACCATAATATTTAGATACTATGATTATAATTGGTAAATATGAAATATTACTGAACTTACTTCATAATAAGTACCATAATATTTAGATACTATGATCATAATTGGTAAACAGGAAATATTACTGAACTTACTTCATAACAAGTACCATAATATTTAGATACTATAATTATAATTGGTAAACAGGAAATATCAATATACTTACTTCATAATAAGTACCATAATATTTAGATGCTATGATTATAATTGGTAAACAGGAAATATTACTGAACTTACTTCATAATAAGTACCATAATATTTAGATACTATGATTATAATTGGTAAACAGGAAATATTAATAAACTTACTTCATAATAAGTACCATAATATTTAGATACTATGATTATAATTGGTAAACAGGAAATATTATTAAACTTACTTCATAATAAGTACCAAAATATTTAGATACTATGATTATAATTGGTAAACAGGAAATATTAATAAACTTACTTCATAATAAGTACCAAAATTTAATAAACTTACTTCATAATAAGTACCATAATATTTAGATACTATGATTATAATTGGTAAACCAGCAAAGGTAACTAGAGACATTTTCCATGATAATTTAAACATAAAAACTATTACACCAACTACAAAATTAAACATTCAAGGGTTAAAATCAGGATATTTTCGAATTTGCTACATAAAAACATCTTTCATGTTAGGAAATGTGACATTTCCAAAACAGAATACATGTATTAGACTGAATTTTCTAATGGAATTGGTTCATCCAGTTAATTTATCCCACAACAAATATATTAAAGTTAATTCATTAAGAAATTTAAAGAGAGAAAAGTTTAATTATATTTTTGTGCACTATGTCTGTTACTACTACCTCAAATCATAAAGAGATGTATCTTACATGATCAATAGACTATTCGTTTTTTAAGCTTCTTAAATAATGAATAGTTAAGAAAATTTTGTTACAGTACATACTTGAAGTAATCAGACTTCGTAAAAAGACGTTAATGTTGAGCGCTAAAGCATCACTCATAGTTGATGTATCACTGGTCAATCTTGACACCAAATCTCCTGAAATATACAACAGATATAGACACTGATTTCATCTAAAACATACAACACAACAGATAGTAGAGATATCACTAGTTTCATCTGATATATACAACAGATAGTAGAGATATCACTGGTTTCATCTGATATATACAACAGATAGTAGAGATATCACAGGTTTCATCTGAAACATACAACACAACAGATAGTAGAGATATCACTGGTTTCATCTGATATTTACAACAGATAGTAGAGGTATCACTGGTTTCATCTGAAACATACAACACACCAGATAGTAAAGATATCACTTGTTTCATTTGAAAAATACAACAGATAGAGATATCACTGGTATCATCTGAAAAATACAACAGATAGTACAAATATCACTGGTTTCATCTGAAACATACAACACAACAGATAGTAAAAATATCACTGGTTTAATCTGAAACATACAACACAACAGATAGTAAAGATATCACTGGTTTCATCTGAAACATACAACACAACAGATAGTAGAGATATCACTGGTTTCATCTGAAACATACAACACAACAGATAGTAGAGATATCACTGGTTTCATCTGAAACATACAACACAACAGACAGTAGAGATATCACTGGTTTCATATGATATATACAACAGATAGTAAAAATACCATTGGTTTCATCTGGTATATACAACAGATAGTAAAGATATCACTGGTTTCATCTGAAACATACAACACAACAAATAGTAGAGATATCACTGGTTTCATCTGAAACATACAACACAACAGATAGTAGAGATATCACTGGTTTCATCTGATATATACAACAGATAGTAAAAATACCATTGGTTTCATCTGGTATATACAACAGATAGTAAAGATATCAATGGTTTAATCTGAAACATACAACACAACAGATAGTAGAGATATCACTGGTTTCATCTGATATATACAATAGATTGTAGAGATATCACTGGTTTCATCTGAAACATACAACAGATAGTAGAGATATCACTGGTTTCATCTGAAAAATACAACAGATAGTAGAGATATCACTGGTTTCATCTAAAATATACAACAGATAGTAGAGATATCACTGGTTTCATCTGAAAAATACAATGGATAGTAGGGATATCACTGGTTTCATCTGAAAAATACAACAGATAGTAGAGATATCACTGGTTTCATCTGAAATATACAACAGATAGTGAAAGTAACATCATACCTGTTCGAATGTTGTCAAAGAATCCTATTTCCTGCTGTGTTATAGATGAGAAGAGATCATCTCTAATCCGTAAATTTAATCTAGCCATAATATAGGTAAAGATAGAGCCTCTTAATCCAGCAAATATAGCACTACAATGAAAAGAATATATGTTATGAAGAAAAATGTATATTATGTACAATTGGCATTCAACACATAAATACTGATGTAAAATAGAACTTTCTAAAATAGTTCAAACATAGTTGAAAAATATTTAGTTTATGAGCAGAAATTTTTTAATCATTTGGATGAAACATACTAGTAGAAGTTACAAAAGTTTATTTTAATTTGATTGTAGATGAATCATTCATGGGAATTTCATTTAAAAAAGAATACATTTAGTTAAAAAAAAAAAAAAATACAGAGAGCCAAAATTGAACTCTTCAGTCTGTTTCTCTACTTTGCCTAAAGTCAAATTTTTGGAAAAGTAGCTGCCCTGATGAGAATTGTTCATCCAGTAGGCCTACACATGTTATCAGCATGATATGAGTTATAGTCAATTAGAATATGCTAAGGTTAGCTTACCTTGCTAAAGTTATTAGAGACATAGTAATCAATGCATTAATAAATTTAGTCTGAGATTTCTCTATAGCTATACCATCAATAACTTGTCCAGTAAAATATGGTAAAAAAATACGACCTGAAAATACATAAAGCATACATAGTCATTATAAGTACCGAGCATGTACTAGTGATGCAGGACCAAAATAGTCAAAAAAAAAGCCTCTATTCCTGTCTCTGATGGACATTTTGATAGTGTTGTCAGCTGCAGTAGAGTCAGAAGAAAAAAAATGGGGATTTTCCACACCTCCAAAGATGCGTTTTCTCTAACATAATATTGAATTACCATTATGATGATTGTATATCAGTGTTGGGCAACACCGTAACTTTTGTATTGCTAGTATCATGTGACTCTGTGTCAGAGTCTGTTACCTTTGAACTTTTGGCTGCGCAGTTTTAAATGGCTGATGCTAGATCAGTTTTGCCAGAAAACAAAAGAAAGCTTGTACTTAGGGTAAGCATCACAAAAGGATGGATTCATAATGCATAATTGAAAAAAAATTCTTATTAAGTTTGGTTGTTGTTTTAAAAGTGAGGCATATATCTCCATTACACTACAGCCATGGACAGAGAATATGATAGGATAAGCAGAAAGTGTGATGAATCAACTTACCAGTAGAAGACAAAGTAAGGAATAAAAAGGCAGCTAATAAATAGGGTAAATCTGGTTTGGAGTAAGCTAATAATCGCATAACACTTGCTTTATTTACTTCTTCTTCTTGTTTGTCTTCTTCAGTTTCTGCTGTGTCTTCCTCACAATCTGTATTTATATTCAGACATCTTCGATCTTCTTCAGTCACACGACAAATACGAGGAGTCACTTTTATCAGAGTCAACAAATACCATTGGACTCCACAAATCACACAGGAGATAAATCCCCAAGATAAATTCGCCCAAATCCATAGGTCACGTAAATTAGAACCGATATCGGCTAATCCAAGAAGTTTGACAACAACAAATATACACATTGCCACGGAAACCAAATAAAATACTGCAGCTGCTTTTTTAATGGACGGAACTGCATCTTTGGTGTTATATATCACAGCAAAAATTGCACCAAATACAGGACAAATCCTTATTAATGATAGACACCACACGTCTACCACAGATGTCCTAAAGCTGTAGTTATAAAAACCATCTAAAAATTCATGTCTGAAATCAAGTCTATGTGCAAAAAGTAACGTGGATGTTAATATATCTATTATGCAGAGTAAGGAACAAATACACACTGTATACAATTTGTCCATTTTGACAATTCTTATCAACTCAAACTGGAGGTGGTGAATTGATCCAACACATCAATAGTAAACAGGAGTGGATGAGTCTTTTATAGATTTCAACTGACAAAATCACTGAAATTGAAATAAAATAAAGTTTTAAAACCTACGGTTGTGCTGTAGATTGCACTATTGAAGACAGGCAACACCATGCAGTGTACAATGACAAAACTTTGCTGGGACAGCAAGATTTGCCTTTAATTTCCCTCTGTCCAGAAATTCTCTACCACACAGGACATCGATTTATTCAAGCCTAGATCCTTCTTCAATGTCAATACAACCTAATACAAGATACAATATCATATTCACTATTAGTTTTAGATAAGGCAAAAGCTTTGAGATCAATAAACTGAAAGCTTAGTCAATTGGAATACTGATTTGATATGTGTTTATTATTTACTAATCATGACAAGTAAACAGATGTGCTGTTTACATTTATCATGTGTTATATCCTGCGTAATATTAATATATAATAAATTTTAGTTGATTAATCTAAACAAGCATAAACAATTTTTTATATGTTATCTTAAATTTTGATGTGTAACAGCGATTGGGTGGAGATTACCAAATTGAGATCAAAATTGACGGAATGCTACCGATCAATAATAGAAATATTTTAAGTGAGAAAATTTCTAAATACTAAATAAAAATCGTGTCCAAATTTTTAATTCATGGGTCATAGAAGTGTATTATTCTTTGATCAGTTATTATAGATTAATGTGGGTAAATGATGTGCTGAAGGGAAACTATGTGGAAGAAATTAATACTTGTCAACAGGTACAGGAAAATATAACGCTGACATTTAATCGATTATATTTCGATGATTGATAATCAAAATTATAAATTCCTAGCGACTATAATCCATTATTTTACCCAGTCCTAAACACCAATCACTAAATCTCCTACTGTTTCAACGACCTCCCCATTCTCCACCCCTGCCTTAAAAAAAACAACCCACTTACTTAACAGTATCAGTACTTAAACATTCTAAAGGCTGTGAGTATCAGAGTTGTACAAAGCCTCTGAGACACAAAGACAAATAATAAAAAGTGATTACAAAATCTATTGATCCAAATAATGATATAATTATACAAATAGCCCTTATCCATTAATAATAAAATAAATAACCAATAATGAGCTCTTGATCTAACTATATGGAGGTACAACAAAATTATTCGTGTGTCGAGGATTAAAATACCAATGTTGTTTATACAAAATGCATAATAAGGTCAATGCTGCAATGCTGTTTTAGTAAACTTCAAAATCCAATGAAATGTCACATGAATACAGCTAACACTTTGAATAAGGCATTCTGCATTAGACACTTTGTATTAAGTATACTGTAGAACTACCTCAGTCATCTGCAATACACACATTGCATTAGTAACTTAGTAAGCCTTGAAGCTATACCATATATTGAATGATGACGTATTCATTTGCATAAGAAACGGCCGAAACGTACGAAAATTTTCAAATATAGGCCTACGCTATAATGATGCAATTTTCGTGCAGTTCCACTCCAGTAATCTGAAGAAAACATCGGCATCACTTTTAACAATGCGGTACGGCTGATATTTGAATTCTCTTACATTGAATTAAAATTAGGCAGGATCCAACTCTTCCTTGTAAAAACTTTTTCATAGAATAAAATTACAAACCTACCTTGATTTATATGTGCTTTCAGTCATTTCACAATCAATATGAAACAGCAGGCGATTTTACTTTTCTGATATGGCTTTGTTTATATGGATGTAGAGTGTGTCGCGAGTAATTCATAAGGAGTTATCTTTCAATAGGCTTCAGCCTACTGTAATTGTCTACGAAATGGAAAAGTGCAAGTCATTTCTTATTCGTCGGTGTTCACCCTGTAGTTTTTAAGAATTCACTTTGCAATTCAGTCTACTAGACAATAATTTCGAATTAATCGGTGGTTAAAAGGTGATAGACTCTGTAACAGATTCGATGGATGATCACTCACATGTGTCTTCATATTAAGGCCATATAAAGTTTACAAACCTTTGAAGAGACATTTGAAGATTGTTTTATAAGTATTTCGGCACAATATATTAGTGATCAAAATCTCAAAACTCAATATCTGAATATTTTGAAATGATATTTATTTTAGGCTATATAATTTATAAAATTTGAAGAAAATGAAAATTATAATACAATATATTTATATGTCCAAAACTTTCTGATTCTCACCAGGCCTCTGAAAACCAATTTTTGATGGTGATTATTAAGAGTTAAAAAAAAAACGATACTTTTGAAATGCAAGAATTTTACAGCTGTTTCTATTTTCAAGCTTCAACACAATCTATGAGGCATAACATAATTTCTTGATAATGGCTTAATTTTTCTGACTCCAGCTTATCACCATCTATCAAGGCTATCTGAGACCAGGTAAAAGTCACAGGTTTCAGACTATATTTTTATGATACAAATAAACATCATATGATTAAAGTATGTCCTGTTCTTGGCTGTTAATGTCCAGCTGGTGATAAACTTTTATCCATAAACTTTCTCTTTGCAAAACATAACCACCACTACAAAATATAATAATAATAATCAATATATGAAGCTATCTGTATCACTTTTCAGAGTGAACATTCAGTGTTCAGATTGTCCAAAATTAAATGAAAGTAGCTGTTTACGTGTTGTTATTCGACCTTTGCTTAAAGATGGGTTCCCCTAATTTCATTCATGAAAATGAAAATGCTATCACTTATAAATTCACTTAGAAAATTCCTGCTTGTCTCACATGTCCATAATTAATTCAAAATTAACTAATTTAGAAGAGAATTACCAACAGAATTCCAATGAGTGACTGATCAAGAAAAGTCAAAAAGTCTTTTTTTGTTTATCCTGAACATACATGGACATTTATGATTGGTTAATACTCTTAATTATATATAATAAAAACATAATGATATCATTAAGAATTCAATAGAAATACCAATTAATCAAATAGTTTGCTTAATTTGACACTAAACAATAAGGAAACCCATCTTTAAAGTTGTGAGTTTTAAAGTAATAAGAATGCAAAAGCTACTGCATCATTAAGCTGAGATACACATGAAACTAGTTTATTTTGTATCATACCTTGCTTGGTTTATCTGATTGCTGATCAAAAACTCTGTCTATCATTCTTAGTCCTGTTTCTTGTCTTAATTGTTGTAAATAAGCTCTCATGGTTTCTGAAATATATATAGCCAGTGCATTGTCATTTCTGTAAGATTACATAATTTCACAGAAAATAGTCTATTTTATTGTAGACAAACTGGAAGTTAGATTTTCACTCTGAAAAGTAATATGGGCAATAACAAAGGAACTTACCATCTTCTTGTCTGGAAGGCTTTGAGTACATGGCATTTAATGGGAAACCCCCTTCTCCTGGGATTGGAAAATTGGTTATACCTAATGTATACATTTCTTTTTCAGCTTGACTTCGAGATGAACACTGTGAAGATAAAGAGATACATTTGTCAATGGCATCAAGTACTTTAAGTCTATTGACACCTACCCCATTACTTAACAGGGCAGAGATTACAACCGATACAATTTTTAAATTATTCAGAAATAGGAATGAATCATGGCTACCAATATAAAGGCTAAACTGATGTGAATGACTTTTTCATTATATCATCAATAAATTTTATATCCATTATCTTTATTTACTGTTTTCTTCATTTTCATGCTGGATTCTAACTGAAATGTGGCTTGATCAAAGCACTTCAATACAGGAGTATCTACGCACGTTTGGGTTTGTTTTACAACAAAAACATGAGAAGTCCACTGTATTTTAGGGTGATCAAATTTGTAATGAACAAAATAATCTGGCTTTGGCAGTTAAATTACTACAGATCCGACATATTCAAACTCACCCTTTGTAATTTTTTTAAACATTCAGTAATATAAAGGGTAACGTAAATCAATGTTCTATCAGCTTCACTCTGAAATAAAAAGTCAAAATAAATTATCATTTTTTTTTTTATCAAATTATTTTGGACACTTATTGTTTCTATTTGCATCATTGTGACTTTCCATACACTGTCTTTATGGTTATGTGCGTAAAGCTTATATCACAGACAAAATGCACTCAACTGGGAAATATGAAAGACGTCTCCCAATATTAGGTCAATAAAGTGCACTACTCCCAAATTAAGAACATTTTCTTTAGTTTTTCCCATAAGTTTAGGTTTGGTGACAAGTGTATATATTTATACTTAGATTAAGAAAGAAATCGGATTAACAAGGATCATTGACAATTGGCTGCTCACATGTGTCCACGGTCAAGAAAATTGAAGGTGCTGGCTGCATCAAGAGAGGGTGGTGTTTAATAGAGGTAAACTTGGTTCAAATTTGCATGGGGGGATTTTTAGTGGCTGTTCAATGGAGGGTGGTGCTAAATACAAGTGACTGTTGGTATCATGAAATAATTTCCGTCAAATCTTGGCATGTTAGCTGTGAATGGTCACACATTATTGATTTAAAAAAATCTGATGTCAACTCACCTTAATTTCATAGTTTCTAAAGAAAATATTAGCTTTAAAAAATCCAATGGCCTCATCAATTATGTCACTTCCATTTACTACAAAAAATATTTTCATTGAGTTAGAAAAATTCAAAAGTAATTTTGATGAAAGCTACCAAATTTCACACATTATTCTCCATCAGAATATTTCCTTAATAATACAATGAATTTCCAATTGTTTGTTATATTTGATTATATCTGAATTTTCCTAAGAGCCAAAACTGCAATGTTATCGAAAGCTACAAAACCTACCTTCTTTAGCAGCTGGTCCTTTATACTGTGTTTTAATAGGTAATAATCCCATATTTCCAACTAATCTTGGACATGGTAAAGAGGAATGATATGCCTGAAATACCAAAATAAATCATATGTCTTTCAACATACATAGTTTTGATTACAATAAATATTTTATTCAGAGACAAACACAAATACTACTAGGAACCATTAGAATGGCATGGGATCTGTGTTCGCCCCTGCTTGCCTCAGGAACTATAAACATAACTTGAGTCTTCCCTGACTCTGTCCATCTCTGACAAGGAACCATTGAAATGATCCTCTGTCCCTCCCTGTCATTAAGGAACCATGGACATGGCATGGGATCTAATCTGTCCCCCGTACCACTGCCACTACAGTCTGTCACTGTCACTGTCAGTGTTCAAAGTGTTACTGTCAGTCTGTCACTGACATTTGTCACCTACTCCATGCTCAAAGTACGAAAAGCTGGATTGGTTGGATCAGATTATTTTCTTTTGAAATAAGGTGAACAAAACTATTCAACATACCGGCATTATGAGAGATAAAAAATCGCCAAAAAGTTATAAAATATAAAGTTCCACCCTTCTGAATCAACTTCCGCCTACTTTGACTTCCTCTTTTAAGTCACGTGATCTTATTTGACATGGCCGCTTACGCCAACAGAAAGATATTCCAAGCTTCCAAATTTATCAATTATTTCATTGAAAATGAATAAAAAATGTGTTGATAAAAATTCACTATGCAACAGAACAACTATTATATCTATATAAATCAATCTGGAAGGGCTCTGATCGATCTACTTTGCTACAAGCAGCCCTAAAACTCTTCAATGTGAAAATACAAATGGTGCTTGTTATTAAACAAGTGAAACAACGTGAAATCAAAGTTGAAATAATAGGTTGTTTACTTCTTTGAATTGAATTTCTGTAATCACTTCAATATTTCCTAACTTAAGTTTGATCTTATAACAATGCCAAGATATGGGCAACTTGTCATTGGCCCAGCAGGAAGTGGAAAGGTAAGTGATTTTTTAAAATTTCTAATGGTGTCTAATGCTATTAAAGCTAACGTGAATAATGAAGATTTAATTTTTAAAAATACTTTTGTAAATAATTTGTGTAATTATTGATACCAAAATCTCAGAACATTATAATAGAGTATCAGAAAATTTCAGATGTTAATTATATCCATTTTTATGAATTTTAATTGCAAAAGATGAGTTTTTGCATACTGTATGTTATTTCCTGATACTTCATGACAGCTTTAACATATCTAAAATTTAAAATTTCAGTCAACTTATTGCAGTAATATTGTGAAACATTGTGAGGTTTTAAGAAGAACTGTACATGTAGTCAATTTGGATCCTGCTGCTGAACATTTTGACTATCCTGTTTTAGCAGGTAAAAGTTTCAGTTCTGGCAATGATCAAGATAACTTTGTTTTATCAAGGTTTCCACTTTTCACACTTTTCTAAGGAAAATGCATATTGTTTGTGGAATAGATAATAATCCGAGACACTGTGTGTAAGCCTTTTCATTGAAAAATCCCGAAATGGCTTGAACTGTTTTCATTAGACCAATTATAAGATTAAAATTAGGATTTAAATATCATTTCAATACATTATAGATATAAGGGAATTGATTAATGTTGATGATGCAATGGAAGACGACTCATTAAGATTTGGTCCTAATGGTGGACTAGTATTTTGTATGGAGTAAGTTGCTTATATATCTTTCATATTTTAATGACAGTATATTCATTATTTATTTCAATCTGCAGTTACTGCACCAACCATCCATGATCTCTTGAAATTCTTCCTTATATTGTGTTCAGTCAAATTTTCATCCAATGTCATCAAAAGTTGTCAGAATCAACACTTGTCATAACCAATGGTAAAACAATGTTAAAAGGTGGTGAACAATTCAGGTCTATTTTCAAAATAAGTATCCCAAACTACCCACATCAATAAATTGTGTTTTGAGCAGAAAATGTTATTTGTTGAATATGTTAATGACCTAGAACATCATATTCTGTACTAATTTCATAAGATCACAATTTGTAGGTGGAGACACCCTCAGAAACCCAAGAAAAAGCCATCTTTTGATTTGCATCATAACAGATTGCATATACATAGTTTAATATTTTATATTATAGATATCTAGCACAGAATTTTGACTGGTTACATGAACAACTGGATGATATAGAAGATGACTATATATTGTTTGATTGTCCAGGACAAATTGAACTTTACACACACATTCCAGTCATGAGGCAAATAGTGGATGCATTACAAAGTTGGGATTTTCGAATCTGTGGTGTTTTTGTGGTAGACTCTCAATTTATGGTGGAACCGTCCAAGTTTGTGTCAGGCGTTATGTCAGCGCTGTCAGCTATGGTGAATTTAGAAATACCTCATGTCAATGTGATGACTAAAGTTGATTTATTAAGTAATAAAGCTAAAAAAGAACTAGACAGGTTTGATATTTATTTATTCAGTTAAAGGGGTACTATGTGCACATTTCATACACGTCTTTGTCCCCATTAGCTTAGTAATTTTTAACACATCATTTCAACTGTGGTTTAAATATGTTCATAATATACCCTGTGTCGGCTTTGATAATCCATATTATATTTTTCAGTCAGAGAGGTTTTAATCACAACTTTTTTTCTGTAAAAGGAATGTTTAAGTTGAAAGCTTATCCATATTCTGCAACTAGTTATTCTTTTGATCAAAGTCATTATTTTTTATGCTTGATTTTCTATCAAGAAATATATACTCTACATACTTTCAAATTTGTCTTTAATGAAAGTAGTTATAATTGACGAAGAAAATAATAAAGCCTTTTTTATAGATATTTAGAACCAGACCTAGATAATTTATTAAGAGAAGAATTTGAAGAAACAAAATTTAACCACAGATTTCAGAAATTAAATAGTTCTCTAGCTCAGATGGTAAGTTTTGATCTTTCACTTCAGGTTCTAGTAACAGATTTTGATAAAACCTGACATGCAAATAGATTTCATATTTGTTCAATTTACATAAAAACTTCAGAATTGGTTTCAGGATATATTTTGTTCTGGTCCTGTTCAGCTTTTTTATAAGACTGGATGATTTAAGAGACTAGTTGATAGCGTCTATCTATATTTTTTTATAACTATAATTTTCTGTGACATGCTGTATTATGCCTCGTTTGATATCTGCTGTGAAAATGGCGTTAATGACTTACTTACAAATCTGAATTTTGTGCGCTAAAGTGGAAAAATTGTTAAGTGTGCACAGGCCATCATAATATTTGCTATATTTACAAGGTGAAGGTCAGAGAAGTTGTGAAAATCGTGGAATTTTTCTCCATTTTCATGACTTTCCAAAGTGGTAAATACAAGAGAAACTTAATATCCAACAAAAATTGAGTCTGTAAGGTATCAAACAAGGTAATAGTCTCAATTACAGTTTCTTGTTCTAAACAAGTTGGCTGAACTCCCAACTCTCGCAGACCATTGTTTCAAGGAAATCAAACATAAGTAAAGCTGTGAGACAGATTCCACTGTACTTTTGGGTTGCAACACAAAATCTTTTTGATTAATTATTATAGATAGATGATTATAGTTTAGTGAAGTTTATACCATTAGATGTCAATGATGAAGAAAATTTCAATGATTTATTAATACAAATAGATCTAGCTATACAATATGGTGATGATTTAGAACCTAGAGAAGCCAGGGTGAGTCATTAATACCCCATGCAGTAGGTAATGAGAAAAATTTTGTCAGGACAACAGCATAAGGATACACTCTTTCGTTTCTTGTCCAGCTACAGACTGTGCACGTTAAAGTTTCCTAAAAAAAATTGCAAAATCAAACTTCACACATTGATATTTTCTTCTAGGTAGACATTGTATTTTGTAGGTACCAGAAGATATTGATGATACAGCAGCAGACAGTGGGTTTGATGGACCTTGACATTGGGGATTTCGATAAGGAACATTTTTAAAGGACCTGTAAATTTTTAAAAAATACATTTTCCAAGGAGTGTTGTGTGGTATTACCTGGTGTTTGAGAATTAGGTCACCTTAACCAATAGTACCAAAACACATTATATTTACTGAACTGGAGTAGCAAAATTAATTAGCTATTGGAATATAAGTTCAAAATATGACTCTCCAATAATATGATGTGTAAAACTGTTTTAGTGTCCTTTTATGTAATATAGAAAAGATCATTGCTTATTAAAGCTGAATATGCAATAATGTGAATTCATTGAAGGAATGTAATCTGAACAAGAAAGACAATAAATTTGTTGCTTATTTTAAAGGTTGACAGTTGATTTACAGCATTGCGAGCTCTCCAAAGTTCATTCAAGCTGTAATCAACAGGCTTTTCACAGATTATTTGGTGGATGGTATACAATGAGTAACTGGTAGCGATTGTAATTTTGCAGTCATTGGTGAAGAGTTGGGTCATCTCAATCTAGGTATAAATCAGATTTTCCCAGATGCTGCCAGTTACTAGCAATTGTTGAAAATCCAGTTGCTCTCAGATTCTGCCTGTAACATGGTCTGCCTGTTTTCTAATGATACTTTTAATGACTAAAGTGTAATATACAGTCAAAATTTTATACATTTTCAAAAGAAATTTCATTCAATATTCAGTAACCAAACTTAAGTAGCTACAATTGAGCACTTGTTCATCCCAATGAATATTCAATTATTACACAACACATTTTATACATCTAAAAATCTTTTTATTAATAGAAAATAACAAAAATAACAACTCTCATTAACATAAAAAATATTACAATATTTCATGAATAATTATCAGCTAATTAAAAATGGATACTAATACTAAGAAAACTATTACAAAAGCAGAATCAAAACTTTCTTCACAGTTTTTCATATTTTCACATATAAGTATTATCAAGTAAAGAAATTTTATGCACAAATGGGACTTTGTCAAACATAAACATGAGAAGTTTTGTTTAAGTAAGATCTGTGTTGAAATGTGGAGCATTCATAATAAAAATGCCCTATATGATAAAATCACTGTCACAAATTTTAGCACTTTATCAGACAAGATTGGTAAATATATAGGTTAAGAGAATGAGATACTGACCAAAATTTCAACACGCTACTCCCCTGTAGGCTTTTAACCATGAAATAATCGGAAAATTGTAGTTAACCAGTGTAAATAATTGTCTACCAGTAAATAATAAATACAAGTCAATTGTAAATAATATGAAACCAGTCAATTGTACACTTTAACTGTTAAATGTAAGTAATGTTTTAAGAGTCGGTACCAAAGTTTACCAGTCAGATATAAATGGTAGATTACCAGTAATTTAAGGTTACTGTAAATGTAGGTTTACCAATTCAATGTAAAAAATTGAGTTATGATTTAATAGTACATTGTAAGTGATGGTCAACCTCTATCACAGCTAATGCTTTAAAATATCAACAAAAATCTAAATACTAATAATTTTTGGCTAAAATATCTCAACATTTGTCTTAACGCAATTTGAGAATGAGAATCCAAAGCGTTGTATGTCGCAAACAGATAAAAATTAAATGGATTGTAAAGAGGTTTTTTTACATTTTTTATGTGTATCAGGGACAATGATAGCATCAATTTGCAACATTCAAATTTTCATTCCAACGTCTGTTGTTTATACAATTCCATTAAAACTATGTGTTTGATGACGTCACTAATCACAACATATACTTTATCACATAAGGCCTTTCATGATTAGTGACATCATCAAACACTTATTTTAAGTGAAAAGCAGGAACCACAGATATCTGTTTGAAAATCAGAATGGTGCAAATTGATGCTATCAGTGTCTCTGATAGACTAATATAATTTAGAAAAACATCTTTACAATCATTTTAAGGCATCAACTTTCATATCTGAATAATAAAAAGTCAATACTTTTACTCTTTTTCTGACATGGATGTCATGTTTTAAATCATACCTGAAAATAAGCTTTATTATATGGTAAATAAAATATTTTCTAACATATATGTTCATTTTAGAGCACTTCAAAACCACATTGATTGGAAGGAATATTATGATCAGGAAATAATCGGAGGTATAGGTTCAAATTCCTTCAATCTTTGGTTTCAATGCCCTGCCTTAACAGCGACATCTGACAAAATACTCATTACAGCCAAGCTCAAATTCTTTAACAATTATGGTCATTCATTTTGATAACCACAGTCACAGAGTGGTATCTGGTGTTTCCAGAAAAGTCATCATGTCTCCTCCTTAGTAAGTAGTATGGTACTTCTAGTAAATTTAACACCAATCATTTTTGGCAATTACATTAATACAGTTGAAAGTCACAAAGTTTTGCAACAAAGCAAGCAGCAGTCATTTTTGAAACTTTCCATCATATTTGAGGGCTTTATCCTCCGCAAACATCTTTAGTAACTGATCCTGTTGAGATAGCTGTGTTTCAAATTTAACCACTAAAGACTCTAAATCTTTGATTGCCTGATCTTTTTCTTTTAAAGCATGTAACGCCTTCTTTAATTTATTATTGGTTTCTTCACAATGACTACAGCTTGCCTGAAAAATATACCAAACAAAAAACAATGCAAACATTCTTACAAATAGATAAGATTAAGCCAGGTGTATTTAGGGAGGAGCCATAGCAATAAAATTCTGTTCATCCAATGAGACTATTAGGTCAGTTATAAGGTTTCTGTATTATCAGCTTACCATTTTTACCAACTACCTCTTAGGCTGACCCAAAAAATCCAAAATGAGTCTTTGGGTTGTATGCAGCGCTCTTACCTTGACTAAAGTTGAACTTTGGCTGAAGTCGAACTTTACAAAGTTAGGATTAAGGCTTTCATTTTCTACATTTGATAGCCAAATTTAAGCACGACTTTCATAAAGATCAACCGGTGCATACCTAAAGTTCGACTTAAGTCTAACTTTGGTCAAAGTTTAGGTAAAGTACAAGCGCTGCATATGGCCCTTAGTTTATCAGTTGACATAACAATACAACAGAATCCAGCTTAGTCATAATAATTATTTAGTTTAATGGATATATCGTCTTATATAGAGATTCTATTCTTTAGTCATGGTTTCTGGTAAGTCCAACTGATGAATATATATGTACTTATTGACCAAGTTTGAGACTTTAAATTTATGTCCATTCTAAGAGGTAGTATTCTTTTAAATACAAGCTAGTGAAAAGATATCATTTAAGGCATTTTGTACCGTAGAATATTCTTGTTCTCGAAATAATTCTTATGGCTATTTCAAACTTGCAGGTGAATCCAACAGCGCAAATCAATTAGTTATGAGTAGAGGGACTCTGTAGAATATTCTTCTTGTCAACTTCTCACTCCTGTTCATAGAGTTTGCTTATTGAACTCTGCAGCATGTAATTAGCTTTAGTCCAAATTAACAAAATATAGCTATAATGAAATGAAACTAAACTAACCTGTTTGGGTTTAGATAAAGATTTAATTTTAGAACGCAACATATCAGCTTCATCTTGTATCTTAGCCAATTCTTTAGTTAACTCTTCTAACTGTTGTTGTCTTTCCCATGAATTACCTTGTAATGCATCAGCCATATGCTGTTTTATTTTGGCCAATTTTTCATCTCTTGCTTTGATTTCCTGATTTTTTTGAATATTTATAGCTGCCAATTTTTCTTCATGCTGATAAAAAAAAATTTGCATTGTCAAAGGAACTATAAAAGATTTTGATATTTTTTAATGGTTAAAGTTCTGTTCCAAACTTTGATCTTATTAGCCTATTTTCTCATCAGCGCATATCGTACAATTCTGCATCCAGTGCATCCAGCCAATATTGACATATTTTGAATAAATCAAGGGCAATAACTCAAAAATCTTTTAATGAAAATTGGTAAAATTGAACTCATTGTGATTTTATCAAAATACAAAGGCACACCAAATTTTGCAAAAAAATCCAAAAGTATCTAGTTTATTTTGCATAAATTTACATTCATAAGTGCATTATGATATATTTAGACTATGTCAAGGGCAATAACTCGAAAACCTTGGAGTGAAATTGAACTCATCATGATCTCACCAGTATGCATATGCATGCCAAGATTTGTAAAATTCGAAAATCTGTAGTTTCTATTACATTCACAAGTGCTTTTGGATATATTTTGACCTTGTCAAGGGCAATAACTCAAAAATTATCAAACGAAAATACATGAAAATTGAACTCATGGCATTTGCATCTATATGCCTACCTCTTTTTTTAATTTTTCAAATTTTCTGTCACTTTCCATTTTTAATGAAGTAATCTCAAGTCGAAGTTTTTCTACCAATTCGGATGAGTCGAGTAATTTTTGTTTGGTATTTTCATGTTGACCAAGTTCTACAGATAATTGATTTTTAAAGTCAGCTTCCTATAAAAAAATATATTTTTAACATTTTTAATAACTTCATATGAAAGTGAACACAAAGTATAGTAAGAAAATGACATTTCAATCCTAAAGAAAGCTTTATGCTAACAAACTTACACATTTAAAAACAAAAATATGAAATGTAGTTTGTCTGCAATTTTGTAAACATGAACAGAAGTGATGATGAACAACAGTTAAAGTTACAGAGTGATATCAATAATCTCCCAAACAGATGATAAAACTAACATGATTACTCTGTAATCCACTATGCTATACAGTGTGCAATAAGAGAAATTTCAAGGATATAGGAGGATCGCACAATATAATCTGGTACAAAAATTGAGGTTGTGCCTCATTGATATGATTACAAGCCTGAGAGGTTGTCCCTTTCGACCAGAGGACCAGGCTAGAGTAATATAATGAATATATCATATTGTACCTTCTTTATAAGATCATTTTCTAATGATGAAATATTTTCTTCTTTTAGTCTTATTTCTTTTTTTAATTCTTCAATTATCTTTAATAATTCTTCTATTCTATTTTTCAATTCTTTCTCTCTACCCTAAAATAGTTTGAAGTATTTTTTAAGGAATTACGCGATTTTCATACATCTCTAGTATTTCTGAAGACTATTTACATATATTCAAGATTGAAATCAACCCCCTAATATGGTGCACCTGTCCCTTTAAAATATTGTCATATTGTATTAATGGTTTTGAAAGTAAATGATGATAATTATAATGTCCATTGTTAAGTTCTTGTTAAGTGTAGAAGAACACAGTTGGATATTAATTCTGATAAGAGATATGGATGGCTTAAACTGATCTCTAGTAGCTAGTAAAGCAAATAATAAGAAACTTTATATATCTCTTTTACTTACTAAAGCCTCTTTCAGATCTTTCTTTAGGCTGAGGTCTGGAGATCTATTTGTGGCCTCTGACTGTGTTGATTTTGACGAGCTCTTTCTCCGTTCTTCAAAATGTTCATGAGGCGTAAACGATGGCACTTCTTTAATATAGGATGGTGGAGGTACAGACATAGCACTACCTTGAATACCACGGATTGTCGTGTCCATTGTCACATCTGATAAGTTTGTTAGTCTTGGAAGATAATTTTTTTTATCCAGGGCAGTCACACTGTGACGGACTGCTCCTAAAGGACGAGTTCTACTCCTTGAAGACTGCATTGTTTATTTTAATGACCTGTTAAATAGGCCTTGCCACTCCTAATTGATATGTACCACTATATGATATACTAAACTAATCATCTCCTTAAAACACAGTACCAGTATTTCTTTTTCACTTTCTATATTATCTGAAATACACTAAGATGGCTTAATTCAAATTGCAGTGCCAGTGAGGTGTATTGAATATTTTCTGCCATTTCAAAAATATTCAAAATGAAACTTTCAATTGTATTGTTTTTGGGTCCATAATAACTTGATAAGACATGGTCTATGTATAAGAATCACAGGCATCTGTTTCTATCAATAGTTTACTCTATCTACATAGTACTATATAAATCATAAGATTTGATTTGGTGATTTTGCTTTTGAAATAAGAACACTTCCCCACTCAGAAAATTTAACTGAAATTATTCCCCAATAATGTTGTCATTGTTTGACGTTTTAATAAAACTAAAGCCAATCTAAGACTCACAGTAGTAGGTCTATCATTTGGAGCTGAAATTCACGCAAAAATGATTCAAAATCATATGGGAAAAATATAATCCTGTATGTACTCTGTACTCATTGTAAACATAACTGCATTCTCTTCTTGCTTGCAAAATAACAAGTGCTTGTCGTAAAAATTCAGAATAATTCGGTTGGGGCAATATCAAAATGTCATTCAAGATAATTTCTTGTAGATTTTTTTCAATGTGATTATAATACAAAGAAAAAAAATTGTTACGTTTACAAAATAAAAGTAGAAAAGGCGTCATGTTTCCATGTTGATCAGATTCGCACTGTATTATTTTAGCACCACTGATTGGATGAAATCATGTATATCGGGGAGATAACTCAATTTAATTTGTTCAGAAATTAGACTACAAGACAGTGTTTAATGTACCTGAATGGGACCAGAAAATATAGTTGGGAGTATCGATTTCGTGTTCATCGATCTTTTTACCGAAAGAGCTTACAAAACATGATAAAAACAACTTTAATGAGTATCAAACAAAGAAGCACAGTAAAAATGTCATTAAAATCGTGAATGCGTAGGCTATTTCAGTCGGCGATTTGTTAAAATAAAAATATTCCTTTTTTCTTTGGTATCTTCTGAACTGTTTTCGGCTTCATCTGAAATGAATAATGAATGAGCCTTAGCCTAGGTAGAACGATATAAACCATCAGGTATCCGTATGTAGTAGGCCTAATGCGAACCAGGTCGAGATAACACCTTCGGATAGGCCCACTTTAAGCGATGCAGTTCGTATGGGCTGACATGGAAAAACGGAGAAGATGCAGTCCTGTGTAGCTGCTTGCTATGAACCAACTATAGACCTAGGCCTATGTCTGTGTTCCAAAGTATTTGCACATCACACTTACTACATAAAGACATAAATCATTTAGTCAGTTGGAAGGGTCAATATATCGAGTCCAGCGTGTTGTAAAAGTTAAAGATCTATGTACCAAATAGTTAAAATTAGCCTACATATTGCACACTGCACGACATTGCTCATTTCCAAAAGGAGCAGAAAATAGGAACTGAGACATTTAACACCATTTTATATATTTTTGCTGAATTACCTGCGTGCAGGTTCCGGGTGGAATAAAAACACTAGGATCTTTAATTCCTGATGTGAGATTCACAAAACCAGATGCATGCATTTGCGATACTGAAATAATAAAACAACAACAAAGATTTGAAAACAAAAATATGTTCATATCATTTATTTCAAGGGTATGATACTTTGGCAGATCAGATCTGCTAGAATATGATCAATCACTGAATTAAGTCGAACCAAGTGTACAGACGATTGAAAAATTGAAAAAATAAGCTGCCCATTGACTGAATCTTGTCGTCTATCTGAGCGTTTGGAATTTAACACCATCCAGACGCAGTTTGCATTTGCAAACACATATCCTCGAAGGAACCGATCAAATGCATTGAATTGCTAGCCCGCCCGAGTTAAAGGGACAGATTCGCCAATTTCGGGGGTTGATTATGAAATAAATAAAAGTAAATAAATAGTCTTCAGACGTTCTAGAAATATTCGAAAATCGCATAATTTCTTCAAAAATACATCAATTTTTTTCTATATATATAAGTCTTTTCTATATGGCAGAGTTTCAAGAAAAGACAAGTCGTCTTTTTTAACTTTCTATAGATTATTATAAAAAAACGGATGGCGAACTTATCCCTTTAACTTGTACTTTTATGTAAGATAGGCATACTGGGCTTTTATAGTATAACATCACATCTTTTTATATTATATGCGGTCAGTCCGGATCACCTAAAAAAAGATTGTCTGGCTTTCCAGGAATATTTACGGTACTTTCCGACTGTTTTTTCAAAAGCCATCGCTTTCCCCAATAAAATTGATATGGTATTCTCATTACTGACCTCCTTGCGCTTGACCATCAACTAAAACTTCAGCGATAGGAATACAGTTGTCCGCCGTTGTGACCACAGTGATCATTGTTCCATTAACATTGAGAGAAAAAGCCATTGCAGGTAAATTGTTCCCATCTATTCCGTAATAGAATTTTCCCTTTGGCTGAGCATCCACTAAAGAATAAAAGACAATGAAATAAATGTCGACTGAAACGAAGTGTTGCAAGAGAGAAGGTTCCCTTTGGCATTGGAAGGCTTTACGTAATTGTATCTTATATAGAAACTAACGCTATGCAGCAAAATGTCACGTGATTGTGAGATTCGTAACAATTGAGAGTGGACCACTTAATAGAAAATTTAGTAAATGCTGATTGGTTGAAAAAGTGTATTAGGTCCAAAATTACAGTATGACCATACTGGGTTAGCAGGAGGACATGTAAAGAATTCAATCTAATTTGTTTTTATAAAAGCATGATAGCTTTAAGCAGCAAGCCCTTAATTGATACTGACTGGTGCGATGAGTTTTCGGTTGCAGATGTACTTACCTGGCAAGCATAATTTCATAAAAGGGTCAGTTAACGAGGAAACTGTACAATGTTTTGTATCCAAATCAACAATAAACTGGAATTTCTGAAAAAAAAAAAAAATAGAATTGATTTCATATCTGTATAGTGTTCTTCATTCCTAGGCAGTTTCTGTAAAGTTGAAAATATTGCCTCGGTAATGAATGAAGTAAATCTTTGTGTCCAACGTACAACGCTTCCGATTGTCTTTTCTTCTATCCCAGACCTATATATTATTGAGAATCAAGCCGGTTTAACCCTCCCTTTCCCGAAATCTAATCACTACTATTTGTTAACTGATAATACATTTTATCGATTAGAATCATCATTTTACGAAGTTTTATGCTTTATCTGGCGTTTTTACTAACATTTTGTCCCACTTATTGTAATATGAAACATAATAAACTTATACCTACCCTAGAATAATCATATATGATTTTATAATTTTTTTCTCCCTGTGGGGTACTTTCAGATGTAACATAGGCTATTCTTTGATTCTTCTCATCGTAAGATATACGTACCATCGACTATAATATTTAAAAAAAATATTAATTTAATGGTAAGAAAAATATCAATGGTTTATCAATCGTTTAACGGTAAAACGAGACTATCCGTCTTATTGATGGAGGGTTAAATGATATAATATAACACTGACTCGTAAATCATTGACTAATCAGGATACAGTACCTAGAACATCTTCACAATGGTCAAGATATAACGAACTTTGTCTTATACCTTGATTACATTAGACACTGTTCTTTCTCATGGAATGCAGTAACCTCATCCAATCTCTCTTTGTCTACGTATAACTTCGACGAAACAGAAGAGAGGAATTGTTTGGGCGTCAGAGACTTGAAATGCAGCGATTTGTCTGGATTGTACACCAGCGAATACAGCCAATCGACAGAAAGACTGTGAACATTATGACTTATTGTTAACAGACTTTCTGTCGAGGCCTCTGATAATCTATATTCGAAAACATACAAGCCAATGAATCGTTGTATTTACAAACTTCCAAGATACAAGAAAGGTGGCTATTGCAGTCAAGGTATAAGACGAAATTCGTAATAGCTTGACATTGTGAAGATGTACAAAGAAAAATACTTACAGTTCTCACACTAGGAATACCACCATCTACTATACCAATAGTTGAACCTTGTTGACCTTCCCATTGTGAAGGTGTACAACATCCCGGTTTACTAGGTTCTCCAATAACAACACCAACAACAACAACTGCTACCACTAAACAATACTTCATCATTTCAGCAATCGCTTTAACAACGAACAGCTACCTTTAAACAACTTGCCTATGCCTTGATGTCTACAGACCAATCTTAAGATATCATTAAATTTTGACTATTTATTGTAAATTTTATTATCAGTTGATACCACTGATGATAATTCGTCACTATTTCATGACTTCCATACGCCCACAATAAATGGTGGACGAAAAATGCCGTCGCCACAATCCGTTATGTGGGTAAGTCAGAATTGACATTTCCACTTGCTCTTTGCAACATATTCAGCTTTACGGAAACTGCCGAGAATTGCCGAATGATAAAATCATGGTGTTCAATAGTTCCCCTTTTTACCCGAACTGTATGTAAATGGTCAAGTGATCTGTTCAGTAAGAACAGTGTTTTGGGTTCGTCAAAACAGCTTATTAGCACCACAGAAGCTACACTTTTAATCTAAACTTAAAACTTGAAATAAATTTCATATACTTATGTGGATTGGTGGGATTTAGGACGAGTTGGAAGAAGATGATATTTTCTGACATCAACTGACAACTCTCTTCTTGGCACTTACAATAGAAAACTTACTATTTGGCACTTATCAATTACTATTTTGCTACTTTACCAGATTTCCCTTATATTCAAGGCTGTGATTAAGAAAGATGGCTACCTGATGTTAATGCAATATAATATTTAATGTTATCAATATCTGACGGTATCAAATCATATGATTTGTAATAGTATATAGTAAATTACTAATATCGATATAATCTATAGCTGATAATTTTAAGAATATCGGACAAAAATAACTTTTATTCCCACGTTTTCTTTTCTACTTTGGACGCAAACCAAATAACATCTAAAGCCAATTATTACAACAAGTCATTAAATTTATGCATTTTTTAAAAGAACATCGATAACATTTCCATTCGGCAATCCCCAGTTTGAAGAGACTCTAGAAGTTATCTGAATTTTATGAAGAAGACATTGACCAAGGGAAATCTTTGAATGATACCCGTGTATCGTGCTATTGCATCCGATATTGTTCTATTACTAATTAGCATCTTTATATAACAACATATTTTGGAATGCTGGTAGCAGACAGGAACAAGATCGGATGGTTTTTGATTTCCGACAATGCAGGCATCTTCATTCATCGGGTAATCAGGCAGCTATGCAGAGGATATGCAACAACATAATCTACATTTAAAAAAATATATGGAACACGCCAGTTGTCATAGTACTTCTGTTAAATGTATATACAAAAATTGTAATACATCCAGATAACATAATGTGCTACAGGGCGAATCTTAGGTGATACATTCCAACAGTTTTATATAGAAGCATTCACCTATCATATACAGAAAGGTTGAAGATCAAAGAAAAAAAAATTGCGTTCTGGTTGGATTGTACTCAATTAGCTCAATTGCAATCCACTCAAATCTTTGTCAACTCAGTGATACAAGAAAAATGTCTATTGCATATATGTCTATTGTATATGAAAATAATACTCTTTCAAATACCATAAAATGCAGATTTCATTGCCTTTGAATTCTCTGAACATCCAGGAACGACAGTGCCCCCATCCCCGCCGCAAATAATTTCTGGAAGTTTCAACGTAGGCTTCTATGTCATTTTCCATTATAGTGGTGATATATAAGGTCCCACCACAAAGCTAAGTACAGTAATGTGAACTAGTTCAACATATTACAGTCATATTATATTCTATTTACATTAAGGGTATTCTTGCGAAATCTTGATAGGTTATAATGTAGGTCGTTTACTGTTTGTACAATGAACGAAAAAGAACATTAAATCAGTTTTTTACATAAGAGATAAGCAGAAAAGGAGAAATATTGAAGGTTGAAGGCAAACTGCAAATTAAGGTAAGTTGTCTTTTTGTCAGTTATCACTGTGCAGTATGTAATTGAATCACTCTTTCCTGTACAGTCCTCGTCTTCACAATGTCAAGCTACATGTATTACGAACTTCGTTCTTATGCCTTGACTATAATAGCCACTATTCTTGTATCGCAAAATGTAGCAGTTTGATGTATGCTAACGAATATAGCCAATCCGAACCCTTCACAGAATGGCTGTAAACATAATGGCTTTGTGTTTACAGAATCTCAATCGAAGTCTCTGATTGGCTAGTTTTTGCTAGCGTACAATCCAATCAAATCGCTTCATTTACAAACTTCCATGATACAAGAAAGGTGACTATGGCAGACAAGGTATAAGTAGTCCTACGAAATTCGTCATAGCTTGACATTGTGGTCGTCAAAATATAGATCCTGTGTTATAGAGGTTTTAGCCATGTATTTTCGAGGAAAATTCGACATGAACTTTCACGTATTGTATTATGTTGTCATGTTGCAACAGGTACCTTGTATTGTCATGTAGTACTTTCATACAGTGACTATTGCAGAGCTTAGTCATTGTTGTGGCTTTGTCCTAACATAGTGTTACAACAGTGACTTTATGCTGTCCTATTGCAGATGAAGCAGTTATCCTTTAATGTATAGTGATCCAAACATTGGTCTTAATCCATAACCGCAAGCAAAAGTCACCTTGACCTACTTCCATTCGCCCCAACTGTAAATGGGTGTGGCACAATCTGACACAAAGAAATGTCACTATTCATGTACAAAAAGGTCAAGGTCAAGGTCATTGAAATTTGATAAGGAAAATTAGTCACAGTTTTCTTATATCGCATAGTCATATCGTAAATATTGAATAGGTCGCTTGTCTATAAAAAATCAAGCAGTAATGAGACTAAGTGAGATTAAGTTTTCTTGTTCGTTGAGTGTTATTTCTAAGGTTAATAGGCCTAACTGTGTTCATTTTTGGAACAATGAAAATAAAGTTTGTTAAAGGGACGTAGTCGTCCTATCGGTTTTGATTGACCAGTTGAAAGATCTGAAATTGAGCTTAACCTTAAAATTCGACTCCCGGTTTTCTTGCAATGTAATACGGAAAATCTATAGACATTTCTTTTGTCGTCACCGCCAGGTCTATAAAAGCCTCCCCTACCCCTTGTCTAAGTAGCAATTGCCATACAATCAACTCAAGGCGGAGGACTACTTTTCTTTTAAACTTTAATTCCAGTGGGAGACCTTAAAAAAATGGCGGTTCAAGAAGGCATAGATTATGTATCAGAACTGATATCCAAATACGTACCAGATGAGATACACAACTATATACCAGAGTCTATGATTTCCAGAACGTTATTGGTTGGAACCACCACAGGAATCCTGGCATATCTCATCTTTAAAAAACGGTACAAGCTGCCACCAGGACCATGGTCTCTACCAATAATAGGCCACAGGATGTGTAAGCATTTGTTTATTCAATATATGCTATGCGATGCTAGTTAGTAATTGAAAATTCAAAGCTTTATGAACTGACAAACAATAGTCGAGTCGTTCAATAGCAGATAAAGGATTTGAGGTCGTGTATAAGGAACACTTATAATTTCCATGTCGATTTCAATGGTTCCTGGAATTTTTGAAGAACTTTAAAAAACTGACGTCACTATCGGAAATTTCATTCAAATGGTTCAAAAAAGAATCCATGTTTGAAGTGTTACTAAAATTCGTTGGTACCTAGCAAAGATGCAAGCTGGATATTGAACATCTATCAGGCATAATTTCCTCATTGCTCACTGTCTGACATTGTCAGCAAAAGAATTGCGTAAAGCTCCATCGTTTCCATTTTTTTTATTTACATATTTATTCAATTGCAGTCGCATCAGATGAAAACATAGCGAGAAAATGGTTTGATCTTTCTAAAATATATGGGCCAGTTCTTACTGTGTATATGGGTAAGAAATATTATTTGCCTACGTTCGTTAATTAATAAGTTTTAGATTTGTGCAAACAAAAAGAAGACGTTATAGTGCTTTGCATGGGTAAAGATCTGATTTGTACTTCTGCAAGACCCAAAGAGGCAGTCAATTATAGGTTTAGATATCCCACAATTCGTTATATTTACATGACACGCTTTGATTGGTTTGAAATATCATTATTAGGACGTGCCTTTGGAAGAAAACTATTTAGATTACTATGTAGACAAGAAATATCAGAAAAGAAAATTATATTATTGACTGACTATGGGTTGATGATACTGTTTTCAGGACCCAGTCCAGTTGTTGTTTTGAATAATATAGAGAGTGTGAACGAGGCTTTATTAAAGAAAGGTGCCCAGTTTGCTGGAAGATTTGCTTTTTACAGTGGTGAGTGTATAATCCAGTCTAAAACAACGTTGTCAAAGTGTGGTAGTTTGTATACGTACGAATGGAACAATAGACGTTAACAAACGATAAACAGTATATGCTTTCAATGTGGGTAAATTTGAGGTCCATTGCCAATTTAACATGGGATGTATAATATACATACAGAGTTTTAAATCGATCTATGATATTTTAAAATGTTATGTGTATCAGGAACACCGATAGCATCAATTTGCATCATTTCAATTATCAGTCAGACGTCTGTGGCTCCTACAATTCCATAAAAAAAAATAGGTTTTTGATGACACCACTAATCGAATGCCCTTTTTACAATACAAAACCTCTTTACAATCTCTAAGATGTTTAAAGACCTATACAGAAAATTTGAACGTTGTTTTATTCTTTCAGCCGATCAGCTGTTTCATAATAGTGAAGATATCATATTTAGTCGCTATAGTACAGGATGGAAACTTCGAAGGAAAATTGCTTCAAGAGCTATTAGGTAGGCTTTGATAAATCCCTTATGGTCTCATGGTCTCATGTTTTGATAATGTTTCATTAAAATGCAGATGTTTTCAGCCAAAACCAATAAAGCGGGAGCGGACAATGTTCCATGGTTAAAGAGTTATTTCAATCAATTCCTAATTTAATGTCGTCAAGCCTTATGAAATAGTATTATCACGGGGCAGATACAGATTCAGCATGTAAATGCTAACAGCTTTTGTAATTTTCCAATAGATTGTTTATGGTTAATGGTAATTTTAATCAGAAAATCGAAGATGCTGTGAAAAAGACAGTCGACACCATGTTGAAAGAAAAGGGAGCTTTTGATCCCAAACCTTACCTCTTTTATACAACATTGAATATCATAGCTGCTATGTGCTTTGGAAAATGGTATGTATACTATGGTCTGTTTTCACTAACATTTAGAAAATGTCCCATACAGAAAAGCTGCAACTGAAATTTTGCGCCGTATATATATTAGAAAGAAAATGGCACCTGACATTCTCAAAATGTGATGAAAATGTGGACAATAGCACCAAGAAGTTTTAAAAGTACGTTCAGATATCGGATACTACTTAATATGACCAATGATCGTTACTGTATCAGTACGGTACACCACAAAATAATATAATTGTGCTCTTCCATTACCAGCTACCCCCAGTATATCTGTTAGTAATGCCCTTGCTATTGTTAAATCCTCGGTCAATTAAATAGGGAGGAGGCCCTTAGGCGGATTATTTTCATGCATGAGGGCCCTCATAGACATTCATAGCCGACAGAGCCCCATTTTCTTAAGTAAGGGCATAATGTTGCCCTTGACGGCATAAGTTGTGAACTACTTTATATTGTGTGTTAACCTTTAAGATACCTACTTTGGTAAACAAAATGTATTTTGGGGAGGGAGGGGGGGGGGGGGGGGGGGGTACCTCAAGGGTAAGTCCCCTTAGACTTGGCCCAACCTGTCTGTATGGTAGTTGATCCACTGCTTGTTATCATTGTAAAAAGATCGTATGTGTTACTTTCTTACTCTGTAGCTATGGTTACGAAGATAAGGAATATAGAGATTTATTAAGAGATTTGGATAGGTTTGGTGAAGTGAATGGTGATGGCTTTGTATTTGAGAATATTTTTCCTTGGTTTGCTGGATTATACAAGACTCGTCGATATCGACAGTTAGAGGTCATAACAAATGGTTTCATAGCATTTATAGAACAAAAAGTCAATGTACACAAAGAAAAGTTTGTTCCAGGTACTTTATCTTAGGATTCACTATTTAAACTTCTTGCATTGTGTTCCTTTAAGCTGGCAGGAATTGATTGCCAAGAATGTCTTGTACATATATATACATGTCCACTTCAATACACCAACAAACTAATTAAAATCGCGATGTTTCATGATCTGACGATATTCGCCTTCAAGTCATGTTCTGTGGAATTTAGACCATATTCACTTATTGTAAATCGTTTATTAAAGAACTCAATATGGTTGGTTGAATATTAAATGACCCAGAGCAGAAGTCACCCGCAGTCTATTCTCTGTTTTATTTCTTATTTCATCTCCTAACACCAACAACCCATACTTTGCTAATAAAATAGCGAATTCAAACTGCGAGGCCCCAGGATTAAAGAAGACTGTTTCTTATAATACACAGTATTCTATGTTCGTTTGTCGAGATATAATATTTTTTCCACATTGCAGGACAAATTCATGATTTTACTGATAGTTTACTACAAGCTGCTATAGAAATTGAAGCTGAAGGAGAAGACAATATGACAAATTTTGAACCGATCCATATTGTGCTTACCGTTCTTGATATATTCTTTGGTAAGAAAGATTATATGTTGTGGGCAGAGTTGTGAGTCTACAAGTCGAAGTATCCTTGATATTCATACAAATTCTATAGATTAATAATATATTGGGCCAATAACGCCAATTGAACCTCAACCCGGTCTGTGGTGGCCCCTTTTGTATATTTGCTAACTGTTTGACATCAATTTCGGTTTGAAACGAGAATAACCTGTCATAACTCAATAAGGTACAGACGAGAAGAACGTAAAACTCCATCTAATTCATTTCAGCTGGAAACGACACATCAAGACAGACTCTTCTTTATTCTTTAATGTACACCATTGGTGTACCCGGTATCCAACAGAAATTGCAACAAGAAGTAGATTCTGTTATTGGTAAGTAGATTCTGTTATTGAGGTATGTTCTGTTATTGGTAAGTAGGTAAGTAGATTCTGTTATTGGTAAGTAGATTCTGTTCTTGGTAAATAGATCATTTTATAAGTAAGTAAATCCGTTATTGGTAAGTACATTCCTTTATTGGTAAGTAGATTCTGTTACTGGTAAGTAAATTCAGTTACTGGTAAGTAGGTCTTATTATTGGTAGGTAGATCTTATTATTGGTAAGTAGATTCTGTTATTGGTAAGTTGGTTTTGTTATTGGTAAGTAAATCCCGTTATGGGTAAGTTGATATCGTTATTGTGTAAGAATATTCTGTTGCATGTATTTGTTAGTCTATTCTATTATTGGTAAGTCAGTTCTGTTATTGGTGAGTAGGTAGGTAGATTATGTTTTGGTCTGTATATTTTGTTATTAGTAATTAGAAGTTTACTCAAAATGGTCTAACTATTATTAGACTGTATTACTTAAAGGTAAAGATAGATATCCAACCACTGACGATAGGGACAACTTACCATATTCTAGTGCTGTTTTACAAGAAGCAATGAGAATGGGACCTGTTGTACCTGCTGGTGTACCACATACTACTACTTGTGATACTACACTGGGTAAGATTCATTTAAATCACGAGAAGAAATCCATGTTTTGATTGATTAAACAAAATGTCATTAGAATGGGACAGTGGTAGAGAACTTGTTAGATTACTATGGAGACGAATAAAACATATCAACGATGCTTGCTTCACTTTGGCTCTCTTGATTTGCCAATTATTAGCTATTTGAAGACTTTGGTATTTTTGGAGGAAGTAAAGGGTATTTTTAGCCCCTTCATTTTAACTGGAAGTTACTGTTTGAGTACGGCCAGAAGATGTTTTGCTGCTTCTTGGAGAAATACTGAAGGTTATTCATAACGTTATACTGGATATAACTAACCAAGACGAGGTTGACCCGATTGAAATTTTTATACCTCTTTAAACAGACTAATGACCATAATGCCTAATTTTATATTTTACTTCTGTTCTAGGAGAATATGAAATACCAAAGGATACAATGGTTATTATAAATCACTACGCCATGCATAACGATCCTAACAAATGGGAGGAGGTAGACAGGTTTAAACCAGAGCGTTATTTGGATGAAGATGGTAAATTAGCACCAAAACCAGAAAGTTGGTTGCCATTCAGTGCTGGCAGACGAGTATGTCTTGGAGAACCTCTTGCTAAACCTGAGTTACAATTAATTATAGCTTCATTGTTTCAAAGACTGGAATTTTCACCTGAACCAGGAACACAGATAGATATGGAACTCGTTGAGAAGAACGTTACTATTACTCCTAAACCGTTTAAAGTGGTGGTTAAGAAAAGATAAAAAATAAGACACTATATTTTATATTATCGAGTATAGGCATTATTATTTACGTTTTACGTTTGATAACATAATATATCGTTTTTATAGCTTATGTTAGTATTTTCCTATAAAAAATGCAATAATATATGTAATAAAATAATGAAAAATATATGAAAGAAAACAGGGACAACCCATTGAAAGACTGAATTGAAATTAAATTGAATTTGAAGTTGAACTATTCTGTCCCTTGAAATGCTAGTCTAACGGCGTAATTTTTGTCTTCGATTTAGATAAGGACGACGAGCAGCACCATACAGTGTGCAATTAACAAAGTTACTAGTGGACGATCTTTCCATGTCAGCCTGCATAATCTGTCACTGAATTACCTCGACCTATGTCGGGATTGATTTCTGGAACTCTAGGGTAGAATTATGAGACCGGCTGGAGCCAGGTTTGCGTTTACGATTTCTAACCTACTTATGAGATTTTTACCCGAAAACCTTGCTTTTGGGGCTGTGAGGGGGGGGGGGGGGACTGGTGGTTCTGCCGCTGGGCTGTTAGACACAGAATTAAGATTGGGCATATCTTACTCAATCAGATTGATAACTTTGTTATATTTTAGTTTATAGTTATAGCTATACCGGAGATTATAAGACTGTATGTATAAATGATCCATAACTGTACAAGCTATATTTTAGTCTTCGTCTTGAAAAATTAAATACTGTAACATCTGGACAAAAAAAAATACAATATCATGAAAAAAATCTTTTGAATTTAATTCTAGTATAAAATCATATATCAACATAATAACGTATTTCATCCCCTTTATAAATAAGTGTGAAATATGTTACATGTATGCCATGAAAATCAAGTTTCCGCAGTTTCCGAAAACGCACTAAGAGCTAGTTTCATATTTTTTTAACAGCTTATTTTCATTAAAATATATAATATGTAAAGGTGCCCTCACACCATTGCGATTAACAGTCTTGTATGGTTCCGAATAATAAAAGTGGTCACAACTATTCTTATTCGTAACAATACGCATAAGATGATCGATATGGTGTGATGATCACCTTGGCCAAGCAGTCCGAGCACTGAAAGTGTTTTTAAAGCACTGTACAAAAGGATAATATATTAGGAAAAATAAGTTCGTTGTTAAGTTTTCTTCATACCGAGGTATCAACTGGAAGGTAAATATTAAAAACAAAAGTTATATGGATATACATGTACTACTTCTAGGTTAATTACATACTACAATTCAAGTAATCATAATATTAAGCGTTTTTCATTAGTTTATTGCATTTTTATTAAGTCTTTTGGATCATGTTATGTTATTTATGACACCAGGTATATCTACTGATGAATATATGCTCTTTTTGGCCATGTTTAAAATTTTTAAATTTTATGTTTATTCCAAGACGTAGTATCCCTTTAACGTGCCTACAAGAAACAGTTTTTATACATTTACTCTTTACAAAGCATTCAGGTAACACCCGATCTGTTCGTTTTTTTGCAGCTTGTAGCTTATAAGAACCATAGAATGTTAGTAACAGATAAACGATCAAATTCCTTGGCTCTAAATTTTGTCCCCTTTTTTTTAGTTTATTTGAAGATGGAAATATCTTATTTAGAGTGTACAGATAGGGTACTTAATCGTCAAGAAATGTTGGCACATAGGTACTTTACAAAGATTGAAGTAGAAGCTCTTGAATATCAAAAGTTTTTCTTATTGAATAATTTAGGAAACGGCACAATTTGAACAAAATTTCAACTTTCATTTTCGAACTTCTGCGATAAGATCATTTTGGGGTGGAGGAAGGCTGATTGTCGACTCTAATGGTGTCATATTCATTATTTTACCTTCTGCACAACTAAATGAGAAATTTCTCAATAACATCGCCAATACTAGCAACATTTCTGGTCGGGCGATTGTTTCACCCAGACAATTTCTACGTCCACAAGAGAAAGGTAACCAGGACATGGGTTTAGGAGCCAATGAACCATCTTCATCTAGTAGTCTTTCTGGTCTAAATACCTCAGGATCACCCCAAACATCTTTGTCCATGTGTAAAGCATAATGATTTACCATTACCATTGTACCTTTTGGAATATCATATTCACCTGTAAAATATAGTAAACCTTATTTGGAGTTAAAGTTACATCCGATACGACCATTGACCAATATTCTAGATGTCACATCAAATTGATGTCTTCTACCAGTTAATTTTAACGAGGGTCACTTAAAATATCTTACCTAGGGTTGTGTCACATAATGTAGAATGAGGAACACCCAATGGTACGACTGGCATAAATCTCATACTTTCATGTAAAACAGCTTCAGTATAGGGTAATCTCTCTTTATCTGATATAGAAGGTTGTTGGCCTGCATCTAATAGAAACATGGAAATCAGAATCATAACATGGACATCGGAACCATAACGGGCATCGGAACCATAACATGAACATCGGAAACATAACACGGATATCGTGAACATAACATGGACATCGGAAACATAACACGGACATCGGAACCATAACATGGATATCGGAACTAAACATGGACATCGGAACCATAACATATACATCGGAAACGTAACACAAACATCGGAACCATAACATGGATATCGGGAACATAACATGAACATCGAGAACATAACACGGACACAGGAACCATAACATGGACATCGGAAACATAAAATGGACACTGGAAACATAACATGGACATCGGAACCATCACATGGACATCGGAACCATCACATGGACATCGGGAACATAACATGAACATCGAGAACATAACACGGACACAGGAACCATAACATGGACATCGGAAACATAAAATGGACACTGGAAACATAACATGGACATCGGAACCATCACATGGACATCGGAACCATCACATGGACATCGGGAACATAACATGGACATTGGGAACATAACATGGACATCGGGAACATAACATGGACATCGGGGACAAAACATGGATATCGGAAACAAAACATGGATATCGGAAAAATTACATGGACATCAGGAACACGAAAAATGTCTCTTCTAAATATGGTGTCATAATTTGACATGGGGCAGAAATTGGGTACATTTCATTGACTAATAGTGAACCATTTAGATATTTAAGATCTTTACTCATGTCAAGATAGAATTTTTATAAGCTCTGGGCAATCCGAGCCAATGATACAACCATGGCCTTTAACGTCGTTTGTCTAAATCAATTTAATTAAATCACTCATTATCCTCCAAATGGTTCTTCTTTTAATAGATATTTGATGCATAATATTGTTGATACTAAGATGCAAATATAGATTGGTTTGGTCTACAGATCTGTATATTGATCAGATGGGCTGTTTGATAAGATGATATTTACAGTTACTGCAGAAAATATGTTTACTTTACCGAGAACTTGATCGATTTCTTCTTGTGCCTTTTTCTGGATTTCGGGATGTTGAACCAGTAAATAGATGGTCCAAGTTAAAGTTTGTCTTGTGGTATCAACACCGGCTATAAAAATAAACATTTGAAACAAACGTTACATCTATGCCACAACAAATAATCTGGAGTCTTTTAACTACCGAAAACTTGACTTACTACAATATAATTTAAAGCCATGCCAATGGTATTAGATTCTCTTGGGAATTTGCTCTATAATGGAGACTACAGACTTAAGTTTCTAACAAACGAATTTATAATATGGTGGACATCTGGAAGGCAAATAGGCCACAGGCAACAAAGCTTATAAAACTTGTGCCAAGCCTATTGAAGGAAATATGGGTATACCTAAATAAGAATGGACGCAATCAATCTAAAATAGAAGGAATTCAAACGAATGGATATGAAACCATAAATCAAAGGATAAATCAATTCAATTATTGATAAGAACAAGATTTTTTGTTTACCTGTAAAAATGTCCTTCAATGTCTCTACGATATGTTGATCTGTTATCATCTGTTCTACAGCTGGGTCTTCAGCTATTGCTTCATTTCTAGCATTGATCAGATAATCTGTTAGATCTTTCATGTCGTCTAAAATATGATGATCGAGGTATTCAAATGAATATGACACAATATATAAAGAACCGGTTTTAAAATAATTTCTACATAAATCCTTTTGGAATAGAGTAATATATTTACTCTGAAAGACCATTCCTGGGGTAAATTCTTAAAATCATTGTGATGGTATATTGTTTTTATCAAAATATGTGACCGAATACTAACTGGGCTCACATGGATGACAGACCGCTCATGCCCACGACGAGATGTTGTTTTACTACGCATGCAGCAGAACATGAGCAACTGGTGGCCGATTTTCCACTCTTCGGTGTGCTCTTAGACTGTTGTGGACTGATCAGAAAAAATATCAGCCAGTGCAAGAACGTTCTGCAGGACGCCTTGAGCTCAAAGAGTAATTGATATCTTTACAAAGTCAACTTACTACGAACTCGTCTGATACCGTGACATCATAAGGCACTTCTTGTATTAGGCTTGCAACAATATGATATGATAGAAAGACCATACAATACGACTGTGCGTTTAATCGAGGTCCTCTGATTGGCAGCATACAATCCAATCAAAACGATGTATTTAAAAGCCTCTGTGAAACAAAAAGTACCTAATTATGTCAAGGTATTAGACGAGCCCGTAATACTTTAACATTTGGAAGATGTGAGCGTGAATGACAAAGTAGATTTACCTGTAGAAAAAGATTTCTTGTGATTTTCGTGTTCCTTGATCAAAAGGTCATTCAAATAGTCGAATGCATCCATTATTCTTATATACTTCTTAGTAGGATAGTACCTGAGGAGTGGAATAATGTCTTCCCACAATCCGTTTCCAAACTCTGCTGATATTTTGGTAAAAAGTTGAAGTATATACAAAAACTCCTTATCATCTATTTCAAAACTGGAATAAACAAATTCACTAGTCAAAAATTGTCTGCCAATATTCGAGTAGCATTACTGGATGTTGCAGCTGTCATCGGAAAAGCTCTTCGGATGGCACAGTTAACCGAGGTCCCGTGTTCTACGGATCGGTACACGTTACATATTTTTCGACAATCAAAAATCGGAAAGAGTAAGGATATTATTCCTATGTCCTGACAAAATTATCTTCATTGTACACTGCATGGTGCTGCTCATTTATTAATACATTCAGTGCAGGAATGTAAGACGTTAAAGGGACAGTATGCAAAATTTCATTATCGAAAACATCGTACATTATACCTGAAAATATTTCTAAAGTATGTTATTTATATCTATGTAACTACTTGATCAAACTGAATTTGTTTCAAAAGGGTTAATTAAAATCGGGGGTACTAATTGTTAATTAAGCAGCTTGACCTAGTTTTGGTGTTATAATGGCTCTATATTATTAGTTGAAACCTGTAGAATACATGGCAGACATATTTCTTTACAATAAGGTGTTTATTTTTCTTAAATCCGTTAGTTTTCTTACACCTTCCGAATTTCACAATCAACTGTCGAAGTTTTCTTAAAACCTTTTAGGGAGTTTTGGCATAAAAAATTGACGTCTGGATTTTTTTGTCGAAACTTTCAGATACTTCAAGGGACATATTTCTCTAGATTTCGATGTTAAGATTTTACAAATTTGTTCGACCTACAAAAAACAAAACAAAACAAAAACAAAAAACCAAATATGGAATACCCCTTTAAACGCCATTAATTTCTTTTTGTCGAAAGGTACTGCTTAGAAAATTTGTTACACAAACCTTTTATGAAAACAGAGTCCATATATAAAATTCACTATGAACAATGTGATGTGTTTCTCTATATCAAGAACTTCACCTTCCTTTTCCCTCATTAATTTAAACACTTTACTTCCTGATTCATGAAGTTTTTCTCCAAGCTTTTCACCACTAGCAAATTGTCTGCAAAATCATGTTGGTATTAAAATGATATGTTTCAGAAGTGTCCTACTGGTGATGAAAACTTTTACAAAATTTATCATATATTTATCATTGATCATTTTTATTTGCATTGGAATCTAAGCAATGGCTGTTGTTATGAATCATTACATGGTGAAGAGGGGGGGGGGGGGGGGGGGACGTTTGTACTGCCATACCTAAGCTATGTTATATTTAGATAATTGAAGAGATAAGATAAGATTATCAAGAAGAATTTTCTGCGGGATTGTGTTTGAAAGTATGAGAGTTTAAGTTTACCTACCTCATTCCTTGAAGAGCAACTTTCCTCAAAACTTTCCATTCCGTACCAAAATCACCAAACACAATGTCTTTATAACCATTTGTCAAACGCTCAACTAAAGATAAAACTTATCATATTAGTCGCCTGATTTTTGCTGTTCAATTTTACTTGTGTCAAGACTTTTCAAATGTTACAAAATGATTTCCTTTGCCGTTTCCACATTATTACGTCTATATGCAATATCAGCTTTAGGGTTTTGTTCACACGGCCCAGGAGAACCAGACGGCTCGCTTTGTTTCAGTTTTAGACGAACATTACTTCAACCTTTCATTTCGATAGAGCTTTTTCATTTGTTAAAGCATATGTTATACATGCGAGAAAGACTGTCATATTGCTCTACTTTGGGTTTTGCTATCAAACATTTCGTTATGGTTAGACAATCGAGAATTTGATTGGCTAAATAAATATAACGTCATTCGAACGGGATTGCGGTTGAAACTTGTTAGATTACAATGGAGACAAAACATATTAAAAATAATTAATTGAAGTGCGTGAAATAATTAGAATAGACTGATAAAAGTAGACAATATCAACTAACATGTATGTGTTTTCAATCTTCCGGCAAAGTCTATATCTTTCTTGATCAAAGCCTCTCTCACGACCTCGGTACTGTTCAGTGTGACACATTTAACTGGACCTGCAATAGAAACAGAATCGTAGAGGAAAGTTGGTGGATCTAAGGTAAACTACAACATGTTCATTTTGATGTTGTTTCATGGTTGAAGCTCCACCCCTTTAAAAAAAAAAAAAAACAAATATGCCGAATTTGTCCGAAGCAAATGAGAATAAGGCAAAGTCGCACTGATATGTAATATACAGGTAAATCGTGAGATCGATCTAGAGTCTACAGTCGGAACAGTTTTGAATTGCCACCAAATTTTTATGGAATGCGAATCAAAATTCTTCATTAAAATTGTAACGTTTTATATACGTATTAGTTCAAGGGCAGTAACTCTTTGTAATTGTAATTTTCATTCGACCACTGAGGAATCCAGTTTTTGATGTTAAAATGTGTCATACTTATGTGAAAGATGGAAGACGTCGACCTATATAGTCTTCGACAAACTGTAATACATACATCAATACATCAGAATACCTCTCAACCCCCAATTCAACTACTATCTGAATTTCTCTATCTCTATTCCCCTTTCCACTACCCTAGTCCTCTTTCTGAACCTACCTCCCTTATAAATGAATTTTCCCTGTCTCTTCCTTATTGTGTCTCTTTTTTCACTTGTAATCTCTCATCTCCCTGTCATTCTACCACTTGTCTTCGTCCATACCTACGTTGTATCTTTTACCGACTTCTTTTCTACCTCTCTATTTACCATCACTACTTTAAGTCCTATCTCCGTTTTATAATTTTCTCTGTCACTACTTATAACTTTTCCTTCACCTTCCTCTCTACCTACCCTGTCTCTTCTCATTACTTCCTCGACTTATTTTTCTCTCTACAACTTTCCCTTCCTACTTCTCCTATCTTAATGATACATAAGAAATACAATGAACTTACCAAAGTGTACAGTTATAATCGGACCATATTTTACTTTCCATTTACACAGCAGACGAAACAAAGATTCAGATCGGAAGGCTGAAAGATAATTATAGGATAGCGTGCAAGGTAAGATAACATATGTCCACTGTTCAATAGGGGGTACTCGATTGATGAGTCCTACACGTGCGAGATTCATAGAATAATCCGGAAGTGCCATAAAACAATTTGGTACAAGGATCAGGATGCGTTCCACCTGTGCTGAAAAAGTAGGTATAGACTGGTTCGATTTAAGCCACAATCGGAACAGACAGAACCTGTTCAGAATTAACCAGTCGAGCGCCAAGTAGAACTCTTACACAATATGCAAATTGTTTGTGCGGACTGTAGTCTAATGGCGTTTTGCTCATGGAAGTGACTTTGTCGAATACTAATTGATTGATTTCTAATAAAATGTCATAAGTAGGCAGTCCGTTCAAAAACACAAAAAAGTAAAGCAGAACAGCTTTGTTTACATTTGTGACTGTTATGCCATTGCATTGGAAGCCTTCTCTTTTTTATACACGTTGACACTATTTTCTCCGCATTGTCAATATTTTATTAATATTGACAGAACTTGTTGTTCTTGTGTTGTATCGTTGCACTTTTTGATCTAAATTTCAAAATCTGTACTTACACCAGAGATTTCCAAAAAATGGCGGCCCCCATGGACCGGGTGGTAGTTTATATTTTTTCCCAATAAATCTATAGGAAATCATTCCAATTGTTAATCCCACGATTAAAGCTTGACTGGTTATTGTGAGAGGTATATTATTGGTTAACGTCTCCAACATGATTTCTTTTTAGATCTGCAATACTATGGTAAATATCTTGTATTTTCATGAGCAAGATGGAACATGGAACCTAATGTTTATTGGACTATGAAATGAACGAGTTCTTAACCGATTGATTAAAGTATTGACCTACTTTCAAAATATTCAATTCAATTTTCAATACAAGTTATCTCCCTTGTAATGCAAAAATTGTTCAAAATAGTGCATTATAAATCATGGGTTTTGAACCTCGGGGTAAATTATACATAATTACAATATATACACAATATAAATGTACGCTATTCTTGCAAAACTCGTTTCACTTTGGTCTTCTTGTCATTCTGGAAAATGCCAATGGGCGTATGTTAAACTGTATAACACCTTTAACGTTTTATTGATTGACATGAAAATCATACAAATTACACGTGACGCAGGATTTAAAAAAGTCAACGCTCGTTAAATGAACAGTCGAACACGCGTACCACTCTAAATGATACAAGGAGACTATACCTTTTCCCTTCTATAACCCCTCTTAGATCGATTGCATTACCTGCTCCCCTCCCCTATAAATCCTTACTATTTCGCGATTTTCACTGAGGTTTTCTCTCCAATCTGAACAAACACTGACTGAATATAACGACTTAGATTTTAATTGCCCCAAAATTTTATTCTAGACTACAAACCGCCTCAAAATTTCAGAATCCTCAAGTTGAATTACCTTGCTATACATGACAGACAAATTATATGTTCACTTACCTGATACAAGTTTATCTATAAGGTCTCTATAAGCTGAACTCTTTTCGTGCCATTCAAATGTAGCAGTGTTTATTTTTTCATTGGACGCTTTTCTGAAGTAAATCAGTTGTAGAGGTCAGAAAATAGAACGCTAATAATTATGTTCTACGTTTTATATATTGTGTATAGCCTTTCACATAATATTTTAGATATGTCTGTCTGGGACATTTATAATAGCCTTCATAAACAGCATGTCATATTATCTAAGAATATCAATTATATAGTAAGACTATGTTTCATGTTTTTAATAGTCTCAGATGATATAACAGCTGATATAAACAGTTAGATCATTAAGGCGACCAATGTATATGAATTGAATGGCGACTGATTAAAACACCCTTGAAGCCTATGATGCAAGGGCTGAAATAAATATGACTATCAGTCGTCACCAATTCATATTACATTCAATACTATTTCAGGTAAGAGCTATGTATTCTTATAGTCTGTTTATATTCTAAATGTTTAAAGATAAAGTTTCCCTTATTTTCATTTTTGAAAATGGAAATGCTAATATGAAAAGAAAGTAGAGGTGTTCTTATGACTTGGAAAAATACCAGTTTGTCTCTCATGTCCAAAATTAATTCATAATTAGCTAAATTAGAAGGCAAATGACCGATTAAGAAAGGTCAAAAAGTCTTTTTTTGTGTATCCAGAATGTACATACATGGGCATTTATGATTGGTTAAACTCTTAATTATATGCAATAAGAACATAATGATAATATTAAGAATACATGATAATTCATTAGCAAAAATTAATCAAATATTTTGCTTAAAAATAAGGAAATCCATCTTTAAATGTTTTCCAACGTTAATATTTCTATTTTACCTTTTCCTAACTAAAATATTACCTTTAAATATTGTATATTCATATGTTTATATAGCACCAATTCATATTACATTCAATACTATTTCAGATCTCGTTATTTATTCTAAACCCTATCAAAAAACCCGACATCCAGCATCTAAGACCATCTCGACACTTGGGCTTAGCAACTACAAGTATATCAACCCCCAGAGCTACACATGCGAAACCCCTCCAACTCCATGTCAACTCTACAACTTCAGTTCATTATCGATAACCCCCGTCGATAATGCTGATTATTAGTGCTATCATCAAAACTAATAAAGATCACTGATAAACATTGTCAAACTGACTTTACTTGGGTCGAAAATGATGGACATTCATGTTATTCAAGGGATTGTAAAGAGGTTTTCTAAACTGTCTATGTGTATCAGGGACACCGACAGAATCAATTGCACCACTCCAATTTTCAATCAGACGTCTGTGGTTCCTGCATTTTCACTAACCAGGAACCACAAAACAACATAAAAAATGCGGAAAAACTCTTTACAATCCATTTTATGTGTAAAATAATAATATCCAAGACTATATCCTACTTTCATGTTTTCGAGACGGGGTAGCTAAGTACGGCCGTTCACCCATTGGGATGGTGTTGGGAGGCTGTTGTGTTGGTGTGATCTCTGTTTCCAATCGCCAGATATGCAGTCCACTTCGTTCCAACGGGAAAAAAAGCCAAGACCCAGCGGCGGTGTACACGTTAAAGATAGAAATCCCACTCATTTCATTTATTTCTATCTCTGTTTAAAGTTATGCAAGATAGTAAATCCTGTACAAACTCACACAATCCTCGGAGATTTTGAAATCAAGCTATACTTCATTTTCTCTTAGACTAGAGGCTTCGGAAATCACAAGCATCGTATATTGTTGCTAGTATCAACATTTGGTTCCAATATCCAACTAATTAATAAACTTCTAAATAACACGCTTACGATTGAAAGCTACAAAATCTAGAACGTACTTTCAGTGGATATCATTGGTATTGAAAAAAATACCGTTGAGGGTTTTAATGATATCCAAAATTCAGCATCCCGATTAATTTTCAAAGAGAAAGAGTTTTGAATATCATAAACCTGATGATTTCCACTGAAGTCAACCCCTATTGTTTAGAAATCCAAGAAAACACACATATTATACAAAGGTGGTCAATTCAGCCGGCCACCATAGAATTAGACTATATATTTGATCTTCCATAGTCTTCAACAAAAGAAATGATTTCTCAGTATATAATATAATAATTATTTCAACCCCGAGATTTTAAAATAACCCCATTATTCTTGGATTTCATATATAAGATCCTATAAAATCCCGCTATTCAGATGACGCCATTATAGAGTTATATTATAAGTTCTTTCCCATGCGTATTATCGACAGTTGAAAATGGCAAAATTTCCCTCATTGCAGCATGCATGGCGTTGTTCGTCTTCGTTAGCCCACATGGTGCGGAAAAGTTGGACGTAAACACCATAAATTTCAATTTCCCATGCGTATTACAATAATAACCAAGACACCAATGTCTAATGTCAACTATGGCATATAAATTACATAATGACCACGTGATATTCTGCTTGCTATTTGGTATACAATGTATTCGTATAATATATAGAAACAAATGTCAAACTTAAAGTGTCTATAATAGTTGTGTCAAAATCTAGAACAGTCTCGTCTATCGACACACACCAAATTTGCCCAGGTCAGGCCTTGACTTGTATGTACTGAAAGGTGTCGAATATAAAGGTTTGATTTAACTAAATATACACTGATAGTAGCGAAAAGGTTGACTAATCACACTGAAACCTAATATTTTTCAAAAACTTAAATGTCTAGGAAAACCTTAATGTACCATATATCATGAGTAGTTCAGCTAGGACCATGTGCTACAAGTAAACGATCTCATGGCATCGAATGGTAAGCTTAAGCCACTGTTCTCCAAAACTTCCACTTATTGTACACTGCATAGAGTTGTTTGTCTCCATTTCCACGGGCGTAGAAAAGTAGGACGTAAAACTCCACTACATTCATGAAAACGTTAGCGGTTTGAATGTCACTGTAACCGCCTTTCGTTTAGACATAAAGATTGATATTTTGTAGCTGTTCCTCGCATGATCGAATATGCGCCTTTCATTTCACATTAACTTGAGCCGGAACAATGATAGGAGGCAGTCTGGTTAATTCAAGGACGCTATTTTGATTTATGTCGAAAGAGTATACGTGCCCAAAGCAATATACGCATGTAATCTTTTGATGTATCTTTGAAAGCATTTTATAAAAGTTATTCTCAGACCCATAATACTAGTTTGATATATTTATTATATATACTTTTAGAAAACTATAAAATAAAAATTGAACACAATGGTCATAATATAGGTTGGGGTTATATCATCTTCTCAATGTCAACCTATTGTGAAATGTGTCTAAAACCTTGACTTCATTGGGCTCTTTACGGATTGTAACGATTTGTAACGGATTGTGCGCTAGCCAGTACAGCCAATCAGAGCTTTCGACATAAAGACTGTATACATTATGGCTTATACTTTACAGGCTTTCTGTCGAAGGCTCTGATTGCCTGTATTCGCTAGCGAACAATCCAATCTAACCTCTGCATTTAAAAATTTCGTAATGCAAGCCTAATGAAGTTGGGGAGATTGTTAAGATATACTTTCAATTACTGGATAAAATTCCTAAAATCAAGATAGGCTGCTTCCGTTTAACATGTTTTTTCTGGATAAAACTTCATTTCAGCTACACTTGACGTATCACTTTTAAATGTGTAATTCCAGTTCGTCTACTGTAAAATAATATCAATCCTAGTGATGACCAAAGATTAGTGTAATTGAGTACAAAATATGTATTCACAAAACTTTCTTCTTTGATAAATTGAATACAAATTCAAAAGGTATCCCAACAAAATGTCAGAATATACAGTATAATACATGTACATCTATATATGTACAATCAATTTTAGTGCAAATTAAGAAATCACTAGTATATTGGTCATAAATGCTACAAACTGTAACTTAAGTACATAAAATGAAAAGTGATGCCAAGACTCGCACTCAATACTAGATCTCATGTTATTCCCTTTGAATCATAACCAGGTCAGATATTCTCGATACCATCTTAGTGCTAGGATGTACTAGGGTCTTATCTTGTAACAACGCTTCTATAGGACATTCTAGGGCTAAGATCATTTTGAGAATAAGTGGCAAGATTCACGAATCTATTTACGAATAGTAGCAATAATTTCATTTTTTGGCGGCTGCATAGCTACAGAACCTGTAGGAGTCATATTCAATGTTTTACCCTCTGCACAACTAAATGAGAAATTTCTCAATAACATCGCCAATACTAGCAACATTTCTGGTCGGGCGATAGTTTCACCCAGACAATTTCTACGTCCACAAGAGAAAGGTAACCAGGACATGGGTTTAGGAGCCAATGAACCATCTTCATCTAGTAGTCTTTCTGGTCTAAATACCTCAGGATCACCCCAAACATCTTTGTCCATGTGTAAAGCATAATGATTTACCATTACCATTGTACCTTTTGGAACATCATATTCACCTGTAAAATACATATTAAATACATATACTGTGAAAGTGTGCACAGCTAGAGAGGAAATATGTGGCAATCTTTTTGTACAGATTCCGGCACAATCATTGACCTTCAATTGTATTCATATACCGATCTGATAAAGTACCTTTGTTTGATTGTGACGGTCATATGTCACAAAAAGGAAGTGTTTTGCTTGCTGATCTGAAACATCAGCGTCTCGTCCTGATCTTAAACAGTTATTTGGTGATCTTCAACAGCAACTCTTTGCTTATTTTCAACAGTTCTTTGCCGATCTTCAATCGCAGCGATTCGTCGTTGCTTCAAAAGCTCTATGCAAATCCATAAAAGAGAATTATTACCTAGTGTTGTGTCACATAATGTAGAATGAGGAACACCCAATGGTACGACTGGCATAAATCTCATACTTTCATGTATAACAGCTTCAGTATAGGGTAATCTTTCTTTATCTGATATACATTTAAAAAAATATATGGAACACGCCAGTTGTCATAGTACTTCTGTTAAATGTATATACAAAAATTGTAATACATCCAGATAACATAATGTGCTACAGGGCGAATCTTAGGTGATACATTCCAACAGTTTTATATACAAGCATTCACCTATCATATACAGAAAGGTTGAAGATCAAAGAAAAAAAAATTGCGTTCTGGTTGGATTGTACTCAATTAGCTCAATTGCAATCCACTCAAATCTTTGTCAACTCAGTGATACAAGAAAAATGTCTATTGCATATATGTCTATTGTATATGAAAATAATACTCTTTCAAATACCATAAAATGCAGATTTCATTGCCTTTGAATTCTCTGAACATCCAGGAACGACAGTGCCCCCATCCCCGCCGCAAATAATTTCTGGAAGTTTCAACGTAGGCTTCTATGTCATTTTCCATTATAGTGGTGATATATAAGGTCCCACCACAAAGCTAAGTACAGTAATGTGAACTAGTTCAACATATTACAGTCATATTATATTCTATTTACATTAAGGGTATTCTTGCGAAATCTTGATAGGTTATAATGTAGGTCGTTTACTGTTTGTACAATGAACGAAAAAGAACATTAAATCAGTTTTTTACATAAGAGATAAGCAGAAAAGGAGAAATATTGAAGGGTGAAGGCAAACTGCAAATTAAGGTAAGTTGTCTTTTTGTCAGTTATCACTGTGCAGTATGTAATTGAATCACTCTTTCCTGTACAGTCCTCGTCTTCACAATGTCAAGCTACATGTATTACGAACTTCGTTCTTATGCCTTGACTATAATAGCCACTATTCTTGTATCGCAAAATGTAGCAGTTTGATGTATGCTAACGAATATAGCCAATCCGAACCCTTCACAGAATGGCTGTAAACATAATGGCTTTGTGTTTACAGAATCTCAATCGAAGTCTCTGATTGGCTAGTTTTTGCTAGCGTACAATCCAATCAAATCGCTTCATTTACAAACTTCCATGATACAAGAAAGGTGACTATGNGCAGACAAGGTATAAGA